TGACCCAGGGATCAAACTCATGTCTCCTGCATTGGCAGGTGGATTCTTTACCACTGAACCAGCAGGGAAGCATATATATGTGTGTATACATATAACACAATCACTTTGCTCTATACAGAAACTAGCAACTAGCACCACACTGTAAATCAATTATACTTCAATTTAAAAAATAATAAATAAATGTAAAGCTCCTATTGCGCGCTCTCTGACCCAAGCTACTGCCAGGACCCTCAATCATTGTGGCATGGCTGTATAACTCCCACAGTCTGTTCCTAGGACTTAGCAAATTGTTAGGACAAATAACACAGTATTCTAGCTCCCCAGACTGCCCAAACCAGTTAGGAATCCCTCTTCTAAATATATAGCTCAGATACTCTGTTGCTGAGTTTAATTATGTGAGGATTTTATTGTCCATATCGAGTTCTGTGATTCAAAGGCACAGGAATAAGATGAGTTCTTATCCCACTGGGGTTTTTATTTTGTTCAAAATTAAAACAGACCCAAGGGATGGCAAGGAATGGCTTCTTTCTCTAGATTATATCTTTGATGATTTGTATCATCAAAGCCTTGCCGAAGGCTGATACTTACAACCTCTGCAGGGTTTTACACACCTAAATTCTTTTCTGGCAGTTCCTCTTCTGCCCAAATTCCTCAGGAAGCAGTGCAATGAGAGGGGAAATGTAAGCTTGGTTTAGTATCTTTGTAGTTTGTTTACATTTTATACACCAATGCTTTAGAGTTAAGTAAATCAGTTGGGCTCAAGACCTGGTTTGTAACCTTGGGAAAGTTACCTATGCCTTAATTTCCTCATCTATAAAATGTTGGCAATTGCATCTCTTTTCCAAGGTGATTTTCTTGAAATGCACCTATAAGGAAGTACCCAGAACAATACTTGGCACATACAAAGAACCCAGTAAAGCTGCTCCTTTCTCTCCCTCTCTACCTTCACTGCCTCCACTGGAATGAATATCAAAACCATAAAAGTAAATTGCCTGTATTCACCTCTATTCTTATAGAATTCTTATTGAGTCTTTAGTTTTTCCTGAATGTTTTCAGGCTTGACAATACTCAGACATAATTAAAGGAACCCACGTTACAAGGGTAACATTTAAAAGCCAGCTTTGCATCCAGCTTTGTCTTCACTGGGCACACCCTCTGGCTACTACTATACAGGGCAAGACTGAAACCAGTAAGTCAGAGTTTCACGGTTTTCCTTTTGACCAGCTTATTGAGCAATGGGGAAGAATCTGAGAACTCTATACATAGGATCCTACCCCAGAGAGGTCAGCATTCCTTAGGGTGATTCAGTTACCATTATCCATTATCTTCACTGTGAAATCATTTGTTAAAGCGCTATTCTCCCAGAGTCATAAACCAGAATCCTGGAGGGGTCTGCAACAGTGGTTGGCAACTACTATACAAGGGACATATCTACCCCACTTCCTGCTTTTATACACCTATGACCTAATCATTTGTTGTAATTGAAAAAGTAAAATAAAGAATAGTATTTCTTGACATATGAAAATTATATGAGACACAAACTTTGATGTTCATAAGTAAAGTCAGACTGGAATAAAGCCACAGTCATTTATTTGTGTATTGTCTATGGATGCCTGCATGGTACAGAAGCAGAACTGAGTCACTGCTACAGAGACTGTATAGCCCATAAAACCTATATACTTTCTGGTCCTTTACAAAGTTCGCTGCCCCCTGATAAGGGGCACAGACCCTGGGGACTACACAGCCCGGCAGCAGGCTCGGTTCCTCCCATTTGCCCAAGTGCTGTCATCTCCTTTGTATCCTCCAATGGATAATCAGGTTTTTATGAGGGTCAAACAAACGTAGAAAGTGCTTAGAAGAGGGCCTGGTGCATATTAAGTACCATCTATGGGTCTGTTACTGTAGCAGGAGCAGCATACCAGTTAGTTAGCAACAACTGTGAGAATTTCATTTGTAGCACTCCAACATTCAAGGGGCAGTAGGAAGGTATTAAAGACAACTGAAATAACAATGAGCATAGATGCTCATCCACAAAACTAGTTCTGCATTCTTAACAAATATTTTTTATGCTATATTCTTCTTTCAAACTTGAGTCTTAGAGAAGCTTACACTCAACTTTGAGTTCAGCCCTCACTATCTACTCCTTACAGTTGGAATAGACTCCAAAACAGAGGCTAAGGAACAGTATAGAGCCCAGAAATAAATCCATGCAACGGATCTGAGACAAGAATGCCAAAAGTATACAATGGAGAAAGGATGACCTCTTCAATAAATGGTCCTATGAAAACTGGATTAGTGCGTGTGTGTATGCTCAGCTGTGTCTGATGTGACTGCATGGACTATAGCCCACCAGGCTCCTCTGACCTGGGATTTCCCAGGCAGGAACACTGGAGCGGTTTGCCGTTTCCTTCTCCAGTGGATCTTGATCCAGGGATCGAACCCATGTCTCCTGCACATCTCCCACATTGTAGGTGGATTCATTTTTTTTTTTTTTTAAACCACTGAGCCACTGAGGAAAACTGGATGCTCACATGCAAAAGAGTGATTATTGGACCCTATCCCACACCATACACAAAAATCAACTCAAAATGGAATAAAGACTTAAATATAAGATCTAAAACTGTAAAACTCTTAAAAGAAAACTTAAGGGGAAAGCTTTGTGACATTGGCCTTGACACTGATTTCATGGCTGTGACACCAAAAACACAAGCAACAAAAACTAAAAACTAAATAAATAAGTAGGATTAAAAAACTTCTGCACCGCAAAGAAACAACAGAATGAAAAGGCAACTCAAAGAACAAAAGAAAATATTTGCAAACCATATTCTGACAAGAAGTTATTCTCTAAAATTTTTACAAAGACATACAAATGTACAGCAGGTATATGAAAAAATGCTCAGTGTCACTAGTTACCAGAGAAATGCAAATCAAAACCACAATGAGGTATCACCTCATACCTGCCAAGATGGCTATTATTATAAAAAAAAAAAATAGACAATAAGTGTTGGCAAGTATGTGGAAAAATTGGAAATCCTGCACATTATTAGTGGGAACTAGAAATGGTGAGGTTGCCATGAAAACAGTGTGGAATTTCCTCAAAAAATTAAAAATAAAATGACCATATGATCTAGCAACCCTACTTCTGGATATATATCCAAAAAAAGAAAAAAATGAAAACAGAATCTCAAAGAGATATTTGTACCAATGTTCACAGCAATTTTATTCACCAATAACCAAGATGTGGCAGCAACCCAAATGTCCAACTATACATGAATATTTTTCAGTGTGGCATATATCATACAATGCATTGTTATCCAGCCTTAAAAAAGGATATCCTATCACATTCTGCAATATGGTTGAATTTCAAGGACACTATGCTAAGTCAATTACAAGAAGACAAATACTGCATGATTCTACTTATATGAGGCATTTAAAAATAGTCAAACTCATAGAAACAGAAAGTAGAATGGTGGTTGCCAGGACCTTTGAGGAGGAAATGGAGAGTTGTTTACTGGTAGAGATTTTCAGTCATGTGAGAGGAAATGTTTTGGAGATCTGCTATGCAGCACTGTGGATGCTTTTAACAAGAGTGCACTGTACACTTGGGCAGGAAGATATCAGCTTGTGTTTTTACTATAATAAAAATACTAGGGAAAAAATAAAACCCTCCATATAGGCCATAGTCATCTACCTTGATGATGACTGTGGTACTTGAAAACAGTAATCAACTTCCTGAATGAAACACAAAGCAAGTAGTATAGTTGATTTGATATAAGGCAACAGGGAACATCAGAATTTTTCTCACAATTCAGGACTTTCATTTTGAGGTATGCGGGATCCAAAAAGAGAACTTGAGAGGGAAATTTATACATGAGAGGAAAACAATGACCCTAGGGAGAACCCAGTCGACCACATGAGCAAGCCCTGTCCCACACACAGCACGTGGTCCAATATTTGTTAAATGTTGATGACTCATTCAATTTTTCTGTGCAACCTCCATAGCAAATACTGCGAATCTTGCTTATTGTTACATTTCTTAAAACGTTGACATTCAAAGAATTCTGCGTGATAGAAACTGTATGAAACAAAACCAAACCAGAAAATCTCGCGTCTGAATTGCTTCAAACTGTTAAACTGGGTGAAAAACAAAGCTGTGAAGTAAAGAAAACTGTTTCCTGAATCACCTGACTCAAATACCAAGACCCAGCACTCTTACCTTCCTGACAAGTGTGTTTTTACCAACACACTCCTTGCCTGCACTAAACTTTCCTTGCATAAAAAGTAGCTGAGTGATTTTGGAGACGGGAATTGTTTTTCCTGAATCATCCAGATAAGTGGAACAACTCAGCTTCTAAGAACAGTCTGGCCGAGGCTGCCCTGGCCAGTAAGGGTCCTCTGTCCTCTTCACGCCATATCTGAGTCACATGCAGCTTAACCTGGAGATGACAGTGTCGCCTAGGAAGGAAACACGCCGTTATTGTTGAATGAAATGGTCAACCGCAAACCGACGCTCCAAATGCGCTCAGGTCCTGACGTTCACTGCTGATTTCCCAGGGCGCTTTCGCAGCTTCATTTTTCGACTTCTCCTCTCCCAGAGAGCATCTCAGAGCTGCCCTAAGGCATTCGGCCCCTTCCCCCAATACCACACTTTGCTTCCAGCCCCGTGGGCCTGTCCAATGAAGTTGTTTAAAATACAAAACGTAGCAGAAGATGATCGAGCAGGAAGAGAAAAAGAACACCCGGCGAAATGGGTTGGTGTTGGAACGTGCCATTCGTTTTGGAGGGAGGAGAATCCCAGGTGTGAATTGTATCCCGCGTGTGAAGTCACTTACCAGACCTCGGGTTCTTGAGGGCCTGAGAAGAGAAATCACCAAAGACCCGGCGGAGCGCAGGAAGGGGCGGAGGCCGGGAGCGGAGCCTGGCGCGGGCGGCGGCCCCGGGCGCGTCCCCCGCGGCCCCGGGTGGTGCGGCCCTGGGCGGTCCCCGCGGGCAGCCGGGGAGGCGGGAGGCGCTGGGCGGCGGCGCAGAGTGCAGCATGGCGTATCCCGGGCATCCTGGCGCCGGCGGCGGCTACTACGCGGGCGGGGTGAGTGCTGCCCGCGCGGGCTCGTGGCCGGGGCGCGATCTCTGGACGCCCGGGGCTCCGAGAAGCCACAGGGGGCGTCTCGGCGGGGGCGGCTCCCGGGCGCCCCCGCCCTGCCCGCCGCCTCGCCCAGCGCCCCCGCCGTCCGGCCTCTGTCTCCAGCGACCTCCTTCCTTCTGTCCCTTCTTCCCCCCTGGGTTTCTGCTTGGGGCCAGGACGCGCGTAGGTTTGACCCAAGAAGCCCACCCTGTGCCTCCCGGATCCGCGGCGTGAAATCGTGCAAATGGGGTGTCGCCTTCCTCTCCGCCTTCTCTAAGAGCAACAGCCATTTTAATCTAGAATGGTCCTGCGATCTGATGGTCCTTCTCTCTCTCTCTCCGAAAATGAGAAAAACGGGAAAGTCAGGGAAAGTCCGCTAGCGTCAGAGACTTCGGGAGGAAGGCAGCCTGGCCCTGAGTCTGGGACGGGCATCCTTTTGGGAGCTGTTTACTAAAAAGAATATTCCCTAGCTGTGACACACCTCACCCTTCGGAGGCTACACCTGTCTCAGAACGCTTTAAAAATACCATAAACGCTAGAAAAAAACAGGCAAGACAGTTATGAGCCCTGCTGGTAAGTTGCATGGCCAGGTTGCATTCATCTCAGCAAACTGCAGGTTAATGGGGATTTGCAGAGGTTACTTCATTTATACTGATGTCATTGTCAAGACAACTCATTTTGATCCTCGCTGCGGGTTTTTTAATTATAACTGGGGTGAGAATGGGAGAAAGGGGAGGAGTGATTGTACGTAGAGAGTTAAGGGGGGGGGGGGAGGGGAGTAAACGACTGAGAGTGAACCTGACTTTGCACAAGGCAGTGAATGGTGAAAGAGTAAAACTTGGTCAGCGGATTGATGCATTTGTTCCCTGTCTTACAGTATGGAGGGGCTCCCGGAGGGCCTGCGTTTCCCGGACAAACTCAGGATCCGCTGTATGGATACTTTGCTGCTGTAGCTGGACAGGTTAGCTCTTCCCTTTAACATTAAAGGAATTGCAGATTCTACATTTGTTACGGCCGGGCTCCCCTGGTGGCTCAGAGGTTAAAGCGTCTGCCCGCAATGCGAGAGACCTGGTGACATGGGTTCAATCCCTGGGTTGGGAAGATCCCCTAGGAGAAGGAAATGGCAACCCACTCCAGTATTGTTGCCTGGAGAATCCCATGGACGGAGGAGCCTGGTAGGCTACTACGGTCCATGGGGTCGCAAAGAGTCGGACACGACTGAGCGACTTCACTTTCACTTGTTATAGTCACACGGAAAAATGACTATTCCTCTGGAAAAGAATTCCTTTGCTTCTGCTCAAGAAAACAAAAGAGAGAAGGAAGTTCTTGGGCAGTTATTTATTTTTGAATATTCAGAACAAACTCGGACAACGTGTACCCATGCTTATGTTCAATTCAGAACTAAACTTGTGATTGAATTAAGCTCAGATTGAACACAATAAGCTAGTATAAATATGCTTTGAAGATATGTAAGGTAGAAAGATGTCTTTAGAACTGTGAATTGTCAGGGTCCAGACAGTGAATTTCCAGAGAAGAAATTCCAGGTCAGATGAACTTTAAACCTTTCTTTGTACAATTAGAAGCATGTAGTACCAGTAATTCTGTAGCCAGATTCTGAGGGACATTTTCTTTGCATTGAGTTTGACTGTTAATTACCCTCTTAGGAAATGGGTACTTCAGGTTAAAAACCCACCAGCTTCAAAATAAGAAAGGTACTTTCTTCTTGCTATCAGGAAGTTAATCTTGTGGCCAGTTTAGTTTTTCTTTGCTGCGGATGCTATTACTAGGTCAGCCCTTACATGTCCTTGTTAGATGTTGTGGTCTATTGACCCAGAGAGAGAATTAAGGTCAGCACCCCGAGACCTTTCACTTCTTTGCATTCTAGTTGTGTGACAGGTGGTAGTTCATCTTGTAGGAGGCGTTTTTCCTCAGCTGCCAGGTCACTGTATGTATCATACTGCTGTTATAATCCAGTATGTTCAAAGAGGATGTTTGTGCTTATGAATTCAACCTAGTTTTCTTTTAATCAAAAGCTAGAAATAGCACAGTCTTAATGTGAAAATGCCTGAAGACTATTATGGGATAAAAACCTGTGACCACCTTTTAGAACAGCACTGGAAGAAATACAGTTTGAGAAACTGAATGGAAAATTGAGTCTAAAACTGAAAGAGCTTCCCCTTAAGTATCTGCTTCACCTGTTAGTGATCCGTATCTTTGAAACCACAAGACACGGCAAAGCTCAAGTCTCTGCATTCTTAGATCGCCAGTACCAGGAGCCATGAAAGTGACCCCACCTGCTTAGCTTTCAGCAGCCCTGGTCTGCGGCAGCATGTCCATCGTCTTTCACATTATTGATCCTGCCTGTCACCTAGATTGTATAATAGTCATGAACTTGAGGATTTAGGCATTTTATTTTAAAATCTTTAACATATTTCTAATTCTGACCTAGGTCAGCCAATGAATAGGCATGAAGAACCTGTCTTCTAGGTATAATTGTGATCTGAAAAAAATATTCATCATATTCTAAGCAAGGGTGATCACAGAGGCTGCTTTTTGTGGGAACCAAACTTTTCATTCACTGATGTCATCCTGTGTACCCAGCTCTCCACCCCCTCAACAGAAAAAAAAAAAACTAGGATAATTAATAGAACTTTTAATCAAATACATAAATAATTGTATTCTAAATTGCTTACTTTGGCAGTTTCCTAGTTCAGCCTGAGAGTAGTTCAGGACAGAAGCTTGTTGTATTCATATGTTTAAAAATATGTCTCAGTGGAAGAAACTGAATTCATCTCACTGTTTTATTAAGAAGAGGAACCTTATACTTGAGAAGTTATGCCAAGTCTGATTCAGGAATTTATAGGAAATGATGAAAAGATATTGGTAATATCAAAGTACAGGTGTAAGCAGCTTTCAGACCTGGTTAATTCTTGTATAATGGTTGTTGCAAATAAAGCTTGAAATTGAATACCCACTTTACCTAGGTATTAAGAAAGGTATTTTTGGTATATGTCCCTCATTATCCATTTGTGGGAGAATGCTGAACAATTTCTTTCTGTAACTTAACTGTTTAGGGAAGTAGAGTGAAGAAAAAGAATGCCTACTTTTGAAAGGCGTCCATTTAAAAAAGTCTCATGCATGATAATATTCATTTTCTTTATCATTATTGGTATACTGAATGCTGAATATAAACAAAGAACTGGAAGGTACCAGTCATTCTTATAAATCTTTTTCCTTTTTTTTCCCCCCCAAAAAGGATGGACAAATAGACGCTGATGAACTGCAAAGATGCCTGACACAGTCAGGCATTGCTGGAGGATACAAACGTGAGTTAGCAGCCCCAAAGTGTCTTGGAAATCTCTTGTATTTCATGTTTCAGATGTCACTTGTGATTATTATAGCCTTCAAAGAATTTGAGAGTTTCTGAAATGACAAAGTTAAGAATTTCAGAAGCTGAATTTATTTCTTTTATATTTCAAAATGCTCGTTTGAAGATAGTTCTTACTGAATCATCCCACACTACCCACCAGTTTAGTGGGTTTCTTGGATCTGGGTTCCGGGTGTCTGGAACCATTCAGACCAATAAGACATGTGGCCTCCTCCTCAGAAAACAAGGTAAGATGCTGAAATGAAATCCTCCAGGTCAGGTGTCATTAATGATAGGAGCTAACATTTGCTGCTCACTGTTTGCCAGGAGCATATTCTGGCTCAAACGTGGTGTCACTTAGGACTTTCAGGGGCTGGTCCCTTGCACCTGATCCCGGGGTGACCTGTTCTGCATCCCTGGTTCTGAGTAGTTGGTCCTACCCTCCCTTTTCACAAGTGCCCAGTCCCCCACCCCTAGTCCTCAAGGAACCAGTTCTACACTCCTGCTCTCAGCTCCTGGCAGCATGAATGCTCACCTTGACATCCCCCAGGTCTTTGCTCTTTCTACATAAGGCTAAGTAAGATGTACCCTTCCTGATTTCTAAACTCTTTATAGTAGTCCTTCCCGCTGCCCCCTAGTTCCTCATAGACTCCCCACGTGCTTATACCCACTTCCTTCCTTTTGAATTCTGCACGAGCTGCAGAGGCAGCTCTTGGCAGGATGCTCATTCCTGGCAGGGGCTTTCTCATCCCACACATGCCACATGCTGCCCTTCAAATCACGTCTTGACCATGATAGAACAGCGTCTTGGCTGATATGCATGACCTACCACCTTCTTTGCCTGTTGTTAATTGAGACAGAACATCTAAGCAAAGTCTCAACTTCTTGGTAAGCTGTGAATTAAAGCATTCAAACTAGGGGATTTCCTGACAGTCTGGTGGTTAGGGCTCCAGGCTTTCACTGCGGAGGACCCGGGTTCAGTCCCTGTTTAGAGAAATAAGATCCCACAAGCCGTTCAGCATGGCCAGAAAACAAACAAGCAAACAAACAAAAAAAAAAACCTCCACAAACTAGAATTCACACCTGTGGACCTGTAGTGGCCATTTTTGACTGTTTGACAGGGCATAGTTACTAGGTGGTTCTCTTTTTTAAACTCTCAGCATATCCATTTTTATCATCCTTTGTTTTATGACTTCAGTATCCAATCACTATTTCCTAGTTGTGGGAATTAAAACAAAATAGAAACCTTTTGGATTTCTGTCATTTAGTCTGGTCCTACACAAAAGATGCCCTTCTCTCCATTAGGGGGTTTGGTTTTTTGTTTTTTTTTTTACTATTGTAGGCAGTACATTTAAATTGTTAACCTCAAGCAGTTGGGAGTGGTGAACAAAGGATATCTAATAGCAGGGTTTCCACAAGTGAGCTATGTCACAATACAGACTATTACTCTACTTCTGTTCAGTAGAAGAGGTGTGGCCAATTTTAAAATCTAACAGAGTAGGCAGTCTATTCTTGTAGAGCAGTCACTTTAGTAATTTCCTTTGAGAAAGCCACATTTAGTAATGACCTTAGATCACCGAGTTACAGAAAGGACATATCTATCCTGGATTGTCTGATTAATTTGCTTGCTGTCATCTTCTTGTGAAGGCTGTGCATGCATGCTAAGCTGCTTCAGTCGTGTCCGACCACCTGTGATCCGGTGGACTGTAACCAGCTAGGCTCCTGTGTCCATAGCATTTCCCAGGCAAGAATACTGGAGTGGGTTGCCATTTCCTTCTCCATGTGAGACTGTAATGACCCACAAAACCATCCTGTTTGTGAGTGTCAGAGTGCGTGTTGTAATGGAGAAGTTATGCAGCCATTGGTCTTTTTCAACACAGCTCCCAAACCAAAAAGCACAGGTGGGGATGCGGGAGATAGTAAAACCTATGGCGTCTTCTTTTCTTGCCTGGAAAATGCCATAGACAGAGGAGCCTGGCAGGCTACAGTCCATGAGGCCGCAAAGAGAAGGACAGGACTGAGCACACCCAGCACATGGTATCTTAACCAATTTAAGAGGGAGCAGTCATGCCTAGAGGTGGTGGTGATGAGGGAAGTTACTCTTTGAAATTATTTAAAATAGGATTAACATCATTTAAAATTATTTAAATTAGTGTTATTTAAAATAGGAGTAGCATTAGTAAAAACTTTCTGGAGGAAAAAAAAAAAGAAATGAACAGGAGTTCTCCTCACTCAAAACTAATAAAGATGTCAGTGTTCTAACTCATCAGAACTGCCTGCCCAGAATAGTGAATTTTCTCTTTTGTTCCTGCCCATCTCATTCTCTCCCTTCTCAGACCAGATTTCTGTTCTCCCAAACAAAGAACTCTAACCTGTCACTCTCCTCCTCATAAAAATCCTGAGTAGCCCATGGAGCCCATATAAAACAGAAGTTAGACGGCTTACCAGGAATTCAGCCCCAGACGCACAGCACCCCCACACTTCCCCCCCTTCTTTGCCGTCTGGACTCACTGCTGCTTCCCTTGCTCGTGCAGGTCCCCAGCTTTACATGACTGTCTCCAGACATCCCAAATCTTTCCTGTCATTCACAGCTCGGCTTAAATATTACCTCTTCTATCAAGTCTTTCTTTCAACATGAAGGAGCCTCTCACACTTCAAGATCTGGTAGTTTCTGGTGTCTCCATCATGGCTTACCCTCTTCTACCCTGTACCCTGGTGAGGGAAATGGCAACCCGCTCCAGTGTTGCCTGGAGAATCCCATGGACAGAGGACCCGGGCAGGCTACAGCTCACGGGGACGCAAGAGTCGGACATGACTTACTGACTACACCACCACCACCCTGTGCGCATGACTTCCGTCAGCCAGGGCAGGTCCAGTTTCACAGCTGTTATCTCCAGTGTCCCTGGCATCCTGAGCCCTACACATCAGGAGTACTTAATCGGCATTTGATGAATTAATGAGGATGGGAGACTGCCTAAAATGGAAAAAAAAATACATATATACCCTTATTTGTATTTTGACTTAAGAAAAATTGGTATTTATCTAAGGGATTATACATTACTTCTAATTATCAGTGTAAATCAGAAGTGTCCATTTAAACTAATGCCTGATTCCCATAGTCAGATTCTGATCTAATTGTTCTGTGGTGATGCTGACTATACTTTGTTAACAAAAGTTGTTAAGAGAGTAGATCTTAAAACTGCTCACCACATGCATCAAAGGTAGCTATGTGAGGTGATACATGTGGTAATTAACCTTCTTACAGTCATTATATACATACATCAAACCATTACATTGTATACCTTAAACTTACACAATGTTGTATGTCAATCATATCTTAGTAAAGCTAAAAAAGTAAAAATTATTGTTCTGTAGTATAGCCCAGATATCAGAGTCTTTTAAAGCTTTTGGGTGATTCTTTTAAGTGCTCAGGATCAAGAACCTCTGGTCTAGACTAGAGAGACTTCATACCTCCACACAACTTAAAAATCACAACAAAGAATCAGCCAACTCTTTAAAGTGTTTAAAAGTGTTCCTTTTTCTCACCTCCAAGAATTATCTCCATGGATCAGATAGAGATTAAGGGACCAAAACAGAAATAGTCTCCAACCTTTTATTTCAGGCTTCTAAGCTATGCTAAACACATGAATGTATTAAAAGTAGAAAACCTATAGTTTGTAACATTTGGAAACATTACAGCAATAAGAGTTAGCCTAGTGTTTTAAATGCACTTTGTTTAAAGATTAAAATGAAGCTGGTAATAGCTGTAAATAATGTTAACTCTATGTACATCTCAATAGCCTTGTCAAATTTATGCTAGCTTTGCCCACATGAACCTTGTCACTTTTTCCTCCTAGTTTTACACTTCTTTGTACCTAAGAATACTCCCTCAAAGTCTTGATAAGATGCAAGGAAATTCTTTAATTTGTTGATACTTAGATAGAGTACTATTAGGTCATAAACCAACAAGTGTATTCTAGTTTGGTTGTCTAAGTGAGGTGTGGAAATACCCTCAAAACACCCTTGAGCCGTGAGTAAACTGAAAAGGCTTCTGAACAATGGCTATCAGTGAGTGGGTCCTCTGGTCTTAGTCCAGAATGCTCTCATTTGACTCACAATTCTAGCAAGCATATTTATCTTACTGTCTATGAAAAGAGGTCATAGGCAATTTGGGGTAGGAGGTGACCATTCAATGTCTGACATTAAAGGGAAAAGAAAGAGAAACAAATGATCTGCACAGAACTAGCAAAACCAACTAAAGTCAATTGTGTGTAGGGACAAAGCCACTGGATCCACCCATTCACCGTGGTGGATATAATACATTGTGGTTCATTGTGGTGGATTGAACTCAGAGCTATTTCATGCCTGGGGCACATAAAACATAGGGCTGTTTTCCTTAGTCTTGAAAATATCAGAAACCCCTGTCTCATAAGTTGACTGTTAATCAAGTTTAAGGGAATGTATTCTTGTAATGTTCTATGGAGGTGTCATGGTCATTCTGTGCCTAACTTCTGAACAAAGATAATGTAAGCAAGAAGTTAACGTAGAGCTCTTCTCTGGGGCCTTAGGGTCTAGAATACGATTCAAAAGTGAAGATCTAACATAGGTTCTATGACAGGACTATAAGAGGATACAGTAGTGACCATACAGAAATTATTTCAGGGCTATTTTTGTGAATCAGTGTGTGCATTCAGGAGCCATCCTGAGTTCAAATTCTGAGTCTGCCTTTTATCAGCAGAGATCTTAATCTTACATGGTATGTTAACTGGTTTCTTGCTTGAGGGGTTAGCTTAATAATAGTGTTTAAAATGGGGCCTGGCAGTTGGAGCTAACATACAGGCAAAAAAAAAAAAATATATTACAGTTTCAAAGGCAAAAAAAGAAAATAATACTTTTTATAAACTATGTTATAGAAAACTGTAAGCCTATGCAAAAATAGAGATAATTATACAATGAACTCCTCTGTACCCATCCATCAGCATCAACAGTTATCAATGTGTTGCTCTTCTTGTTTTATCTGTAAACCTAGCCATTTTCTTTTAAAGCAGATTTCAGATCTCTTAACATTATTCTACCTACAGATAACTTTAGTGCATATTTTTCTTAAAGGTGAGGACACTTTTATCCCCCAACTTAAAAGCCATGAATCACACCTAAAAATATTAACAATACTAGGCTATCCTTTTTTTTAAAAAAAGATATCTATTAAATTTTTTAAAATCAAATTTGGGTCTGGAAGGAGTTCTCTCTATCTGGAAAATAAGCCTACTTCAAAGCTCCATGAATATAGTTTCACATAAATTGAACAGCATGTAAGAATAAAAGTGTATAAATAATCACATTCCTATTAGTTTGAATGTATCCAATGTAATGTGAATTTTTGAAATCACGTTAATATGTATGTACTTTTCTTGATTTAACAGCGTTTAACCTGGAGACTTGCCGGCTTATGGTTTCAATGCTGGATGTATCCTTTACCTTGATGGCAGTCTAGAGTTTTTTATTCTAGATAAAAAAAAAAACTTGAAGGAATTTGTCTAAGAACTAATATTCAGTAAACACAAAGTGACACATGACCACAGAAAAGTTTTCCAAGATCATTAACTTTTAAGATGTCACTTGGTGTGAAAAAGGAAGGAAGTTTAATAAGTAGAACATCTGTTATTTAAGAATTTGAGGAAGCATCATAAACAAACAAGTATAGAAACCAGAGCAGTCAAGGCGGCTTTTTTGCTGTGACATTGATTACCCTGCATGAGTCACACTGACCTTCAAGCAATGGGATTTTTCATATCACAGTTGTTAGACTAGTTTAGTTACTGTTGATGGTATGGTGCCTTCATCCCACCTCGTTTTCCAAAAGTGAAAACTGGGTCTGGGAGGGCTTACCGTGGGAATGTTAGAGCTAAAGAGGACCCTGGACAGAAGGGTAAGCAGCATAGCCTGGACCGCCCAGAAAGTGCCGACCACTTTGGTTGTTCCAGGTAGCTCACAGTGGCCTTTTAATTTCCTTGTAGTCACTCGTGTAGATGATCTCTTTTCCTCACAGAAAATACATACTCAGAGCTTTTTCTCCATAGGCCTTTATTTTTATATCATTAGAGTATCTTTTTGTCCTGTCATGACCAAAAGAATGTACAATATTTTTTTCAACGGAAAGAACATTAAATTCCCTTATCCTTGATCTTTGATTTAATCATTAGAAAATGTTGCAAAATAAAGATGCTCTAATCCTTGATTACAGTTCAGAGAGACATGTCAGGCACAATGGGTTTCAATGAATTTAAAGAACTCTGGGCTGTACTGAACGGCTGGAGACAACACTTTATCAGTTTTGACAGTGATAGGAGTGGAACAGTGGATCCCCAAGAATTGCAGAAGGCCCTGACAACAATGGGTGGGTATGACTGATTCCACCTCTGTTCACTAGTAGCTTTTTGGTTTTGTTTTTTTTGTTTAATTTATAAAACTAAGTGCTACATTTCTATTTATAGAAATAGCACATATTCATAATGTAAATGAGCCGTCTCCTAAAAAATTGGGCTTAAAATTATTTTTAATGTTTTGTTTTTAATCCTTGAAATTGGAATCTTTTTCTTTTTCTTTTTTTTGCTGGATGATTTTTTTTCCTTTCAGGATTTAGGTTGAGTCCGCAGGCTGTGAATTCCATTGCAAAACGATACAGTACCAATGGAAAGATCACCTTTGATGATTACATCGCCTGCTGCGTCAAGCTGCGAGCTCTAACAGGTGTGTCCTTTGAGACTGCTATTAGCAGGCCTGGCAAACAATTCTGTTTCCTCAGAAGCTTTTCTCACATGTTAAGTAATCTGCCATCCTAACCAAATTCCCTGGCAGTCCAGTGGCTAGGACAGTGGTTTTACTGCCAGGACCTGGGTTTAAGCCTTGGTCAGGGAACTAAGACCTGAAGAGCTAAGCAGCTCAGGATGGGAGAAAGAAGTCCTAACTAAACTTAGTGTTCTATAACATAAATGTACCAAGCTAATTAGTAAATTTTTTATTAAAGTATGAGCAGTAGTCTGTGATTTCTCCCTAGAACGTGAACTACTTGACAAAAGTGAAATACTGGAAAAAAGTGAAATTACCCATCGGTAGCTCTTTCCAAATTCCTTCTGTTGGAGAGTAATTTAAAATGGTGGTCTGTGTTTCAGATGTCCTTCTCAAATGAGACTGTATCAATAATCTCTACTTTTCTCTCTCCTCTTTTTCTTTCCTTTGTGTGTTTTTTCTTGTTCCATTCCTTTTCTTTAGTTTTTTTACCCTTTTCAACATACGGTTTTATAATTTTTTTGCATCCTGACAAATTTGAGGGCAGATGCTTTTTTTTTTATTAAAGTAAATCCTTTTCATTTAGTAGGACAAAGCTCAAATGGATGGAGTATTTGATCATATCTGTTTGTCATATTAAGGTCACCATACAGCTGTGAGTGTGTGCTCAGTCATGTCCGACTCTTTGTGACTCTATGGACTGTAGTCTTCTAGGCTTCTCTGCCCATGGGATTCTCCAGGCAAGAAAACTGGAATGGGTTGCTATTCCCTTCTCCACGGGTTCTCCCCAACCCAGGGATCAAACCTGCGTTGCAGGTGGTTATGGCTGAGCCACTGGGGAAGCATCTGTTTCTTCACATATCTTTGTTATTAAGAAGTCTGAAATTCTGTACTTCCGTCACAATTAAGGAATGGCCTCAGAAGCAGCTTTTACTGACTTTGGCATAAGGCCTTTTCTTCCAACTCCAGGTTGGGAAAGACAGTTGGCCAACTTCTGCTTGCTGTGTTACTTGGCTGCATATTAAATCCATTCATATTGCTACAGTTGACTCCCTTCCTTTGGCCTTTTGTTTCTGTTGGCTGGTTGTACAATTTGTTACTGCATTTGAAACTCAGTGCTAACATAATTATTATGATTTCAGATGATCTAAAAAAGCTAATAAATTTTACTGTTGTGTTTTACAGACAGCTTTCGAAGACGGGATACTGCTCAGCAAGGTGTAGTGAATTTCCCATATGATGATGTAAGTCTGAGTAAATTCGTAACTAAGTAAAAAAGATGTACAGCAATTGGGCATCCCTTTGAAGCTGGCTCTTTAGGGCATCTTAAGGATCCCAGAGCAGTTAAGGCTTATGTGATCAGGAGTCACCATCCAAAATTATTAATTTCATTTATTTGTCTTATCCATAGACCACCGTTTGTTGCATTAAACAATTTAGGTCAAGGCCCAGCTTTTCTCACTGATTAGCTGGATCACTTAGGCAGGATTTTTCATGCTCAGAGACTATTTGAGGAAAGAAAAAAAATGCTGTCTTCACTAGACTGTTGTGAGATTTCAATAAGAAATGTCCTTGAAAAATACCACCACGCAGATGTTGTATCTACTTGTCTCCTTTACACAAATCACCTCTGTCATTGAGAAATAACTTGCATGGCTCAAAGCTGCACTTGGCATGTCTGTGTTCTTCATTGAGGACAAAAGGCACAAACTTCAGTCATAACTTAAAACGATGTATTTACTGTACAGCCACACTAAATGTGTCATGACACAGACACATAACCAGTGTGAGCATAACCACGTGCTGTCTTTGATGGCCTTGGTTGGATAGACACAGCACAGCGGGGGGATGTTTAGGTGCATCTCCATTTTTTGTTCAGCCATTGATAAACCACTTTTAGAATGGGCATCACTGTGACAACTAAAAGGTTTCTCCATTTCAAAATACAAACATGCACATATTTTCAGTTTAGCAGCAGCTGCAGTTAATGAGTACACTTTTAAAAGGCTGTTGCGTAAATGTGTCTATTTCTTTTGCTTAAAGGTGTGTTCCCTTAAGCATTAACTTCTTGTGGGCATTAACTTCTCAGGTAACAGTCCTGCTGTTTCCAAAGATGGAGAGGCAGCCTGTGGGGTGGAAAGTGCACAGGCTACAGCCTCTCACGGAGCTACTCAAGGGATATCTATCTGAATGTCCTGACCCGAGTTCCCTTTTCCCTGAAAGAGGGAGTGTCAGCTGGTCCTTGCAGGAATGCTGTAGGAATAGCAGTGTCCAGAGCCGTGATGGTGATGGAAGAAAGCCAAAGAAGACTGCAAACAGGAGCAGAAACTATTGCTGTGTGTTTGATAGTGAAGCAAACTTTTCACAGCAAACAACTGGTGCTTCCACACTCAGGTTTCTGAATTACTGGAGAAGGATCAGATATTCTGTTTTTGTCACACTTTTCTGAATGCTGTTTCGGTCCATATATTGACATACTTGAATATTTTAATTAAGCAGATTTTAAAGGAATAAACTATTTTAAAGGCAGTCCAGTAGAATAGTGGGGTAAGACTGCAGTTCTGAAGTCCCCATGGGCCAGAACAGTATAAATTCCACTGTTATTTATATTTGTGAGTAGGTGCCTTTGACCATGATCACATTTTGAGTGAGATATTAATTTGGAATTTAAATAATTCTTTATGCACTAAGGTAGCATCAGCTTCCTATAAGAAGGGTTGATGTGAGAAACCCTCTGAATCTTATACTAGAATGCTTCCTTCAAAATGTGAACCTTTCCACCCATCATTTACTCTTATTTTTAAAACTATTTTTTTAAATCCACAATCCAGATGAGAATACCAAAATGTAAGCGGTGTGAAAATAAGCAGGGGTGTTCCATGTTTGGGGTCTGCGGTGTGACACTGGTTTCTCTCTTGCAGTTCATCCAGTGTGTTATGAGTGTTTAAATCAGGAGCAAGCTGTATGAACATAATCCACATTCCGACTGGAGTTCTCCTCTGCTCTCTGCCCTCAGTAATTGTGTGCAGACTTACACAGCCACTTTTCCTTAGCAGCTCTTGTAAAGGTTTATTACTTTATGTATAACTGAAGTTTTTTGTTTTGATAATAAATGCTTTGAGATGATATTATCATAAGATCCCGTCTGTTAAACACCATTTAGAACTTCCTTGAGCCACTGTTAATCAAGCCTTATTTTCTTGCTAAGCCTCTTTTATGTAAATTCAGGTGTGCCAGTTGTTTAAGGCACATGATGTATTTTTCATTGTAAGATACTAAAACCTTTTCATCAGACTACAGCTGTTGTCCTCCCCTCTTTTAGAAGGGCTTTTACATCAGAGTGAAAGCTTTATATGTGAAGTATTCTTATGTAAATGGCTTATATCCACTTGGTGCATTTCAGTATTTTCCGGGTTTTCTATAATGCATGCACTTTCCTTTTACAATCAGAAGATGCTAATTTTTAAAACAGTGATAACATCTATTTTGATACACCATGCGTTCACACATATTAAACAATACACACAGCAGAAAGACTGGAAAGAGTATACAAAAATGTTGATGTGACTTCCCCTGGAAATCAGAATCATGAGTTCATTTTCCTTCTTCATACTACTTTTCCAAATATTCTCTACTAGCAAGTATTGATACTACATTTATATTAATAGTAGACTTTTTTTTTAAATTTTAAATCATAAGCTTTTAAGTAAGATCTGAATTCTAATGCTGGCCGTGCCTCTTACTAGATAGGTGGTTTGATCATTTTAGATAATCTCAGAGCCATAATACTTACCTCATTAGGTAGTTGAATATGAAGTAAATATGAAAAAGTGTTGGCATAATAAGCATCAAAACCTTTGTGTTTCTTAAATTTAAAGCTGGACTGGTTTGTTCTTTTTAGCAAAAGAGTTTGACAAAACAAATTAGTCTCCCTGCCAGCAATTCATCTCTCAGTTTAGAGAATTACCATTCAGATGATCAATTAATTGTCAACGGATGAAAAATAAAAGATTTTCTAAGCATCTTTAGCCTCATCCCACTAATTATTTTTTCAAATACCGTGCTCTCTTTCTATATATATATATATATACACACATTTAACAAATAACTATTAAACTCTAACTTATGTATTTCTGTCTTGTATTCACACCCAGGCTACATCTGAGTGTGAGTCAACCTGCTTTATAGTAATTTCATGGGAAATCTAGGTTTCATCCCAGATATACTAGTAGTCCATGAGGTCACAAAGCCTGGCTTGAGCCTGAGCTGTCCAGAAAAGAATGGATGGAGGCCCAGGAGGCAGGGAACTCACCTTCAGAGTCCCAGCACCTGTTTGCTTCGCACTCATCGGGACCCTCTGGAAATCCTGGTTTAAGGCAGTGGTCATTTCCTAGGTGACTCAAGTGGTAAGGAAGAAGGCGTTTTCTGTCCAGAGGGCCTTTCTGACCAGATTTGAACCGTCCTGCTTTGGTAGATCCTGGGGTGTGCTGCATCAGTCATGGTTCTGAGTCTGCTTTGGGGTAAGAGCTAAAGTATTATAAAACTGTGTCTCTCTGGAATACTCAATTCAATTTTAATTACTGATAGAGCAAGTGTCCATATCTCCTCCACTTCTAATTTTCTTTTGAAAGCATATAGCCTGGTCTTCAGTATGTCTCACGAAAATTTCCTTCCCCTTGACAAATTTGATGTGTCTATTCTAGTCCTACAGTTAGAGCCACACTCTTCATTACAAGTCAATCCTGTGTTGCCTTATTTCTGTTTTAGGTTGGATTCTGTTTCACTCATTAGATCCACACATCCAGTGCAGCCTCGCTGCCTTCTTCAAAACTGTTTTTGGTCTATTTTTCTTAGAGCATCTAGTTGAAGCATAATGAAGCTGTGAGCTCAAACTTGAATACTTCACTCATGGAGAATTGATTGTTTCTCAAATCACCCCAACTCAAGATTTAATATTGGAGATGAGAGCTTTATCCTGGTGTGTCAAGAGATTTGTGATGGTTAAGTACTTACAGCCCTTTCTGAGTACTTCCACACCAGTGTGGCTGCAGGAGGCTTGTGCATCCCTGGCGACAGCTGGCATAGATTTGCACCACAGCAGTCACATTTCATTAATCACAGCCGTCGCTCCTGTGGAGCCAAAGATGAGTCTAGACTCCACTTTAGTGTGATGTTCCGGGCAGTGCCATCAGTCCATGAAATGACATGCGAGCAAAAACTTCAGCTGTCTCTGAGCTAGACTTTGCTTGGCTGAGTGTGTTACTCTTTCAGTGTTTATCTTAATGGATTGTTATATGCCTAAAATATTTATGGACATGAATTTGTGCAAACTCTGGAGATAGTGAAGGACAGGGAAGGCTGGTGTGCTGCAGACCATAGGGTCGCAAAGAATCAGACATGTCTGAACAACAACAAAATATTTAAGTAAAAGAAACGGGGCTATATATAGTCACCATACCAGTTTTTAGTCTCATAATAAATATACAAACTCTTAGTCAATGACTTCTGGTTTCCTCACATTAAAACCGTACTTTGTGGGGTGGGACGAAAGGAAGGGAATATATATATTTATAGATGATTCGTGTTGCTATACAGCAGAAACCAACACAACACTGTAAAGCAATTATCCTCCAATTAAAAACAAATTTAAAAAACAAAACAGCACTTTGACTACTTATAACTGCTTTTTCCCTCCACAGACTAGGAGCTGAAGGCAAGGAAACTGCAAGTGCCAGGGTAAAGACTGGTGGGTGAAAGGGCTGCCCAAGAGACTATGAACAGGCTGGTGGAAGAATCTTTTAGGCAGTGAATTCCTGCACCTAAACTGAATCCATCCAGGATGCAGTCTGACACAAGTGAGCTCATTAAATAAGCATCACTGCCCGGGCTCTAGGATAGAATATAGTAAATGGATCCTTATTAGGGTGAGGGAGAAAGTGTTCCTGAAATAAGGCAGGAGGATAAATAGAGAAGACTCCATCTGTCATCCAGCTGGGATCATTGTCCAACAAAGTAACCCATTCAGACCCCACTAAGGGATCATGGTTATTTCTCCCCATGCAGATGGCCTATTCTAGGACACCTTGAAACAGGAAAGAACTGCCAGCAGTATCCCAACAAAACTTCTGAAAGAGAAACAGTGACTGGGCATTACAGGGAGTCATCATCAAAATAACATAAATCTTTTATTGAAAGTCACTTTATTGATGTTACAATGAGAATAACATAGAAAACCGTGGTACCTTATTAGCTTCAGAAGTGAATACTAATAAAATTGTGCCAGAAATTTGAATTTTAAGTTACAGTGACCTATAAAAACAGCAAGGTTTTATTTACCTACAGTAAAACAACTTTATAACTTGAACAGCCATGAAACAAATCACATGTGATCTGGAAAGCAGTTGCCATATATTTCAGTTGCTGTTTGCCAAAACCCAATAGTAACATTTAAAGTAGCTTAAGAACCCGAAGTGCAGAGTAGCAGAGAGAACAGAATGTTAAAATGAAGCCAAACTATATACACCTAATTATCTGATTACTGAGAGTGAAACTCTGCTGCCATGAACACTTTCCCATAAAGTGGCTTCCACTAGCTGTAGATGGGACATTACCCCTTGAAGATGACAGATGTGGAAAACACTAGTGCAGACCTACACTGGCTAACATATAACTGCTATGTTTAGGTAAAAAAGCTGTTTTTAAAGGAAGTTGTATTTTTGTGATGCTAAGTTGGAGGGGCAAGTCTCTTCCACCAAGTTAAAAAAGGAGCACATGCTTATTATTCTGAATTAACATTTGCTAAGCACTTTTGAAGTTAGTGTTAAAAAAAAAATTGTCTTCCATACAAGACAAAGATGTTGGGTTATTTTTTCCCATTAAAAAGACTGGCTATAGAATCACAGTTTGATTTTGTGCTGGATTAAAAAAGAAAAGTGGGATTTCTCATCAGGCAGTGATACAAGTGTATAATTTAGCAAGGACTTTTGTATTATCACTGAATCAATGTACTAATTTCTATCAGCACTTTCTGTATTGTGTCATGTGGTATAACTTAGCACCGCAGTGTTTAAAGATTTGGGGGCTATTTTCATTTTTAAGGGCTTGATCATCAAAACACAAATCCACATCTGAAACTTCATAAAATGAGAAGCTAAGCCCTAAAGTAAATATTGATTGGTATTATATGCATATGTATTTTCAACTTGAGAGGAAAATGCCCTTTTCTTCATAAACTCATAAATTCTTCAAAAAGTGTATTGATGGTTTTGTAAGCACATTATCTTAACATTGCTAGTCTCATTGTATGCCTTTTTGTTAAAAAGAAGAAAAATACACTTTTTCTCTGCTTTTGATTTGAGGGATACCAAAATATGAAGTTATGTCCTCAAGCCAAACCCCTGCAGCCTTTAAGCACCTCCAGATGCCATACAGGTTCTATGAAAAATGCAACAGGGACATGCTACACCAGTCACTGGCCCACTGGACAATGAGGACTACACAGCCAATGCTCAGTAAAACCACAATGCACAGAGATCTGCCCTAATCACACAGTACACACCGCCGGTGGCCAACCTGTGCTCTTCTGAGCTCTCCCTGCGGCTCTCCATCCTGCTCCTCCCCAGGGCTAACTGCCCCAGGACCTCCCAAGGCTCGCTGTTTCTTGCCTGCCCTCCAGCCTGAAACACACCCTGAGAACCAATTTCTTGGTGACGTCCCAAGTTGCACAATCCATGCCCAGATGCCAGCGGAAAGCTAAACGTGCCTCTCCCCGATTCTGCGCCCCCAATGGTTCCGCGAGTGCCAGTCCAGGCAGAGGGACTTACCTCCATGACAGTGAAGGTTCCTAGTCAGGAGGAAAGATCTGACAGCTACTGAACGGGGAGTGACTTTGGAAGTAGAAAGGGTCTGGAAGCATGTCGCAAACCCGCAGTGAGAATGCTTATGGTTTGTCAGATTCTGGATAAAAAGGACAAAAATACTGGGCAGCTTTTTGTTCCGTTTCCGACGGTTTCCTCCTTATAAACCGAACCAGAAGATGCTCCATTTGGGGTACTCTGACAAGCTGATAAGCAGAAACACCCGATTTCTAAGATCCCACTCTGTTTGCTCTGCCTCTGAAGGCATGCTGGAAAATTCCTCCTGGAATTAAAAGCACCTGCCCAGGGAGCGTATGCTATGAGCATGCGCCAAAGGTTCCCAGCAGGTGCTTCTGCTTCGGACCACCCCACTCAACTCCCCACCCCACCATACAGAGCCGGATAAATTGCTGCCTGGCAGCTAATTTTCAGGAGCACAGTCTCAGCACCTCACAATCTCAGAAACACAGGAAGCTGTTCGCGAAAGTTCTTAGCTGTCTCATGCAGGAGGAAAGTTGCTGCCTCCAAAATCCAAAGTCTTATCCATTCAGAAAATATCTCAGAGGAGAAAAAATTTAAAGGCTGAGCCTCCAATTAAGTCCTATTCCATAGAAATGTTTGCTTCATATAGTTTAAGCTAATAGAATAAATTTTTGACTCCACTTGCGCATTTATCAGTTTTAAAGGAAACAGATGGGGGTGGAGACTTAGGAGCATTAAAAAGTATGCTGCAAATGGGAGTCAGACGTTTCCTGTAAAATTCTTGTCAATTTACCAACTGGTACTTTTGTATTTAAAATACGCTGCCCAGGGACTTACCTGGGGACCAGTGGTTAAGACTCCGCTCTTTCAGTGAAAGGAGCACAGATTCCCCCTAGTGGGGAAATAAGGTCCTACATGCCGCTTGGCCAAAAAAAAAAAAAATTTTTTTTGCTGCCCAGGCGGTGTTCTACTAGGCTGTGGAGGGGCTAGCCTGCCTCCCTTCATTCTCTCACTGCCTTTATTCAGTGGTTCTCTTGCCATATTCCTGGCAAGCTACTCAGTAAATTCCAGTAAGTTCCTTTTCCTTTAAGTAAAATAAAGTGAAATAAAATAGTCTTTTTAGGTAAGGATTTATTATCATGTTGAATAACGCAAGGAAATATTTAAAGCACTAAATATATATGTTTATATTGGAACTGACTCATTGGAAAAGACCCTGATACTGGAAAAGATTGAAGGCAGGAGGAGAAGGGGACAACAGAGGATGAGATGGTTAGATGGCATCACCAACTCAATGGACATGAGTTTAAGCAAGCTGTGGCAAAAACCACTACAATACTGTACAGTAATTAGCCTCCAACTAATAAAAATAAATGAAAAAAAAAAGTAAACGAGAAAATCTTAAAAGGTAAAGGAGCCACAAGAGATCTGAAACAATGGACAAGATTAAATTATGCAAATCTTCAAGGGGATCAACAGAAAAAAGAGATGTAAGACTGGGGATTCAGTCTTTCTGTGGAAGTACACACAATACCTGATTTTATCTTTTCAGCAACTTCTTTTAGAAACCCTATCAATCTTAGGCTCAGAAATCTATGGTAGATTGACTTTATGTAGTAACACAATTTGGAAAGCCTTTTCAAAGCAAGGGTGTGGGGCAGTGGGCAGGAGAGAGAAACTGTAGTATCACTTAATAACTGTAGTATCTGTAGTAGTATCTGTAGTATCTGTATCTTAATAACTGTAGTATCACCTATATATCACACTGAAAAAGAGCTTTGGCATTTTTAACCTTACATTTACTTTATTAGTCAACTTTTTTGTAAAGGAAAAGCACTGTGTTTCTTAAAAAAAAATAAAATAAAATACAGCAACCACAGATTCCGAGCCCTCCTGATGCTGCAGTGTTTGAGCAGTTTATCCCTTTCCACAGATTGCCTATGGCCTGCGGGCCACTTTCTAGCTGGGAGACTCCAGAGGAGTACGCCACTTCCTCCCTAAAGAGTGGCTAGACACGGAGCCAGCTCATCTGACTAGTCAGTTCCTTCAGGGCTCCATGATACCACACCTCCTTTGTTGACACTCTTAGTGGAGAAGTATGTGTTGCTTTAAATCAGAGCGTATTACACCGTAATGACTATGGATAGATGGAACATCTCAGGCTGCAGAGTTGTCCGATCTGAAGTCTTATCTATGCACAAAGCTTTAGAAAGAGAGGAAAAGGCATACAATGGGACACAAAGGCCAAAAAGTTGCTTTTCTCTGCTTTTCATAATGGTCCTATAGTTGACTGAGGGCTATAAACATTAGTTTCATGATGCAAACTGCTATGTGGCCTCAAAGTTCCTCTCCAAAATAGATACTAAAAAAAAAGAAGAAGAATGCTGTGCTTGTGTTTACTGCCGTGGCTCCATTCTCCTTGTCTCAGTGGATGAACAGTCATAGATATTTAGATTCAATATATCTAGAACGCCAACCATGAGTACACATGTAGGGAATTCTCACTACTCACCACTGAAATTATATATGTGTCAAAGAATGCTGCAAATGGCTGTAAGGATGTTTACACATTCCTAGATTGAGTAGAATCTAGAATAAAGCATTAAAAGTACTATAAAACCATGGTCTCTCTGCAAATGAAACACTTTTCATTCAGTTCCATATGAAGGTTATTATCGAGGAAGATGATTATTAACTGTATACCTCTAGAGCAACCATGTCTCCCAAAGGCACAAATAATGATTTTCACTTGAAATAATAATCTTCATGTAAAAATAAATTGAGATGAGGGAAGAGAGAGAAAGGTAAAGGGGATTCATTGACTACATGGCTAATCATTTGTGGATTCTTTCAAATGAGGGATGTGTAACCATAACTAGGAAGCATATTTACATGAGGTACCTTACATTCAAATCTATAAACTCTTTTATAGTCAAAATAAAACTTCTAACATTAGCTTTTATACACTCAGTACCAGAAAACATTCAGTGCACATTAAAGTGATCTTGGTCAAAAGCCACTTTATTTGCTACATCTTTAAATCTGTCTGCCCTCCTGTCCTTGGCTTGAGCCATGTGGCAATATCACCCAACACCCACTCAAACTTGAGTCTGATGGATCATTTTATTGTGGTCTCGACAATCACATCCCTTCCTGTCATGAAAAATGCTGCTTATAACAGTATCATTTGGGATAATTAAATTGCTTTTCAAATGTTTTCAATGACTTTCAGAGGAGAGGCCATTATAGAAGACATAAACAGATAAAGTATAAAATGCTGCCTTCTAATGGGGCCCTTTGGTTTGGGACTCCAAGATGATTATACTTAGAGATGAAATGGGTTTTGTTCTCAGACACTACTGGGAGAGATCAAACTTAAAGGATATTTCTGAAATCTTGTCTGCAGATTCCATTCCTCTCAAGAAAAAGGAGAGAAAGTAAGGAAATTCAGAAGTACTCTTCCCATTGAAGCATTTGATTGATCCCACCCATTTCTGAGCTCACTAGGTTAGCCTCTGGAGAGAAGTTTTCTTTAAGAATGACAGAGCCGCATGATGATAGCTATGGAACTTTGGTTTTAACAAGGGGGGTTTAACACAGATTTCTCACTTTTCTATGGATTAAAAAAAAAAAAATAGAGAGTTCAGGACATCCGATTCTTCCCCATGCCAGCTGTTTGGGTAATTTCACAGTCGCTCACTTCTGTGGTTTTAGGTTTCTTTGAACCCTCTGTGGCCTGTTGAGGCTTCCCAGCCCACCTCGTAGAACCTTCCATGTCTTATTTACAAATCAGTGCAGAATGACTTGTTGGGACTCACATCCCACTGATGATAAATACCCTTAATAAACTGTGTAAAAGTTGTTTGCATTAAAACAAGTCATTCACGTCACAGATAAGGGTGGCTATAAAGTCTTTTTAGAGAACAAAATTTAGGCCACAAAGGGTTGGTGTATTGGCAAGGTGGGAGTTACTGAAGCATCAGCAGCCGTGGTCTCCTGTGTCTTTGGCGCACTTGTTTGATCTCAGCAGGACACACTGCTGTGGGGCTCACAGGCCCCCTGGGGTGAGAGTAGCAGACGTGCTCTGGTGCTGAAAAAGAACAGCCGCTGAGGCAGGCACTGTAGCCCCCAGAAAGAAGATGGACAGGCTGGAGGGTCCCCAGGGGCCAGCCAACAGGAGCAGAGCGCCTGGAGGCAGGAAGCGAGCTGTGGAGGCCCTAAGCTTGGTTGGACATTTTGTTTTCTTGTTCAATAAAACTACCTCCAGACTGTGTACACTTTAAAAGGCCAGCACATGGTTTAGACAAACATCAATTAAGGGGAGACACACATACAGCCCTGATCACGATATTTACAACATCGTCCGATTATAATGTTTAAAGAACAGATGATGGATGACAATGACGTGATTGTGACTGATTGTTTTTAGGCATTTGGCAAAATACACTTGTGTGTAACAGCTGCTTTTTTTTTAAGTTTAAAATGTTTACATATGTACAATTGTCCTTGTATGCTGATATAAATATGAAAAGTAAAAAAAGGAAAAAGAAAAATACATGTTTACAGTTAGCATATGGGATATTGGTCTCTCAAGCTTTAAAGTCCTGCAGAAGAAATCCTATATGCCTTAGCCCTGCATGCTAGTTTCTATTATGGGATGTTGTTTCCTTAAATGTAGAAAACAATAAACAGAAGCTTCATGCACATAGCATTACTGACTGTCTACAATGAGGATGTGCTTCAGAATGTCAAGTTCTGAATCCACTATTGTCCCTTAGTAACTTGCTACATTTGGGTCATGTGAGTTAATTTTAGTGATATTTCTACATATATCTGTCATGCGGATTATCCATTAACATACCAGTACCTTTGTTGTTCCATGTTATAGTGTAACATTTCAGTAGTCCTTTTCATGGTTCAGTTAAATCCTAAGCCAATGACAAAAAGAAAATGGTATCCAGATGTGAAGCTTGGCTTCCTCTCCTCTGTGGCTTCTCAGAGATGTTTTTGAATTGTCTGAAGAGCAGATAGATTTGCAGTGATTCCGTGAGGCTGGGTTTGTATAAAAGTTGAAGTAAACAGTTTCGATGTATCACATGTAAACAGCTGATCTTAAATGGATGTCTCCCATAGCTGCATAACAGAGAAAAGCAAAACTTCACATTGTGAAAGCAAGAAACAGATGCATTCTGAGCCACAATGATGAAAAAGGTTCAGTGATTCCATCTGTGTTGATGTGATTGTGGATGTGAAGTCTTATTGATACATAAAATAAACAATCCAATTTTTAGCTCTCTCTTTCCTCTAAGCCTGAGTCTCAACCTTTTTAACAATGGCCCCTTTTAATACCAAAAAAAAAAAACCCTCAAAGCCTCATCTAAGATTACTTGAAATTGTGAAGAAATTAAATATGGTATCTCAAAAGGAATAATTCAAAATATTATTTTTTAAAACTACATGTACCCTTGTTTTCCCCAAGATCCCTTGATACAATCATCTAGAACAGTAGTTCTCAACCCTGCTGTACATTTCATTGATCTGGGGACGTTTTGAAAATTCCATAGCATAGACAGCACACTGGATCAACTAAATCAAAATAGTTCTGGGTGAGACTCAGGCATCAGCATATTTTTAAAAGTCTTTCAGACAATTCTGTACAGTCAAAGTTGACAACTATTGGCCTTAGGAAAGTGTGAGCCCATTAGTACCACCACTGCCCACTTAAAAATCATTGCCCTAGGCCTGTGGTCAGCTACACACGCTCCAAATCCATTGCTATTCCCTAAACAATAGCCGCTCTCAGGAGCTGACACATCAGAGTAGAACAAGGCATCCAGGGCAGGATGTCAGTTCCCTAATTCCCTCATCTCTCTCCTCTCCTGGCCTCTGCCACTATTTCTTTACAGCAGCCCTATTCATATCTAATTTCTAAAATGTTTGGTAATTGCCTTAATGGACTGAAAACAAGTTTGGCATGATCAAAGAGAAGTGCCATTCAGTTCACTAGAAAAGGAAGACCAATTTTAAAACAAGAAAAAAGAAATCAAGCTGATAAAATATGTTTCCAGGTAATATGATCTGGGCATAATTATTATGGACGTGAATAAAGAAAGCTAGGACCAGAGTGATATAGGCTGAATCCAACTTCCATGCAAATTCCATTTTTAGAGGAGATCTGGGGCATATCATAGTAGGATACCTAATGGGTTTCTGAGTTGGGGAGGAGGAGAAACAGCTAAGGAACCAAGCGGGCGTTTCTCTACAGATTTTCTTCATATGTTCTCTTGGCTCTTCATGGAAATATTCTGTTATCTGTTTGAGGTCTGCTTTATATGTTCTTTCCATTAAAAAAAAGACACCAAATCTCCCAACTCTGAGGATCTCTGCTATGGATGATACCTGTTGATGGAGACAAGTTATAATGAATGGTTAACCAGGAGGTCTGCAGGGCGTCTGAGGGAGAGATCTCGATTGATGCCCAGATGATGGTGCAAAGTAGAAAAGAGTTCAGACTTCAGCTTCAGCGAGCCCAGTTTCTTTACAAATGGTTAAAAAGATTAACCATTAAACTACAGCTCACATAAGAGAAGAGCAAAGGAAAGACACTGGGAAAACCTGGAGGCCACGATTAATCCAGTGAGGAAAGAGTAGCAAAGAATTGCTAAGCCATCGCTTTTAGGAATGGGCATGACCTGGGCTATATCTGGATGGCTGTAACGGAGGGGTTGCTGACAGGCAGATCTGCTTGTTACATTGTCCACAGCCCACGAAGACATCCCAGAGATAGGGGTTGCCTATACTGTAGGGATCTGCTACATGATCATGTGGCCATTCCACAGTGGATGGAACCAAGCAGACCTTTCACACAATGTCCCCAAGGCTACAATCTTCACAGCCACCCCATTCAGCCTAGAGATAAGGCCATGGGCCAGCCATTTCTTGTGACGGGGGACGTCATTTCCATGGGCTCTCATATGGGAACTCCCCAAAAACCCACACCCTAGCATGACAACAGGTGAGAGAATGTCCCCAACTAGATAGAAGAAACAATGATGTAGACAGTTTACCATGGAGAAAATGTGGAGTGTTCTACTTCAACAACTCCCTGAGGAGGGAAGGAATAATATTACCTAAGCTTTCATTATCATATATTTATGTCACCAACAACTGGATGCCTACTCACAACTCTTTTTTTTTTTTTTTTTTAGGGACAGAAAGCTGAGTGATGAGAATCTGAGATATCATTTTTCTTTCCATCTTTTACCATTTCCCATCTTAACATATGTAGGTAATTTTTTGTATGGTTAGTAAACTACCACTGATGGTTTTTAAAGTCTTTTTGATTATAGTGATCTAATCACTTAACAGGTTATGTTTTCTTACTGATTCTGAGTTGATCAAGTTAAAATTCAAATGATCCATGTTTACCTTGAACCCTAGGATTTAAGTTCAGAATCTAAGAGGCTCTGAAATATCTTTCAAAACCAAAAAGCCTAAGAACCTGGGACCCACTAGCAGATAAATCTGTCCAGGCTTTTAAAGCTTCATTTTAATTTTTTACAAAATTATTTCTTAGAAGATCGAAGTTACAACATAACTAACCACAACAGAGCCTGCACATCAATAAAGGTAATTATTCTTTAGTTATTTCTTTCACATTAGTCTCTGAGGGCTGCTCTGCCTCTCTAGACTCAACTATATCTCACATTTTGCACAATGAAAGTGTTCTTGGGAATGCTGTGAGACTAAGAGGACTTGGTGTTTATATGAAACTTCTGGTGAATTATATTTTTATAAAAATAGTAAACTCCAAATATATTTTTAATTTTTTAAATAAAAGTTTGCTAAATTTAACTATATTCTTTGTTATACTCTTAATCTTACAGATTTTCAAGGCTCCTTTCCTTGCATCTAAATTCCACCCCCATTCCCAAGACACTGATCTGATTTCCTGTTATGGGTTCCTAGTCCTTAAATCCTATTGGGTGTTATTTGCCAGTGAGAAGTCTAAGTAAGCAAACTGTGCATGGAAGTAAGGTTGGTTTACTTAATCTCTAGAAATTTCCAGGTACTGATAAAACAAAATACAGCCTCTGTTTTATCTATTCCAGATTGCAATATATTAACTTTGATGAATAGCAAAAGACACAAATAAAAAGAAGTGAATGATTAATGCATGCCCAATACTTCTAAATTCATCAGTAATGAAACAAATTTGGGCCCAAAAGCCCCAAGAACCACCTATTTTTTTTCAAACTCAATTTTTTTCATGTTCTTACAAACAGAAAAGGAAAAATGGCTCTCTCTTTTAAAATATCAACTCACAGATAAATGATAATGACTGAAGGTGTTAATATGTGGATGGAAGAAGCTCTCACATACCCTGGCACTTGGTCGGTTCACTTTCTTGTCCTCATCAGGAAGGGGAGGCATTGGATAAGGGTATTTTCTGCTGGAAGCAATAGACCCAGTTGACGAAGAAGGAGACTTGGCAGGAGATAAAGTCCTGAGACGTTGAGAACACATGAGATACATATTATGTAATTGCCTAAAATCTTTTCAAATTCTGAAAAGTGGGTTCACAAAGAACCCTCTAATTTCTACTTTCATAGACCACTACTGCAAAGATTTAACTACTGGGACATACTCTGTCATTCACAACACTGGAATACTAGCTAAAGTTTATCTTCCTAATTTCACAATTGCAATGGATTATTTAAATGTTCACACACAGAATCATACTTTTCAGCTAGAAAGCCAATAATGAGGGGTTTTTATTTTTAACAGAGTTTTAAAAAGTTAAAATGAAGAAGAGATTAAAAATATTCTAAGAGCTCATAATGGTAAATTAAGTGTACAATATATTAATAGTCTGTCTTATTTTATGACTTAGTGTAAAAAAATTTTAGTACAGTAATTCCAATTGTATTTTTAAGATCTTAAAATATGATGCAACTGAAACATTTATTAGTTACTAAGTCACACACCAGTTTATACAAAACTCATGCATTCAGAGGCCAGTGTGTTAGTTGTGACAGAACAAAGGCAAATACGAGGGTTTTAATAACAAATTAGTAAACATGCAAGCGGTAAGGAGTGCAAAGTTCCAGCCAAACAAAGAGTCTGATGAGAACATACAAAAATGGTCTGATTAGTCCCTACAATCTTCATAGCTGTATAGGGGAGCATTCTGAGCCATGGACATAGATCTTGATAACTCATGTAGGGCATACTTGTCATGTCGATAATGTGGCAACACTTTAATGACTGGAATTTTTGAAACACAACAACAAAAACTCTTCTTATTTGGATAACATGTGTTCTCATCACGGAGATATTCCCCATGAAAAATTTGCATGACCTCTTGGTGTATTATACTGCTCTTGTTTTATTCAGCATGTACAGTGGTAATATCCATGACTAAACAAAGCACACTGGAAAAGCCCATATCTGCTATCTTGTCCTTAAAGTGAAAAAAAAAAAAAAAACCCAGCTGAAAATGAAGAACTTACACTGTGTCAATGAAAAATAGGCATGATCATTTAGCCGTAACTACCCATTTCACAAATGTTACCACTACATATCCATGACTCCTCAATTCCTGGTGCAAAGTGGTAATGGCCCACATCACCTCCATGCTGGAGCACCTGGGACTCGTTCCAGGGGGTGCATCTCACCTGCTGTGAGTGGCTGATTCAGCCTGTGAGTGTCGGTGGTGGGGTAACCTCAGGTAGAGGGAAATCACCTAACTGTACTGCCGCCGCTGCTGCTAAGTCGCTTCAGTCGTGTCCGACTCTGTGCGACCCCATAGACGGCAGCCCGCCAGGCTCCCCCGTCCCTGGGATTCTCCAGGCAAGAACACTGGAGTGGGTTGCCATTTCCTTCTCTAATGCATGAAAGTGAAGTCGCTCAGTCATGTCTGATTCTTAGCGACCCCAGGGACTGCAGCCTTCCAGGCTCCTCCATCCATGGGATTTTCTAGGCAAGAGTACTGGAGTGGGGTGCCACTGCCTTCTCTGCTTGACTATACTGCCTGCACCAAATAAAGATATCTTTTCCTCCCTGATTCTAAATTTTCATTCCTATCCATAGATTATTCTTTGCTCTGGTTTTGCTGTAGTTTTCGAGTCAGTTTCTATTTTAGGGATACTGAATTCAAGTTAAGGTTTGAAAATAATTTTTCCCACAAATCCTGAGATTTCATTTAATTTTAAGAATCAAGAATGACTCAGTTTACTTTTAATCTGTAATTCCTACTGTTTCCTCTATTTCTGGAAAATGTCCAGGACCAAATGGTCCTTCATGTGAACTGTCAGAATATTGCAACTCTTTGATGTCTCTTGTATTAAAGCTCTCCACTGAAGAGAAGATGGGTGGAACTAAGAATATATGAATACTTCAAATCCTCTAAAGTATTACTAAAGCAATGTACTACTGCATCTTTTTCTAACTCAGAAATTAATATTTGTGGGTTTTTTTTTTTCAATTCTAGGAAAGCATTTCAAATAGGACTGTGATCTTTAGGAAACAAATTCAATATGTTCAAAATGAGCATACTTTTGTATTAAATATTTAAATACATCCTTCTAAAATTAGGGACATTAAACTGGGTTCAGATTTTTAGCTTAATTACTAGTGATAAGACATCCAAGTTCAGAAAAAAGAGTCAGGTACACAAACAACCAAATCTCATTTACTTTAGGGGATCATACAAACTCAGTCATCTGTTTAACATGTTGCTGTGTGCATGTATGTCCATAGCATGGGGTATTGGCTTATAGCTTCAAAGTCATGCCAGCCATTCACTTGGTCATGGTTCCAAGTGACCAGCTTTGTATACACACAGGGCCATTCCAATGAGGATGCTGGAAGTCCAGCTTCCCCCTCAAATATCTCCCTGGCCAAAGCCAACAATGAGTTAAAAACAAAGAGGTATCCTCCAGAACCTCAAAGAAATTGAACATTTACTACTCCTCTCATTAACACACCAGTTTAACTGACACTTTGAACCCTAACAGGCAGAGAAACCAAGCAGCCCAGTTTAGCAGGGGTGAGGGGCTTCAGGTCTAGGATCGAGGGGTGTGTGACAGCATCAGAGGACTATCTTGGGGGATGCAGAGCACCAGAGCAGGAGTCAGAATAAGAGCAGAGAACAAGGTAAGGTAGATTAGTTTAGGGAAAATGGAAACAAACTTCAAAATTTTCACAAATATCTAAGAAAGATGTTTCTTCAAAACCACCTCCGGGCACTTTTCTGAACCTGGCTACTTGCCTGGTGGTTCCAGTCTGGCTCTCACGGAAAACCAAGCACTGACCCAGCTCATTCACTTTACAAAGTAAACTCTGGACAAATGCTAATCATTATCATTACTGCATTTTTAAAAATCATAATAACCCATAATCATAACAGGTGCCATTAAGAATTACACAGTGAAGGTATGTCCATGTGCAGATGGATTGTGGAGTGTTTGGGGGCTATATCAGACCTTCTGGGTTTGCCCTCTGTCCACAGACAAGGCCAATCTTGGTTCACTTCTGTCGCTCAGAACAAGCAAAAACCAGTCACACACATGTGGGACACATGCCCACCCCTTAATTCACTTGGCTGTGTTCATATGCAAATGTTACAGTAGTCTGACGGAAAAGGAACAGATGTCGGAGTCAGAGCCAGGCTTGTAATTTGGGTTCTGACACTTACTAGCTATGTTACCTCGAGTTACTCTTCTGCCTCGATGTTCTCCATACACAGAAAGGAAATAAGAATGCCTACATCTCATGATGTTGCAAGAAATAAAGGAAGAATGCAGGCACCCAATACATGACAGTTATTATCACTAGTTTCTCTCCAGAGTTATTACATTTCCACAAGATCATGGAAAAGAACTAACAAACCACGGGTGAAGTGAGTAATCAAGTGGGTAATACCCAATACTAAGGAAACCTTCCAAGAGCTGGTAAAGCACTGTCACCAGCAGAACTGCTCCCAGGATCTAGCTGTGGAAAGATAATGCGCTCACTGTGACCTCACCTGCTCCTTTGTGATGATCTGAATGTACACTGACAACAATTTGAACAAATACTGTCATATAAGACCTGGGTAAGGAAGCCCAAGCAAGGCAGTCTGATCACTCAAAATCTTCCTGCATTGGCTTTGCTCTTTAGAGTGACATAGATACCATTTTTCTTTTTTCAATGCTGGACTGTCTTTTGGACAAGTTTGCTGTAGTCAGAGTCCCCCCTGCATTTTGATAAGGATGCCACAAACCCCACACCACAAGGGTGATTAATAAGGTGACCTTTGCCCTCATTGGTGGTTTTGGCAGGTAACCCTGAATGACCTGGCGGCAGACGAAGCAGACCCGAGCTTAAGCATAGGGTTGGCAAAGCATAAGCCTTTGGGTCTCCTATGTGAGGCTTGGTGTGGACGGACAGTGGATGAAATTCACTCTGTTGTGTTAGCATCACGTGTTCTAAGCCCTGGAACATCTCAATTATTTACCACTTCCACAAAAATTCTGTGCTGACTTTCAGGTCTTACAGGCATAACCCTTATTAACCCCCAAATGACAGTTAACTTATAACCCTCCACTAAATTTTATCTAGCTTTTAAACATACATATGTATTTAATAAGGAATTCTTCATATGACTATCCACTGTAGGGACCAACGTCTCATCACGAGAGGAGATAAAGGAACCCTCGACCGCCCTTGCAGCTCTGCACGTGCAACGGGGGAAGCTGAAGCGTTCCCCCATCCAAATTGCATTTATTCATGCAGCTTCTGGGCAGACCTGGGTGCTGATTTTAAGAAATGTGAACTCTGCTCTGGGAGCCACATAAACTACTCAGCTCACCCAGGGGAGGTGAATCAACTCTTCCGGAGTACCATTTCACAAATCACTGTTACAAAAATGCTAAGTCCATTTAGGTTATGTAAGCCCTACCCCATATGGGACCAAAGTCACTGTGTTACTGTGTTTTGGTTCCACGGCTGATACAAATTATAATCTGCCCACAAGCCTGAGGAAAATAGGAAGGAGAAATAGGACCGCAGGTGAGCCAAGATTCCAAATAACATTCAAAATCATCTTACCTGTCTTCCTGACGCTGGCCATCTTGGGAGCTACAGGTGAGGTGGGATGTTTGAATGTGAGTGTATGTGTATGAAGTTCAGTGCGAAAGTGGTATTAGCAGAGGGGCAGGGAAGAAGGGGGAAGATGGGGTATAAAAGCAGGAGATATTTTTGTGAGCAAGCAGGGTTATGCTTTCCTTGAGTTATATGCAAATGTATGGATCAAATTAAAATGCAGGTTGGTCTAATCATTTTCTCAAACTATACATACGTGTCTAAACTAAATGGTACACTGGAAGAGAAAGTCCACCTTGTATGGGTGCTGAGAGTTGAAAACACACATATTTTGATATCTGATCAATGCTGATCCAAGTCACGGCAATAAGGAATCTGAAAGCTAACTGTTGAAGTTACGCTCCGAAGAGGTAGTAATTGAGTCTATATTGCTTCTTTACATTAGTTGTCCACCAAGTTGTCAGATTTAAAGCATATGTTTACATCCAGGAAATCAGTTTGATATTGTAAAGAGAGAAAAAATGCCATTAGGAGCTCTTGGAAATTCTCGCTGACCTCTAATGTTAACTGAGCTGCAGTGAATTGAGTAAATTTGCTAGTTTCCAATATAAAGGAATACTCTGTCTGCTTTTTTGTGAATCAAGATCATGTTTCTGACCTTTTTCCTGGTTCTACCTGAAGGGTTAGACAACAACATTCTTACTGGAATAAAAATTTCCTTAGAGGCTTTTCTTGAGAATCTTTAAAACCCTGCTCAGCACAGCTCTTCTCTAGTAGCAAATGGCTGTACTGAACAAACAAAGCCTCATCTCATTCCATACTCTCTCTTGTGGTCAACAGTATATCAACAATTTTCAAATTCCATCAAATAATTGTTTTTATTGGAAGTAAAATTCCACTACATTTCATTTCATTACTTTTCATGTTTTTCCTTGAGTTTTTGTATGTACTATGCACTCTTAAGGCAGTTAAGTAGGAAAAATGCATTGTGAAACTGCTAGGTTCTAGAAATTAAATTGTTCAGGTTAATAGTGCTTCTTTATTAGTGGAAAGTATGCTTCATGCCCATAGAACACTACATAGCATAACATGAAGAGAAAGCTACTAAAAAGCTCAAGATGGTGATAGGGACATGCACTAAATGGCAACCCTTTCAAATATGTTCATTTGAAACATTCAGAAAAAGAACTAGACTTGCTCATGAAGCCAAAAACAGAGGTCAAAAGGCAGCAAATAAACAAGAACCTTTTCCACCTATGGGAACTTATATTGGGAGATACAAGATAGAAAACCAGTCACACAACAGTATTTGTATGTGCTGGGAGAGTTTGAAAAGGATATAAAATTAATTTATAAAATACCTAAAGTATGGTCCTTCAGTGTTTTTATTCACATCTTCTACCCACTTAGCTACATTATAGTCTCTTTTGAACCATGGGTTTAAATACCTGCAGAAAGCAATGGAAGGAACAAAGAAAGCAGAACAAGATAGAAAATCTGAAAATACACAGCACAAGCTTAGCAAGGATGTTCTTCACCCTCTAAATGCAAGTGACTATGGCAAATAAACCAGGATGGATGCTGGGTGATTATGAGGCAGTCTGTACAACAACATGACAATTAACTCGGCTACAAGAAGGCTCAAGGCATTCTAGCATATATTCAGCCTTTCAGGGAAAGCCTTTCCAGTGGTTTCCCAAAGTGAATCAGAAACTCTCTTTCAGAGTAATGTCAGCAGCCCCCTTCACCCACCTCCAAAGGCTTTTTCCAGGCCACCACTCATTTGTCTCCTTGGCTTTCAAATGATAATGGGCCTTTTTGAAAATATTCAGATGGCTGCAATTCCAACCTGGTGTTTCAGAATACAACATCCCAAGAATAATTAAAAGAAGCCAAGCTCTCTTTCCCGTATGAAAGGAAAGATTTTACATGGCTTCTGACTCATTCCTGAGAGCAGATCTCAAGCTGGAGTTTAGAAGAAAGGTGATCCAGCTGGCTCTATAATGAACAGAAAGGGTCCCACTCTTCTGATCCTGGAGCCCCAACACACAGTATGGTCCCAGTAGGCCTCCATGATCTTGAGCTGGGTTTGGTAACTTAGGTGCAGCTACCATTCCATTCTTCCTCCCCTTTGTGCACTTCACATTCATGTTTCCAGTAGGAAATGCCTCAGAAGTTGCCTCCTGAGTATCTGATCACTGGGTGAGTGACTGCCAGAGGATAATAATGACCTTAGCTAACATTTTCCTGGTGGATCTGACAAAGTCTCCATCAGAATTACTGCACAAAGGAAGATGTTAAAGGCAGTAAAATTATGAGTACAAGAGTTTTTATATTTTTTTCCAGAGTTTCTTTTGATTTTTACCCTGGGAGCCAAGCAAAGACACATCCTCTTAGAATATGCCCTTGTCAAATACATAAAGATTCAACAAATTCAGTCACAGAAGAATTTGGAAATTTTACACTGAGATGTCTCATTTAAAAGGTAACTTCCAGAAATACCATAGACAATGAAAATTTAAGTTCAGTAAAATGTTTAAAGTTATTTCAAAACAAACCAGGGGAAATTATAAAATATACTGCTTTTTTTGTGGTTAAAGTTTGCTTCTTGCCTCCGTATTCTGTTTTTTTTTTCTTTTGTAGAAACATTTAAATCAAGATACATTTCCACAGTTATATAAGCAATATTAGATTATATTTCCATAGTGCTTTCCCTCAAGTTTCCCTTTCCTTTTTAGTTATAACCAATGTATACTACAAAATAACATCATCAGTTCCCTCCTAAGGGAAGGGCTTGCTTGCTTTTCATGCTTACAAGACCATTTTTGCTAAGATAGTGTCCGACTTGGGCACAACTCACACTTCTTTTTGCCTTTAGCCACAATCATTGCCAACTTGTGCTTTTGACAGAGATAGCCAATTAAAACTTGCATAAAGATTTCCACTAAGACTCTGAACAAAAAGAAAAAAGTCAAAAAGCAAATGCAGCCACACATAAAGGCTAGTGAATGCTCTGGCCTGGGGAAAACTAGAAAAAGCCCATGCAGCTGTTACCGGGTGAAACATAGCCGCACAGCAAACTGAGTCACCCACAGGCAGCCGGCCACTTCCAGGAGGAGACATGTGTTCCCTTCACTGTCAATCTTAGAAGCTCCAAGGAGCAGCCGTGGCTGTTCCGGGAAACCTACAGCCATGTGGCCTGACTTGCACAGAGGCAGGCCTTTCTCTCTGTGTCAGGGAGCATCTCAGAAAGCTGTGATCACTTCACGCTAGGTCACTGAAGAGAGCACTCAATCGAGGTTCCCTCTGGGGATGTGCCTGTGAAACTGTCTTCACAGTGGGCCTCCTAATAATCTCTAGGTCGTGCTGGCTAGAGTGATGAGATTTCATCAAATTGCAATGCATCTGCCTACGTGGCTTGACTTGGCTTGTAGCGCAACATGCAAAAAAAAAAAAAAAATAGCGTTCAACAGGATAGGAGAGCCCTTTGTGTTCTCCAGAATGAAAAGGCAGAGGAAAATTAGCCAGTGCTGGCTGGACCAGGAGCACCTCCGAGCAGACGTTGGGGGTCAGTCAGAGATCAAATGACTCTGCTCTCAGCCAAGGAAGGGACTTGGAGGGAGATTAAGTGGCAGCCCAGAATGAAGGGGCAGGTGGAGACTGACCTGTGATCCAGACTCCCTGTCTGGGGGCTGTCAGAGCCCCCTGAGCTTATGCCTTGGGATGGGACTGTCTGGGCGAGGGAGTGCCCAGGCTCAGGTGCTTGGGGCTCCCTCCTGTAAAAACACAATATATAATACAAAGTCTAAGCCAAAAACCTTTTGTTTTTACATCATGTACAACAGTGAGGAAGATGCAAAAGCTTTGAGTGGAAAAACAATACAATAAACAAGGACGTTTTATAGCATAGTATGCATTTGTGGTGCACGGTTTCTTTAACAAACTCATGATTCATCATCCTTTGGGATGATCAGATACTAAAGGGAATGCTGAAATAATGGACCTGATAGTAAGTCTTAACCTAAAAAAAAATTTTAAAGATATATTTGTCTGTGGTCATACTGCTCCTCTTATAAGTCACACAAATGATATTGTTATATCAGATACAATTGCAATTATTTAATAAACATGGGGAGTATTTTAAAAAAAAAAAACTGTTGACATAATTCCTGATATGCTATGTGTTAGGATTTATTTTAAGAAAAATAAAACAAAACATAGTGTCTGGACAATAAGGTATATGAGAATGTGAAAAGTGGTCAGCTTCACAAACTTGGTTCCATTTAGCTTATATGGGTCATGTAACCAAACCTGAAAGTCTGAAAAATCTGAGAGCATCCTTAATACTTCTTCATAATGATGACTCCATTATGATGACTTATTAAATGTAATGATTATCTCAAAGGCAAGATTTCTCAAGGGCTGTCTACAGTATCATAATATTTGTTGCATGATAAATAATTTTTAAAAAATAAGTGATTTCCTAGAAAATGTCACTAAACACCAAGTATTCCTTGGGTCCTAAACTCATAGCTTTAATACAATATTGGCTATTTGGTGGTTGTTCACTTAGGAGTTTTCAAAGCCTTGTTACAGGAAATACTGTTAAAGCACTACAAAGCTACACAAAGGAAGTTCTGAAGAACATTCAGCAGTTTTACCTGTACTCTTGTGAGCAACTGAGATAAGCTAAGAAGCTCTTACCAGGTGACCTCATGCAAAACAAATTAAACATTCCGAGAGTTTATCCATGATGAGCCCGAAAGCATCCAAGCGCTTTGGGGATGTGTAAGATAAACTCTAACAGATTAGTTATTTGTGATGGAGTTCTATGATGCCATTCTGGACCATGCAATGGTATCACTGGAACCTACTTATTGCTGCAAAGGTAACATATCCTCTAGTAAACTGACAAGCCACTTACAAGACAATACCATCAGCAGGAAGCTCCAAATTTCAGGGCAATGTTATTGTCCTGGACTGAAAAAGGTAGGGTATATGATGGAAAAGCTAACATGAGTTTCTGACAAGCAGTGAACAAATATCTGCTATTCAGATTTTTAAAGTATTAAGGCATGAAGAAGCAATAGAGATCCAGGGAATAATCACTAGCACTGCAGTGAGAAGTAAAAAAAAAACAAAAAACAAACAAATTAGGTAGGTCCAAAAAGTATGGTTAATTAAAACCAGGTGGCAAGGTCCAGAAGCAAACTAAGGATGTGTTTTATTCCATGATGGGAGATAAAGGTTTTAAGAAGCTTGGTTTTGCTTGATTTTTCTCAAGTGGAGAGACAAATTTTAAAAGTGTATGGTGTTTGCCTCATTATAAATGACTTTAAATGTAACTGCTAACCCCATCTGACTTAAAAAAAAAATGTGGCTATCATTTAAAATACAGAGTGTTGCATTCAGTGACAATGATTCCGTTAAAGAGCAAGTTTAGGGAAATACCCTTTTAAATGTCCTCAGAAGGAAAATTTAAAAGGGACCCATATTCCAGTAGTCTGAGAGAATGCTTAGATGGCCATGAAGCCCTGGGAGCGGTGGTTTCACACTGCGAGCAATTCCCATGCTCTAGTACGGTGGAAACGTCCCCCTGCTTCTAGGCTGTGTGAATATTGGGGGGAGGAAAGGTGACCCCTCTGAAATGGCTGGACCCCGGGCGATGAGAAGAAAGGAATGTTATCAAAATTCCCTTCAAACGGAACCAAAACACCACAATGGCAGGTTACTGGAGGACAAAGCCTGCAGCGAGGGTGAGAGCCCCCACTATCAGGGGGTATTGGTTTGGGCACAGTTGCGGAGATGCCTATGTAAAAGAGAAAAGCCATGGTTAATTTTAAAACAGCAAAATAAATAAATAAATAAAAGGATTAAAAAGACAAAACCAAGACCCAGAGGCATGGTTTACAGTTCTTTGATGATCAGGTTAATTAACATTTCACACTAATTGCACAAGACCTTGCAGGGTCTCTCTCCATTAGAGGTTCAGACTTACTCAGTTGAATTAGATCGAGGTCTAAGGTTCAGACTTACTCAGTTGAATTAGATCGAGGTCTAAATCTTTTGCCTCTGATTTTCTTTCTGTTGCCTCCCAGGTTACCTGAAAAAGATGGTTTATGGCTAGATTTGAATATAAAAAAACAATTGCTGTGTGTTTAAGTACGCTGTATTTCAAGTGAATGCAATTCACAACAGCACCAGCCCAGAGCATAGGACTTCAGAGTACTGTGCAGCCTTCTCATGTACCCAGTGCACTGGTGCTACCACATCCTATCATTTCCCAACCAGAAAAAAAGAACTGGATTCTCTCATAAGAAATGTCCTCCTCTCTGTTGGGAGAAGAGGTGAAGAACTAATGAAAAAGAACAAGTCTTTACAACCAGGCACCACGCACAATAGAGAATTAAGGTTATTTGGACAGATGGGTTCAGAATGCTGCCCTATACCTTGCCAAGAGTTACTCCGAGGTCGTCCATTTTCACAGATGTCTGAAATATGTTTTGTGTCTGGAATCCTTTCACTCCAAGAATGAGAAAGTCCATTTGACCTGAAATTGAAAATGTGTATATACTGTTCAAAAATATAATCAAATGACTGTGTTGAAATCAGTAAGCAACAATTCTAAGCATTACTGAGCACTAAAATAAATCAAGAAAGAAAAAATCTGAAATGAAAGAATGAAGAAAACATGAAAGTCTTCATGAAGAAGGCAGAATTACACAACATTCAATTTAAGAAAAGTCAAATACAATGGAACCCCATTACAAGAGTTTGTAATTGAAAAGTATCAGGATACAGTGCAAGCCAATTACATTCCCAAGAACCACACAGAGCAAATACACTACATATTTCAGTTACATAATCCATGCAGCAAGAGTTATAATGGGGTCCCACCATAGATGTTTCTTAATTGTAAAGCAATGGCTTCCATTCAAGTACTATGAGAACATGGACTTCTAAGAGATTTCAATAAGAATTGCTCAGTTGAACCTGGTTAACCTTTATCAAAGATTAATCTTTACCCAAACCTAATATTTAGGTTTTCTTAAACAATAAAATTATTTTCTGAAAATTGGCATTTTTCTCCACTAATATGCACCCCCCTCCCAAATATGGTACTGTTGGTTAACTGTCCAATAACTGAATTGAGTCAGAGGTTTATCATGGAGTTTTCTCTCACAAAGTCCATGTACCATTAAGCCCTTCTGCTCTTTGTGTCCTGCCATCTTTAAATGAACTGTCTACAAGAAGCAAAATTTACACACCTACCTTGAACCACATAAGAAAAGCATTTTGACAAACTGCATATACTTAGGAGGAATCACATAATTTGGTACAATATTTAACTGTTTAAAAGTCAAAACCCATTGAGATTTTGCTAAAATCTGGTAATGATTCAAATCAATATTTTAAGCTCTTCTTGAAGTACTTTAGGAAATAGTGCTGTAATTTAAATCTTTCCCATATATCATTCCAGTTAACTGCTAAAAACATCTATTTTAAAAGGAACCTTCTACTGATGAATGAAAATAAATGGAACTCAGCACAATTATTATGTAATTCCCTAGATTTTTCACCATCATTTGCTAAGTATAGAGTGACTCCTATTTTGTACAAAAGAACAATAGAAATTCTCCTGGAATTTATTGATTTCTACACTTATTTACCATGTGATTTGATTTAAAATTGAATATTTGACCAAGAAAATATATACTGTGAGGATTTTAAGAAAAGATAATTCTCTTAGCTAAAAAGTACTCAATGAATTAAATAAAATGCTTGAACATCCTTCTATAGAATTGTACTCCTTATGTAAAAACTAATAATTTAGATTTAAGCAATATTATCTGAGTAAAAACAATCCTTTACGCTGATGACAGTTCTACAGAGTTCCCAAATCTCACTAATTCCTTCAATTTTTTTCTTTTTTTCCTGATGTTTATAAAGAGTGAGATCCACTGCAGAATTTTTGCAGATTACTCTATTTAGAACTCCAGAAGAGATCATGTTTCTTCTCAATAAACTAGCAATTTCCTTTTCAGTCTATAAAGGAACTACTGTGCCCAAAGTATACATTACAGCCCTACCAACAATTTTAAAGAAACTCTTCCAGAGGAATATTTAAGTTTTTTTTCAATGTGAATGAAGGTCTCATTTCCTAAAACACTCTATTTATTTCTCTGTCAGCTTATTTTATTAAGCATTTATAAAGCATGCAGAATTTTAAATGGTCTAATATACCTTAAGACCATAGAGCAAGAATACAGCCTTCAAGTTTAAGACATATAAATAATATATTAACCCCATCTGGACTGCTATAAAACTCAAATATTAAAAACGCTTAAATTAATTTGGCAATCAGCTTTAAATTATAAAGTCTAGAATTAATCATTCCAGGAATGAAAGGCAATATCATAATATTCAAATGTACGATTCACAGAGAAGCAATCGTTTTTTCACAGCAAGCTTAGCTTTGATAAATTTAAACTTAAAAAAATTCAATGCAGCATTTATATTACCAGTTTATTTTAACAACTGCTTTTACTGAAGCATGACAGTAACCTTTTTCTTTGACTACCAAACATGACATAAAGCTCACCATTTAAAATACAATAAAATACGATGTGTAGTTTCTGAAGCAGTAGAAGAGCAAGATTGAAAAACCCTGGAGTTTCTATATAGACTTAGGGTTGTTATTTGCTTAGTTTTCTTTTGTTTGGTTTTCTGGCCTGATTTGTTAAACCACTGGTTCTGAGCATATGGCATTTTGAAGTAGAGTAATCAAAGAACAAAGGATACTATTTTTTAACATTCAAGAAAGAAGGAAGAAGTAATCAAACCTGCTGCAAAATAATGAAATGTTCTGACTAATGGAATAATGTGTGATGGAACAGGTAGAAATCTGAAAATGCGACAGAAAAGCAGACCTCTTCTTAGAACTAGATGCTGAGTTTGTGCTGACTCCAGGAGGAATGTCGCTATAAAAAGAGTCGCCATCTCCAGGCTTTTTTACATAATCTCCCTGGGGTAACTGTCTAAGGCATAATAAACATTTCAGAGTCAGAAAACAAGACACACACATGAACACAGACATATACAAATATTATTTTAGGAAAAAAGAGGTAGGGATAATGATCTACATGAATCAAATCTATAACAACATGTAAGATTATTAATAAATGTGACAAGTTAAAAGTCATTCTAATTGTAGAGGTCGGAAATGCAATCACTGAAGTCTTTACAATCTGGATGAGTATACCCTTGCTTCAGGGGAAAAATATGAAAAGATGAGGCTTTTCACTGTAACTTCATTACACTGAGATGTTAATTGCCATTTTGTCTTTAAAAACAAACAAACAAAAAAAAAAAAACCTGGTGCTGAAGGAGACATATCAAGACAGACAGTCCTTGCCCAGATAAGGTATCCTTTTTCTCACTGTGGTATGTAAACTATTTGTAATTTCTAAATACTATAAATGTAATCTTTATTTGGCCTTAAAGGAACTGATTGATTTCTAAACTGTTCTATAATTTAATCCAAATAAATTATTTGAATTCTCTATTCAATCTGGGGCCTCACTATTCATTTAGCAGAAATATAAAGAAATCCAAAGAGATTCAAATGTCAATCAAAAATGTAATTCTATAACTGCACACTAGAATATGTAAAGGAAGATAATTTAACAAGAGGAAGAAAGAGTTGAAAAATAATGGAATTCTTGTTGATACTATAGAAAGATAATTATAGGTGGCTGGTGGATGACCTCGATTCTTTATCTCCAACAAGGGAAAAGCTACATAGTCTGCACTATTACCGACTCCATTCGCTCTGATTTTGAATTAACTGAGATTGGAATATATTTTTATTACTTCTGCTAAGGGAACAGGGTAGAAAACTTTAGCTAGGACTGCCTTGTCAATGCTCCTACTTTGGTAGTTAATCTGATCTTTTGCCAGTGCATGACCCCAGACAGGCATGGCTAATAAAATTTTACAATTGACATAAAGCACCTGTATTAACTTGTGTGATCTATCTCTCCCCTTTAAGGAAATCAAATTTCTCATTAGATTTGTATGTAGGATTAATATAATTCTTTGATACATATTCTTTCAAAATATTTGTGGCTTCAGATCATAAATGTAATCTTTTTTTCTCCCAGGATATTATGAAACATTAATTTATAGAAAAGACATGTAATTCCCATATTTATACTGTTAGTAACACAAATGATATATCTGTTTATGGAAGAGATCTTTAACTCTCTGGAATAATATTTTCTGTCTTGCCTCCTATCAGTAAAATGCTCTATCAATTTTTTGAAAAATAAAATCAAAGTTTTGTAAGTTGCCTCAGGTAGGATAATTGCCTTTTGTATCATACCAATACTTACAAAAGAATTCCAAAGAACATCCCATTAACATTACATTTCCAATGATAATCTTTATGGTTAATGAGTCATTTTTATCACTATTACCTTTAATGATAATTTTTATATGCTGATGAGATGTGCCTCACTAAATTCAAGTTTATAAGCTGTGCTTACTTGCTCTGTCATGTCTGACTCTTTGCAACCCCACAGATTGTATCCTGCCAGGCTCCTCTGTCCATGGGGATTCTCCAGGCAAGAATACTAGAGTGGGTTGCCATGCTCTCCTCCAGGGGATTTTCCCAGCCCAGGGATCGAACCCAGATCTGCATTGCTAGCGGATTCTTTACCGACTGAGCCACCAGGGAAACCCAACAATACTGTAGTGGGTAGCCTGTCCCTTCTCCAGGGGATCTTCCCGACCCAGAAATCAAACCACGGTCTTCTGCATTCCAAGTGGATTCTTCACCAGCTGAGCTACCAGGGAAGCCCATAAATTAAAATCAAATAAATACAAGTTGTGACTTTACTTGACTTTGCACCCAAATTACTCCTTCTTTACATGGTTCTGGCATTCAGGCATTTACCAAAGTTTCACTTATCTGAGACTGCAGGCTTAAATGGACTGCTTCTCACAATGGATGAGGCTCAATGGTTTTGCCTGTTTGTTTAAGCATGGTTAATCCTTCAATGTAATTTCTCTGCAGTCTTTTACTTTCCATCTTTTACACTGCACACAAACATCCCATATGTTACACATGCCATAAACTATGGGCTTCAGTCAAAGGGTTGAGAGGAAAATTTAAGTGCGGTGAACTTTGAGGGGCATGGCTTTGCTTTTATCATCCCAGGCAAACTAGACTCATCTCTATCTCTACCATGAAGTCTTCGAAATAAAGAAATTACACTGCATTCTTCTTAAAATTCCACAAAGAATGCATGTAACTCCATCACACAGTAAATGCATAAAAATGTTAACAATAACAGATGATAAACTTTGTTAAAGATTTTTTAATACTATTTAACAGCCTTCACTGTCCAGAAATTTATTCTTTTCTCAATATCCAATTATATCTTATTACAAACCTATTTCTTCCTGATTAACCTTTAGTGAAGATAGAGAATATCAGGTCCCTATGATCAATAAAATACTACCTCATCATTTGTTATAAAAGACTATAAATGACCAAGTAAATGATAGCTTTAAATGTGTTAAAATTGAATTTAATTTTTTAATCTTTATGCTTTTCTTCCTAAATTTTACTAGATTCACAGAATTTTGGAATTAGGTGGCCTGATCAGTACTAAGTTTTATAATGGGAAAATTACCTCAAATTTCCCACAGCACAAGCAAATATTTTATACATGTGAATGAATTTTTCTATAAATAATAACCAAAAGAAAATAAAACTTATTTAGCTAAATTATTTTTCCTCAGAAAGGATTCCTGTTATAAGAAAAGTTTGATCTTTCCTTAAAGGGTCTGCTGAACCATAATATTTAACTTAATAATCCTTACACATACTCAAAATGAGATCATAATGAAAAAAATTAAGTCTTAACCTTAAGACTGAAGGAGGCACTTTTCCAAAGCTTTGTTGGTGTCTAGGCTGTCTGCTATTGGAATTGTCACATTGCTGTCAGAAGAAATGTTATGTACTGTGTACTAAATCAAATTGACAGATGCATGAGTATCACTATAATAATATTAAAAAAACTAAAAAACTAAGAGAGCCTTGGGGGAGAAAAGGAGGGAGGTTTACAAGCAGAAAGTAAAGTGGCTAAAATAGGTAAGAGAGAAAAGAAATGGGGAAGGGGGTTTCTGCTTTAGGTATGGATCAGGAAGATATGAACTAATTATTTATTCTGATTCATATTATGTGTGTTCAACAATGTATGTTCATTTCAGACAAAAAAATATTGCACCTGAATAAGGATGCTTTATAAATCCAAGTTTAATGCTTTATAAATCCAAGTTTAATGAATTCAATTAACTTGAATTAAATCCAAGTTTAATTGCACCTAAATAAGGATGCTTTATAAATCCAAGTTTATTCTATTGCTATTTGCAAAACTGCCTGAAAACTAAAATTCAAAATTCTAATTTTTATTGCAAAGTATATAGCTGCTAACTCCTAAAGCAATTATGCTAAAATAAAATTATGCTAGAAACAATAGCATCAACTGAAAAATAGATGGAGGCCTTCCTTCCTGGAGATTTTAAAGAAAATAATCAATAGTCATTCTTCTAACTAGATGATATCTAAGAATTCTCCTTGGCTCCTCAGTCCCATGGCTCTACCCTTCACAAGATAACACTGGCAGATTTTTATTTACTTACTTATTTATTTATTTATTTATTTTTGCCATATTCACGGCATTTGGAATCCTAGTTCCCCAGCCAGGGATCTAGCCTCGCCCCCTGCACTGGACCACCAGGGAAGTCGCCAACCCTGGCAGATCTAAAGTGATATAATTCATGTATGAAGTTCTGTCTCCCAGAATTGGGCTTCTATCTTTTATTAGGCAGTTTATAAACAAAAAGAAAAAGAAAAAAAGGGCTTGCTTCTAATCTTTTGGCCAGACGTGAAACTAAACCTATCACACATTCCTTCAATATAAAGAAAACCTGGGAGACACATTCTCTGGTGGGAAAATTTACCAGGTTATCAGGTTTCTTCACAGAATTACTCGCCTGACATTTCCAGTTATTAGAAAGTTATGCTGAGTTTGGCATTTCTGAGCCATTGTATCATTAATTAAAGAATCTCATAACTGGCTACATAGTTAATATGTATTTATTTATTTATTTTTTTGTTAATATGTATTTAGTGTCAAAGCAAAGCTGTATGTTCACCAATGCTTTCACACCAGGATGTGTGGGCCTCACTCATGTCAGGAATGCTGCCTTACAACCATACCTACCTATCTCTTTCATCTGAGGATTAGAGAAACACAAAGTCTTCAGAGACCACATATTAATAACTTTCCTTACTAGAATGCTTCATAGATTACAAAGAACTTCATCTGCATTTGGAATTGGGGAAAGTTTAAGTGATTTCCCAAGACCACATACTAGCAGGTAGATTTCTGATTCATTCTAGATTGATCCTCCCACCATGGAACCTCAGGGCAAAACTTAATTTAAAAGCAACTCAAATTTTTTATTTCTATTCCCTGGCATCCTTTGGAATTGGGCACATCTTTCTTGGAATATCTTCAGATATTTTCACAAGATTGTAAATTTCCTAATGTAGGTTTTGGCCCATTGGTCTTATCACCTTCTCTATAACCACTAAGATACATTCTAATAAAAAGACAGTCCTTCAGAAGATATTTATATATTCACAACTTCCTGATCTAAAGTTCATTCCTTGCAGCTTCTCCGTTTTAACAATTATTATATAACCATATATAATACCTGGAAAATCCCATGGACAGAGGAGCCTGGTAGGCTACAGTCCATGGGGTTGGAAAGAGTCAGACACGACTGAGCAACTTCACGCTCACTTTCACTTTTCATATAACGCTAAGATTCATTGGCTACAGACAATCATAAGGGCAAAATAAATAAAATTTGTGCTGAAATATATAAAAAAAAATAGTACCTGCTAAAAAGTGACAACTCTCAAAATATGAACTAGACTTCAATATCCAGATTGATGAAATGGTGACTCAGTATTCATCATATACTGGTAATACTCCCAGGAGTACCAGGAGGCATGAAATTACATCAGGCACAAAAAAGAGATTTCTAACAAAAAATTTCTTAACTGGACCTATGCATATATTGAGTTAGAATAAGAAACTGGTGCTCAGGTTTACATATTTACCATTTCTTTTGCAATGTAGGCAATTCCTTTATTCTGGAGAATACCCCTGGTGAGAACACGTCTTAGAGCACCATAACAATTTTGCTTATGTTACGTATTTATGACACTGTGCTTTCCTTTTCAAAGAGTCAGCAATATTAAATTACACTACAGCCTTAATTCTTACAGAAATGGAGTTAAATCACCAGTTTTTTATCTGTGTAGTATAATTTTACTTTTCACTGAAGAAAGCCACCAAAACTGATCAACATCTACCCAACAGCAAGCATAAATAGCTTTGGCTTTTCTTCAGTGTTTTTTGGACACAGAGTTTAAAACATGTCACAAAGAAGTCTATTTCCTTTATTTAAATAATTTTATTTCAGTTTTACTTTCTCCATTAATGTTAGAAGTCAGTGACTCCAGAACAAGGTCATTATTTTCTAATATCTATGGCTAACCAGCCAGGATCTCAACGGGTACCCTGTGGGTACCACTTGTGGCTAAAGCCTTATACAGATTTTAAATTATAACTTAGAAGGAAACAGAATAAAGTTTAAAATTCTAGTTTGTGAAAAAAAAATGAAAGCTGTGGCTAGGGTCTGATAAAGTGTCGTATTTATTACACCTTATTTCTAATCTGCCTCAGACATTTCCTACAGCTGTGGGAAAAGTTAGGAACCTGCATAGGCATCTTGGGTACAAAACTAGTACTATATGATGTGGTCTTAGACAGTCAATTTCCAGAATATTTTAATTTTTTGGTATCAATAGTTAATAGTAATTATAAGTTTTTAAACGTGAAAAGTGAGGCTCAACATGGGCTAATTTAGATTTAGAAAAAATAGGCAAGTTTTACCCAACTACATGAATGCTTTGTATCTCTTTAGACACTGCTGGCTAAACATAGATTTTAAGGTTATATGAATAGAGTGCCTGACTTTATGGGCTTTTTATTAAAAAAAAAATAGTGCAGTAGGCAGAGATTATTACTATGCAAATTATTTCTTTCAATACCTGTATAATTATCTAATCTGTAAAAAAAAAAAAAATTCTTATGCAGAGATAAAACAGATTGCTCAAATGCCAAGATGCTCTCCTGATCACAATAGTGTGCCTATATAAATTTTATCATTCATTAATGAAAGTTAGTAAAATAACAACAATCACTAAAAATAAATTCCTTTAGAAATCATTGGGCAAGAAAAGTGTTATAAAGGTGAAGAAAAGCCAATCAACTAATGTAAACAAAGGTGACACCTTAACATAAAGGAATTTTGTTTCAGGTAGGCAAAAATCAACTTCTAAATATATATCACTATAAAAGTAACACAAATAAGAATGACTAATTATAGTTTTGTTGGACACAAAACCATTAAAACTAAATAATGATAGATCTATTTTAAACTAACACATTCCACGGCAGCAGTACTGAAATGATCATTTCAAGGCCATGAAAAATCAAGGTTAGTTTATGACCACTACAACATAAAAACAAAAGTAAACTTAATTTATAAGGTGTGTATGAATTCCAAAGATGATAACAAGATTTAAACCTTTTGGTTTTCAGTTATATGTTCAGATTATTCTTATCACATACCTCTGCTCTCGATAGTTTCTTTTTATGGACAAAAAACTAGAGCTCTTCCTAAGAATTTCCAATATGAAAACATAAATGTACATAAGAACATTTTGTGTATGATAGAACGAGAATTCACAGATGTTATGGACCTCCCATGTCATCACTACTTACTCACTGAAGTTTCACTGAAAGTAACTGTGGTAATACTTTGTTTAAAGTCTCCTAAAATAAAATTGCATGAGTTTCAGAATAAACCATTCTGAAGCAAAAATGTGTTCTAGAGAGTGTGGTAAGGAGGTGCCAATGATTTTTAATTTTTAAATAAAACAAGCTAATTTCTATCCTGACCTAACTAGCTGTCAATATTTTGAAGACTTGTTGGAAGGTCAAGTAACTAACAAGTAGGCTCCTTCTTCCAAGATCAAGACTAATGTTGCCATATAGATTTTGTTTGTAGCACTTTTACCTGCCAATCTATTCCATGAATTCTCTGGTTATCTTGCTTAATAATGAGCTCATGAAAGTAAAAGTGCCAATTTGATATTTAATATTTTTCATTCCTGAAACTATCATACATGGGAGAAAAATAAGCCTAAATATTTCAATTCAACATGTTTTACTTTTTATCCCCTCAAGTTGATTACCTGAGCAATCCACCAGTTACAAATGAGTATTCCTCATTTCCTATTCTTTCCATTACCCCAAGACTTGGAGAAGGGGTAGAAAGTTTAATTGGAAGGATTAATGAGAAAATGAGTTCTCAAGTCCTAAATTTGCTTGGCATTTTAAATAGAATATGTGAAACAGCATATTCATGAATTTAATTACTGAATTAAAATTTCTACATCCTTATTCTATTTTTATACAAATTCTGAATAAACGTAGTAACACTAATACTTTCAACATTCGGGTTCAAATTAGTTATGAAGAGAATACTGTGGTATGAACAAGATTCTGCAAAGTACATATATTCAGAAACAAAAAAGTGAAACCACTTAAATTTCATAAAAATAAGAAATATACAGAAAGAAGTATTTTTCATTCTAATCATTAAAACAGACAGCACAGATAATTTCATTAGCAGTACGATTAGATGTTCAGGTTTCATATTTTTGAAAGGATAATTTTTTCCAAGATTGTAAACATGAAATATCAGTTTGCATCAGTAGGTGGCAGAAAACTAACAGAACTAACAATTTTGTTTTCCCTCTCGCATGACCAAATGAAATCACTGAGCTACTTCAAAATAGCAATGGTTGTGATGGCAACTACTACATGAACCTTGCACAAGGGAAGTCAAGGAAATAGTGTGACACCAAGATAGAGCTAATTCACCTGAGGTATAATGAGAGCTCAAACAACATAGGCACAGAAAAGCCTTTCTTTCAGACATATAATTTTATACTCCAAATTTTGCTGAAATCAGCTGGTACAAATATAAGCATGCAAAGTGCCAATCAATCTGCACATTACAGAGGCATTTGCTACACTATGCTAGGCCATGTTAACTATATTATGCTAAACTTTACCCTGCTGTCTGTGCTATTTGTTAACACAGCCTTGCACAAATGTCTTTCTGCATTTTAGTACTTACAACATAGAAAGTTTATCCTTGCAGTCAACTAATTACTCTCTCTTTTCAGCCAAAATAACTTCAATATTTTGACCTTACAGCCAGCAAGACCCATAAACTAGTTTAAAGAGGTGTCTTTTAATTCAGTTGGATTAAAACCATGTCAGGCAGTGATATTAATAATAACGAATGATTATATACACTATGCTAGTCAATGCCTAATCAAAAAAGTTTGCTTCATTTAAGTTTTATTAAACATAAGTTATTTGAATACTAAGGAAACTTTTCACATCATAAGTTGAAGAACTTAACAAGAGAAATGAGCACATTAAGTATACAAAAAGTCTGGAATGTGTGAAGTCATTTACTTAGCTAAATGCTAAGGGGATCCAATATTCAAAAGTTACATAATGTGTAGCTTTTTAAATCTTGCACATAGAACCAAAGAATTGTAAGCTGAACTTTGAAGCTTAAGTATTAGGTTTCTAGAAGTTGTAAATTACAGTTGAATTTTAATTTTAACACATTACCTCTCTGAAGAGTTTTTCCTTCCCACAAAACACACATATTTAACAAATAACAATGTCTTCTTCACATTTGTTGGGGAGAGGTTTGGCTCTTGGCAGGATCCCTGCTCTTAGTAGGAAGCACTAAGGAGCAGATCCTGCTCTTGATATCACCCTTGCTACTAAACACTATGCTCTCTAATACACTATCCTGCCTAGATTTGGCGGAATGGGTTTAAGTCGAGAATCTGCATCACTAAAGAGCCAACTAACACAGCCTTTGTATGAGACACAATTTAGACTGATTTGTATTCATGTAATGGTTTTAAAATAATATTCAGTATTTTTAGAATAGATGGGCGTTAATCTCAAAATCTAAAAAATGATAAATTATTGTTACTTCTAATCATGCCAAGGATCATCATGGATTGAATATTGAACCAGACTGATTTTCACTGCAGGTTTATTTATCCAATGATACAAAAATTTCTAGAATCATTTAGATAAATATTTTAAAGTACAATTTGACAGTAATATACTGAGCCATTTCACTTACTTATAGCCCCATGCAGTAATTCCTAATATGAGCGCCAGCACTAAAATGGTGCCAGCAATTATGCCTATTATAATATTGGTACCAGCAACACCTGGGGGGAGAAAAGAAACAACGAAGATCAGTGAATACAGCTGAAATTTTGATATAAAATTCTTTCAGGAACTTTATTCTCCAGATTAATGATCATTACACTAATAACATTTGTTTTAAAAAGTGAGCATTTTTTCCTTTATATGGTTTTAATTTTACAGAAGCTTTTCCCCAAATTTTATTTATTTATTCAGATATAATTGTGACAAAACACTGTATCAGTTTCAGGCATATGACAATGATTTGATATTCCTATACATCTTGAAATTAAAAGTAGGTATTTTTAAGGGAAGAGAAAACAACCATAACTTAGCAATTTGATCAACTGTTTTTTGAAAAATAATTATTTGTGTATATTCCCTTTTAATTCCTGTCCAGGTGCATTTTTAATGGTTTTATTTTCCATGTATTTTTCTGGAAAATATAATGAGGTCATTGAATTAAAATAAAGAATAAAGATAAGGAGAAGAAAGGAGTATCACTATACAGCACAAAACCCCTGGGGAGGAATACTTAGAAATCATCTTTTGGACTCTAACCTCTTCCCTAGAAATTCTCGAAATGTTATTGTTCTTATCACTCCATTTTCACAACCAATGTAAGGTCCTTATTTTGTGTGATATTTTGTCTGTGTAAATATAAGCTTCTAAAGGGAGAAAACATGGCTACAGATGGTCAGGTGGTATCGATGATAAAAGACTGTAGTTCCCAGTCTTGGCAATAATGGCTGTGGTACCAGGGAAACAAAATGGAAAATACAGTCAGGTGAGCTGGAGACGTGCTGATGACCTGTGAGAGTGAGGATGCACCAGACGGCAGGGCCAGGGCAGGGCTGGAGATAAGCACTGGGTGATGGTACTGCTGTGTCTGGCAGCAACAACGGTCAGACAGGCTGCCACGCAATTCTTCATAGATCACAGCAGTGAAAGGGGCCCAGTGAGTCAAAGGACTGGACAACACGCACAAGCAAAAGCCCAAGAGCAGAAAACGCAGGCTGGAGGCCTGCCTGGCTCCTGGCTCAGAAGACCTGTTTGGTTGATAAAGACTTTATACCCCGTGTTAAATTGCAGGGCTCTCACCCAGGGCAGCTTGGTTAGCTCTTTGCTGCTCTCCTGAGGAATCAAAAGCAGTAATCATGGATGACTGGAACAGATTCCAATTCCCCATGACAGAGTGGCAGCCTCTCTGTCTGGGAGCCCTCGGGAGTCACACGGGAGAGCAGGACTCAGACAACCAGGAGACTGGCCGACTCCACCCTGCCCCGGTCGTCTGTGGGATAGGTGGGTGCAGATACCAGAGGGCTTCTGGGGCACTGGGATTTTCCCACTCTAAGACCTAGCCCATCTCCCCTTCCTTTCTTTCCAGAGATTTAACAGGCGTGAGTGCCTAGTCACTCAGTCATGTCTGACTCTTTCCAATCCTTTCAACTAGCTTGGCACGTTCCTCTGTCCAGGGGATTTTTCAGGTAAGAATGTTGGGGTTGCCATTTCCTTCCTCAGGGGATCTTCCCAACCTAGGGACTGAACCAGCATCTCCTGTGTCTTCTGCATTGCAGACAGATTCTTTACCCACTGAGCCATGGGGAAAGCTCCAGAAATTTAACAGGCATCAATCGACCCTGATGCTGGGAAGGAAGGCAGGAGGAGAAAGGGGTGGCACAGAATGAGATGGTTGGATGGCATCACTGACTCAATGGACATGAGTTTGAGCAAACTCTGGGATATAATGAAGGACAGGGAAGCCTGGCGTGCTGCAATCCATGGATCACAGAGTCAGACACGACTGAGCGTCTGAACAACAATAAACTCAAATGCTAGTCCTGATTGCTCCTAAGTAATAGTATGACTTTTGACAAGCCAGTTAAATCCACACACCTGAAGAGGCTTCTTTCTGCATTAAGTACAGGAACCAGCCCCACAACCATTGCTAAGACTGAAGATGCCAAAATCCTAGTCACTCTGTGAGTTTTATTATGAAAGTGACACTGACCAATACGTTTAACCTGTATGGATGATTAGAATGAAAATAATAATTCTCTCATTCTTTGGAGCTGAATGGACTTCAGGACTTGAACATTATTTTATGCAGAGGAATAGTCAATAATGAAATGATAAAAAATAGTTTAAAAAGGAACATACATCTTCAAGGTATGTCTTCTTTCCACTATCTGCATTTAATTTCTACTTCTCCATTTGGGCCACTCTTGCTTTTAGAACTACACCTGCTGCTTCTTATCCATATTAAACCCCTTCCAGGCACCTTGGCCAAGGTTACTACTTCTAGAATTACCTACAGTAGAGGCTACCAGAACTGGAGTTTAATATAGATGTAGTTCTTTAAGAGAGAATATTAAAGTTAACAAAATATTTTAAAAATCAATTCAAATTTTTCCTCATTTACTTAGTCCCAGTATATAAAACGGGGAAGGCAATGGCACCCCACTCCAGTACTCTTGCCTGGAAAATCCCATGGACGGAGGAGCCTGGTAGGCTGCAGTCCATGGGGTCACTAAGAGTCGGACACGAATGAGCAACTTCACTTTCACTTTTCACTTTCACTCATTGAAGAAGGAAATGGCAACCCACTCCAGTGTTCTTGCCTGGAGAGTCCCAGGGATGGGGAAGCCTGTTGGGCTGCCGTCTATGGGGTCGCACAGGGTCGGACACGACTGAAGCGACTTAGCAGCAGTATATAAAAAGTATAAAATATAAAATCATACACTTAAAAATTTTGACTACTTTCTTCATTTAAAAGAAATACTAGGGCTTCCCTGGTGGCCCAGTGGTAAGGAATCTGCCTGCCAATGCAGGAGACATAGGTTTGATCCCTGGTCCAGGAAGATTCTATAGGCCATGGAGCAACTAAGCCTATTCACAAAAACTATTGAGCCTGTGTTCTAGAGTTCATGCTCTGCAACAGGAGAAGACACCACAACGAGAAGCCCACTCTGCAACTAGAGAGTAACCCCCGCTCACCACAATCAGAGAAAGCCCATGCACAGCAACAAAGACCCAGCATAGCCAATAAATAAAAATGAAATTATATTTAAAAAAAGATGCTAGGATTTGTTGTTAGTCCAAATAAGTACAATACTTGGAAAATATCAGCCTGATATAGAACAAGATATGGCTAAATCAATAGACTATGTTATATTCAATATTTCATATTACAAGATAATGGAAATAATTGGTTTCATAATGAGGGCCTCAGTTGTACACTGTAATTCATTATTATGTGGATTTAACTTATATTTGAATTATATAAAAATAATCCAAACAAAGCTTAGGAAGGGCAGTTTTCTCTTTCCTTGTGCATAAAGGCAACATAATGGGACCAAATTAAGTACCTACCATTGCCAGACAGCGTAATGCCAGCCTTTGCATCATCATTGTAAGGGAAGTAAGTGCTGCAGTCTTCACCTACCCAGTGTCTGTTACACACACACTTCAGCTCATTACTGCAAACCTGAAATCCAAAATCAATCTAGAATCAACACTAACTCTTAGCTACAGAGGCATGAAAAATAAACATTAATTTTTAAAAATAAAAATTAATTGTGTTAATTGCTAATAATTATATGCCTAGAATTAGATAGGACTGGACATTAATTGGTACTCTCTTCCTATTTCTAATTACTTACTAATTATCTTACTCAAAAAATATTTTCTAGAGAGCAACAGTTGACCCAGAGGAAACAACAAAGCTTAAAAGAGAATTTATATTTCTTACACAAAAATCGATGATCAATTTGAATTTTTGTTAACTCAAATTTTATGAGGGAAATTTTAGAAAACTAAGCAGAATTACAATCATTTTCCGATTACCCAATACAAAGTTTTCTTCTTCTAAAGAAAGGCTCTTTATACCAAACTTTTATTCATCTTTTAGGAAGCAGATAAGATAAAGGGAAGCCTGACAAAGAAGAGGGGACGCCTGAGGCTTTGCAGTGGTCTGAGAAGAAAGCTTCACAAAACCATAACCTGGGCATCTCAACCCAAGCTCCAGAGCTTAGCTATCTCAGGGGTCATGGAATCTGAGAAGTCTCTCAAAGCCTAGGAGAAAAATTCACATAAACTGGCACCAAACTTTTAAAAATTATCAGACAATAATCTTCACTTATATATCCAGGAAACAGAACCTATGTTTCTGTTCTAAAGTCTTATTATTCAAAGCAACTTTGAAAGGAATGAAAAGTAGGAGAATTCAGTTAGGGTTAAGATCAGAGAAGTTCTTTAGGACTCAGGTTTGATTGGATGGGTTTCTCATTTCTGTCTGCTTGAATTTGCCAGAAGACAACATACATGCAGATTTAACTGTACTATAAATATGATCAACAAATTGCAGATTTCAAATTAATTCAGATTAGCAACTTTCTGCAGATTAACAAATATTCAGGAAGAAAAAAAATAAAGGTCTGAGTTTGAGACCCCACTTCACCGACTATCTTTTCAACAGATCAAGTCAATAACCAGGTCAACTGGTTTCTCCAAGTATGTTTCCACATCATGCAGCAGCATCAGTGATACATTGACAAGAATTGCAACACTGTTGTACAATGATCATAATAAACACATTCACAGCTGACATTATTGAATATTCACTGTGTCACAGGGATCGATCTAAGTATTATGTATCAGTTACAGGTGTTAATTCATTGATTCTTCACAACAATCCTGTATCCTGTATCTGAGGCAGTATTATTATTCCCACTTTATAGAAGAATGGAGTAAAACACAGATAGGTTAACTAATTTACCCAATCTCACCCAGTTAGTAAGGAGGAGAGCTGGATTTCACACTCAAACTGTCTGGATCCAAGCCCACACTCTTAACCTACATGATGTAATGTATATATAGAATACCTACTGTATTTCACATTTTAATTTTTGTCACATATACAAAGTTGAGTCACTGTAAGTTAAAAACACATAGGATATAAGCTTTCTGTATTATGCACAGTTATTATAAATAATTGAATGCTATTTACCACCTGATTTACTTGTGTCTATCACTCATTTGTGTGTGCATATGTGCTAACTGGCTTCAACCGTGTCCAACTCTTTATGACCCTATGGACCAGAGCCTGCCAGACTCCTCTGTCCATAGGGATTCTCCAGGAGAGAATACTGGAGAGGGTTGCAATTCCCTCCTGCAGGGGATCCTCCTCAACCAGGGATAAAACCTGTATCTCTCAGGTCTCCTGCACTGGCAGGGGGGTTCCTTACTACTAGCGCCACCTGGGAAGCCCCGTCACCCATCACTCATTTACTCATTCCTTAAACAGTTAATTAGCACAACTCTGTATTACATACTCAGGACTTCTAGATGAATAAGATACAGTTATTCATTAGCATTATGATCAAGAAATTATTCCATTATGCTTTTCTCCCATCCCCCCAAAAGCATCTCTCCCTAACATACTCTTACTTATAAAGGAAAGAAGACTTGGCAGATTCCTTTAATCTAAAGAGCAAAACTAATTCCTATATACCTTCTCTATTCTCCTGTACCAGAAGAACCCCTATTCTTAGGCAAAAAGTAACAGTTACTAAGACCTCCCTTAGGAAATTCTTGGTGTATCCCTAAGGGATATACATGGAATGACTAGGATTGAAGGCTTGTCCTTCCAGGACAAGGATTCTCAACTGGATAGTATAAACAGAAGGAACCCAGAGAAGATAAAAAGAAAATCATGGCACATGCCAAAAGAAAAAGATTAAAGAAATTTTTGTTAGCGTAGGAATTCCTAACTGAAAATGACAAAACTGTAATTGCTAATAAAGCATGTTTATTTAACCTATAAATTTACCTATATCTTGCCAGATATATGCAGGAGGATATAATTTAGCCTTTTAAATACCACCATTTTTTCTATTTGGGCTTCCCAGGAGGAACAGTGGTAAAGAATCTGCCTACCAATGCTGGAGATGCAAGAGACTTGGGTTTAATCCCTGGGTCAGGAAGATCCCCTGGAGAAGGAAATGGCAAACCACTCCAGTAATCTTGCCTGGAAAATCCCATGGACGGAGGAGTAAGACAGGCTACAGCCCATAGGGTCACAAAGAATCAGACATGACTGAGCACCACCAGCACCATCATTCTTTCTATTCATCTCTGAGATTCATTTCCTTAACTATTCTGCTTCTATTTCTAGATGTTATCCTCAGCTGGTACCCACTGTTTAAGTCAAGGCAATTATTTATGGTCTAACTGGCCAGTGCCTATACCATACCAATTGTTAAATATTGTGGCCACTGCCCCTACTTTGTACTCCCTTTTTCATCCCATTATAGTTTGTTAACATTTGTCTCCTAACTCACTTGTAGAAAACTCATATTATATTAAATTAGATCAATTTAACCTAATAAGAGTGGAAAATGGAAGAATTTGGTTAGGAAAATGAAACTTTTTCTCATTCTCAAGCTTTCACAGATTACACAACAGAAATATACAAATGACAATGACCACATGACTGTTTATATCCTAGCTGGAGAAACATGGGCAAGCATGTTTTCCATTATTACAGAAACAGGCAGTTCAGGGTCATATCTGTTTCTCTGATACAAAAGAACTGAATAGATCCCTACGGTGAGGTGGTGAATACTTACTCCATTTCCTGAACAAACAGTGCCTTCTTTATTGCTTAAGCAAGTACTAAAGTTGAAGGAAGCCACAGGAAGACACCTGTGTTCTAAGCACATCATTTTGGGACCACAGGGTGTCCCGTCTTCCACATAGCCAAGGTCGACATCCTCATCAAGCTTAACATGCCCGCCACTAAAAATAAATTGAGAGCAAAAAGAAAGCGGTATTCCATTAATTTACATTTATCTTGAGACTACATTTCAAAACTTAAAAGTAGGCAATATCACTTTCTCTATTTTCTCTTTATTACCTAATTTTAAAAGTAGCACAAACATTTTCAATCTCCAAATGGAGAAAGCAATTGAATCTTTTGATCTAATTATTTTCAGAGATATTCATATACCTTAGGATTTAAATATAATTATTATAACAAGGGCCTGAAATAGCTTTATCATTCTCCTTTGGCTACTATGCTGCGTAGAAGTCAAGTAAGTCATTATTAATAACATTTGATTTGATAAATAAGTACCTTCAAGATTTTAAATACATTTCAAACAAAGATGAGAATTTTTTAGTTTTGGTTACATTTCCCCAAAAGATTGTTCTATTTACAAACTACAGTTGACCTTTGAACAACATGGGGGGTAGGGGGAACAACCCCCCAAGCAACTGAAAAACCAAAATACAAAAGCAAAAAATCAAACAACGGGGAAATAAGGAAGGGTGGAACAAAAAATTAAGAAAAAAAAAAGACCTGTATTTACTGAAAACAACATGCACATAAATGGATCCTTGTAGTTCAAACCAGTATTACTCAAGGGTCAACTGTATATTTGAGAATGGCTAAACTACTGCAACAACTATTCAATATAGCAACCCATATATTAGGCAAGAGTGAAAAAGAAACAGGATAAAAACAATCAAATAAACAGGATAGGTCCTGAAAATGTATAGTCCTAATCTATTTATTCATATAGTACCATGTCAATGCTACTACAAAAATTTCCATTGTTTATTGTTTATTTATTTTTATCAAAATTATGCATGCATACAGTTTTATGAGTTAAATAGGCAAATTGGTTTTTACAATGCAGTGAAGGGATCCATCGCCCCTACTCCTCTTATATCCTTCCCTAGAGGAAATCACTTTCTACTTTTAACTGATTCTTTTGTTATTTATGTACATATTTTTAAATAATGAGTTTGTATCACTATTTTTAGTTTTCCTATTTTCAGTATTATCAATTGACTGCCCTCTATGGAATACTTAAATCAACAGCAAATCATGCATTGTTAGGACTTATTAAATGAGTGATATAGTACACCATAATTATACCTTTTCTTTTACTCGTATGTTTCATTTTCCCTCAGAGTAGCAAGTCTCTTATTTGTTCACTGAATTATCTATCACTAACTCAGAATTACTCCAACCCTGTTGTCAAAATCTCCACTTAAGATGTGTCTGAACATCAGTTCATCTTGCTGAAATAATCTCTCCTAGAGTTTCCACTTGGAATTCCCCTGCTCCTATCTGATCTGGTTGGCCCCTGTAAATGGTACAGAGCTGGGTATCTTGGCTTTCTCCAAGATACTATTCATTGGAGGATTGCCCCATCTTTCTCCACAGTGGATGTCTTGTTTCCTAAATTCTCTCTGTTTCCTTCTGTATTTTGGTGGAGCACAGTTTCTAACAGCTTCCTGAGAAAGGACTTAGGGGAATAAACTTGGGGGAAACTTATCTAAATGTCTCTTTATTTTCTACCCTCACACTCGATTCATATTTTGCCTGAGTACAGAATTCCACTTTGGAAATTATTTTCTCCATTGTCTTTTAGATCCCAGCACTCTTTGATAGATTTGAAACCATTCTAATGCCTATTCCTTTTTTTTTTTTCCTCTGTCCTCTCTGGAAACAGCTGGGATTCTTTTTCCTTAGGTTCTGAAATTTCATAATGATAAGTTTTGATGTATTAACTAATTTGACTGATTTCACCTTGCACCTGGTGAGCCAGGCAATATGGAAATCCAAGTCCAAAAGTTCTAGATAACGCTCTTGGAGTTAGTCATTGCTAATTTCCTCCTTGCTGTTTTCTCTGTTCTTTATTATTTCTATTCTAACATGGTGAGCTTTACTCTATGTCCCTTTCTTTGTTTCTTTTACTCTACTTTCTGGGAGATAATTTCAACTATTGAGTTTAATGTTTGCCATCTTTTTTTTTAAATTTCTAACAGCTTTCCTTTGTTTTCTCTTAATGTTCCTCATTTTTAAAAATTCTACCCTATTCTTGTTTCATGATAGAAGTATCTTAAAATATTTATAGGTAGTTGTTGCATTTTCTGATCATTTCTCTCTCTCTCTTTCCATGTTAGAGTCTTTCTTCACAAATCTGGTCATCTGTTTATATTTGAGTTGGGGAACCAGACAGATGATTGGAAGTTCTGGGACTTTCTGACTGAATATCACTGAGGCTAGACCACTTCTATATACTTCTGATAACTGATTTTTCTGCTGACAATAAGCTTGGAAACCTTCTATTTTATTCTTTGCAGACTGTAAAGCTCAAATCTTTCATGGGAGGGTGAGCAGTCACCAGCTTAGCTGGGTCGGGGAAGTAAGCTATAGATCTAACAGCTTCTCTAACAGAGTTCACCTATCTTTTTCATTTGAATTTCTTCCTCCATCCCCAAGTCCTTTATTCCCTCTTCCAGAAGTAGATGAGGCTGCCCATTTTGAGCATTTTGGGACTGGCAGTATATATTGAGTCAGTTTCTTGGTTTTCCCCATCATTGACTGAGAACTTCAGAATTTTTAGTTTTGATAATCATCTGCCACACATCTATTTGTTCTCTATGTTCTAGAATCTTGTTGCTGCTGTTTCCTCTCCCTTTTTCTGCTTCCCTATGGACATACAAATTCTAGAAAAAAAAATGTATTTAGTGTCATTTTAGTGGGATTCCATAAGGGAGCAAAAGAAGATGCATCTATTTAATCCACTGATAAGAATGAAATGCAAACTAAACCCTGCAAAATTTAACTGAACAATGAAACATAACTCTAGCTACCACACAATAGTCCACATTCAACTAATTCTTCCCTTCTTTCTATCTGTTCTCTGTCAGGATTTACTTAATCATCCCTATGGACTAGAATCCATTTCATCTTACTAACAAACATATGAACTGAAAACAGAAGTAATCCCAAGCTTCATTCCTGGGAAATAAGATGGCTAATGTTCTCACAGAATGGTTAGATCATTACCTGCAGTTTAACGTTCTTCCCTGCTGCACAACCAAAGTAGACGTGATCTCACCATCAAGTTCTCCAAGTCTTGGGATGTTACCAACGTTCGTACACAAAAGGTAACCACAGAGCACGTCCCTGTGTTAAAAAAGCACCAGGTATTTACTTCTTCCCTCAAAGATAGAGCAAAGTCTGTACAGTTAGAGCAATAACGTTATCTTATTTAAGCATTTGTTTTTTCATCAACTGTACTATTCCTTCAAATTACAAGCAAAACAAAATAACCTCAAATTAGTTTACTCTCGGCTTTAAAAATTGTCTTCTCTGAAACTTTTGGTGCACCAAAATCCCAACTATGTTCTAGATTTTCCTTTATTGTCCAAGTATTTATCTAAAGAAAATTACCCATCAAATGGACTTCTTTTATATCTGAACCTCCTTCCTCATAATAGTATATCACAGGATATACTAAGACATTTTAAAAAATATTTGATAAGTGAATGAATGAACTTTGAATGAGTATTCTTTCAGAATACAGTGTTTTCTTCAACCAATGGCACCAGAATTAAAGAACAGATTATATACTTTGTGACTTCTCAACCACATAGGATCATGATTCCTTTTCCAATATATTCTACTTCTCCCCCCAGCTAGCACATACAATTCTAATTTAACTTGTAAAATATTTTCATTTGTGTTAACTACTATCTTACATATTCTCTATATTTAACATATTTTAATCATTAATATAGATAATGATAAACATATTCTAATAAATGTCTTGCAAAGACTTATTAGCAGGCCAGCAACTATATATGTAAATGTTAGACTTTACCATATAGAAAAAGAGAAAAATTAAGACTTGAATCTATCACCAACATAGAAAAATACATATTATTGTATTAAAAATAATTTTTAAAAGTTATATCATCACATTATTGTATCTATCATAAATAAAAATGTTTTTTAATGTAGAAGAGATATACATTCAACATTTTTTATTGGAGTTTACTAAATACTTTAGTATATATTAAAAATAACATTAGATGATTTTTATTCTTAAGGAAATTATACTCTGGGTAAGAAGAGAAATTACACACATTAAACATCTATAAAACATAGAGTTAGTGACAAGGACCATAAAAGTAATGCAAAGGATGCAGGAGAAGAGGGAGGTGATTTATTTTCAGGGGAAATAAATAATAATAAATAAAATAATCCAGAAATAATTTACAGAGTAAGTGCTATCCAAGGGGATGGGGATGGGTAATTTTTTGGATAGGTAAAAATTTTTTATGGAGTATAAAGGGTTCTTCCTAAAGTATGAATAGACACATACCCGTGTGGAAGTAGGACAATAAAAGATATTAGAAATGGCCAGGTTTGCTAGACTTCGAAAGAGTAGAAAAGAAAAAAACAAAATATGTAGGTTGGGGAAAATTACAAAAGAGGTACAGTGCCAAGCTAAGGTTCCATTTCATGCATTAAGCAAGATGGTATGACACTCAGCAAAGTGGTTAAGAGAGAATTCTAAAACCAGACTGCTGAACTCCAATTCTGCTCCTATTATATCCTACCTACATGACCTTAGTCAACTTAACTGTCTTAGTTTCCTCCTCCATCAAACAGGGCAAACTGCCATGAAGATTAAATGACATCACTTATGTAAAGTATAATACAGTTCCTAACACGTAGTGTGCACTCAATAGACGTTATTCTTACTATCAATTAAGTATGTGGAACCAGTGAAATTTGAACAAAGAACTGACATCATCAAAAAGGTTCAGGATAAGATTATTTTGATGGGATCATGCTAGATGCTGCTGGCCCAGACAACTAAGAGGTTTCTGTATTAGTTGAAGAATTGACATAGGTCTTAGTTGGGGTAATGCGATAGGCACAGAAATGAAGAGATAAATTAAAGACAAATTGTGGAGGAATGAGAGAGAAGAATAAACATGATTTGCCATTTGGATAATGAGTCAGAGAGACGGGAGCATCAAGGATCACTCTGAGGCTTCTAAACAGAAGGAGAGTGAGATATTAAGATCTGTGGGGAAAAGAGTTCTTTATTAAAGTCAGAGTCAGATAATTCCATCTATCAGCACTGAGAACATTCTGTTGGCTTTCATTTTTGTTGCCTTTGAGATGCTGACAGATGTCTTCTAGGTGAGAGAGACCTAAGGCAGTCATAGGCATCACCTGAGCCTTGGGAGAGAGGTCAGAATACATACTGAGATTCAGAAACCCTCTGCAGAGGTGGCGTTGGAACTCTGGGAAGAGATGAGGGAAGGAGAATGCGTTATGGCATGCCGAAAACAGGAAAGTCCTGGTCGCTCAGGAAGTAGTGCCTGGAACTCAGGTATAAACTCGGCTAATTTCTCCGTCTCACCGTTTGTTGCACTGTATCCATGTGTCTTTGTCTTTCCCACAGTTACCCTTCTCGGTGCCTTCTATATTCAGTTTCTCATAGCAGTATTTATCTGATGACATCACATCTGAAGCAGAATAGAATTTTCTATCAGTTAAAGATATACCATGTGAGCTGTTTAACTCTTTGCAGTAAGGGGAAAACACTTGTGAAGAACTCTCCCCTTTCACTACAACGTTACCAATTACAAAAGTTGTACCCATGCTTCACAAGAGTTCCCCATACCAAAAGCATCCATCACTTGGGTACATTTCTCACAACTGCTCATTTAAAACTTGAAAACAAATCTATGTAGATCTTCGATATGATTCAGGCTGTAAGTTCTAAGAATAACACTCCTGAGAATTTAGCCAATAATTGGGGAAAGATGCTACCAAATGGTTCATTGACAAATATTCAATGCTTTAATCTCAGTGCCAGATAGAAAGCATGAATTTTTCACTCAGCAACTTTTATGAATCCTAAAGACAATTTTATTAAAAGAATGATGCACAATAATTAAAGACTCAAGAAAGAGCACTATTTCCACCTTGTTTATTAATTCTTTGTTTTAAATTATTATTTTTTTCCTTTATTTGTATTAGTTGGAGGCTAATTACTTTACAATATTGTAGTGTTTATTAATTCTTAATGGCTATCAAAACATTACTCTGCTTGTAAGCAAACTTGAATTCATGTTAAATCTCTGACTTTCAAATAACATTTTAAGTCATGTAAGCATTTTTGTCAGGATTTTATTTTTGCTAAAGCCAAGGTCAGTTTACGGAGCTATCCAAGATTTAGATCAAAACAACTTTTGCAAACTAATCAAAAGATGACTGTCAGTGTCTATTTTTTAAACTGATAATGTTTGGTAGTTTCTTTTCCTACTTCTTGCTGTCAGCCACTAATTTTTCTCAGGAGGAAGAAGCAAAAACCATATTTCTTTGTCCAGAGCATAAGCCTACATAACTAAAATGTTCTCCTATGCCAATGTTTCTTTAGTTGTTCAAAAGAGAGCATACACTTCCTTTCCCCGAAGGATTATAGCCAGTATTTGTGACAGTTAAAGGTTATCATTATCTTTATAGCTTGCTTTCCAATATAAATCATCTTTTCAAAGAGTTTGAAGCAAAAACTTCTTTCAGAAGGGCCAGTAGTACTTCTGGAAAAATATAACATTTAAATATGCATTCAAATTAAATATGTTTTAGATATAAATGTTACATATTTCCTTCTGAAAATCTGCCAAATTTTGAAAGGAATAACATTAAAATTTCTTTCTGATATGACAGAGCTACCCTAGCAGAAATTCACCTGTAACTAGGAAAACCAGCTAGAGTTTGAGAAAGAGAGATAAGAAAGAAAAAGCAACTCTAGCTAAAAGGCTACACTTCTTATCCAAGGGTGCCCCACTCAGGGTCCATGTCCATTCCACATGGCTGATGGGTTTTGCCTGAGGATACTAAGTTAAAGACAGCATAAGAGGAGCAGAAATCCAGGTTGCGTTGTTCTCCAAGTTGCATATCCTAGAATGGATTTTACCTTTCTGGCAGCAAAGGCACTTTCCACCAAAGACATGGCTAACTAGCCAAGATGTATAGAGCTGTGTCTTATCAAAGGAGGTGCTTTTCTCTAATTTCCACAAAAGTGCTCCTGCTAAGAGCTGCAATGGTTCTGAAAGTCCCTGAGTCATAATAAAGTGGTTGGAAAATTACTTCCATCCAGTTCACATGCCCTTGGGCCAGATACCATACTTGGAGAAGGCTCAAACCTTGTTATTTACTCACTTTGCCCCCAGATGTATTTGCATTGTCTATCCCTGGTTTTACATCTTCCTCCAAAGCAAATTCCCTAAAATGAAAAAGCATACCCATTAGTAGCACAATGTCTACTTCCATCAGGTAACTGAAAAATATGTCTAAGAAAACTAATAGATGAGTATTATAAAGCCCTTTTATCTTCAGAGCTGACTAAAAAACATTTAATATGATCTTCCTATTTTGATGAGACTTAGTATTTTTTCATGCTGGTACATAGGAAACACTTAGGTAAAGATGAAGCAACCTACCTGGACACCATCACATGAATAACCATCCATCTTATGAATATTGGGGGCACACTAGGAAAAGAAAACAGAAATATGAACCAAATGCACAGCAAGATATTAAGATGAGCTAATCTCTTTAAAGGTTTTCATTTTGAAAATGAAGTCTGATAATATAGGGTAGTCTCCCAAATCATCTGAAAATTAGAAAACAAGATCAAGAGAAAACAAAAGGAAATGTAACAATTGATGATTTTCCCCTAAAAATGTGGATCTACCAGAGGAAAAGAGCAGTTGATTTGTAAATCCTTATTTACAAATAAAAAGAACCAACAGCAAAGACTCAGCTAACTTATACAGACACACTACTCCTCAGAGTAAGATAAAACAGAACATAAGACAAAGTCAAAAGGATGCCACCAGATGGAGCAACAGATATGGTTTCCTCTTTTTTAACCATGAGAAGTAACAGTTCTTATACTTAAAATGATTCTCAAGTGAAAGTCTACCTTGGACATGTCAGAAAAAGACATGCTTTATAGCCACCCCCCCACTTTTCTTCCCTTGGAGCAATTGCAGAAAAGACTTCAAAAGACTGCAAAGCATTCCTATGTGGCTAGAAACAGAGTGTAACTTTAAAATTTATTATACATTTTTCTATTATTATAGTAATTACATACTTATTTGAGAAAAGTTATTTGAGAAAAGAAGAAATATAAAAAAAAAAAACCAGGAAAATTGAAAGACCAAAGTCTCTAATATTCCCACCATCCAGAGACAACTATTTATTATAATTTGGTACATTTTTTCCTCTACCTTTTTCTACAAAAATGTGGTATTTTATAATATAAGTATAATCAAATTATAAATAATGCTTTATATTCTGTTTCAGCTCTTCACTTTCATCATGCAAATTTAATTGTATCATAATAAACTTTTTTGTAGGTATCATCTTTATAGCTGTAACACATTCCCTGAGCTAACAAGTCATATAATCAATGTATTAAAATATTTACTTACAGTTATCTCAAATTTATGCTGTTACAACCAATGCAACAAGAACACCTTTGTATGCACATAATTTTCAGATTTAGAATTCTTTTAAAATCCTGCTTATCACATAATTACATTTTAAAGAAGTTGCTTTAATATACTTTCATTCCCAGAGCCCATTACGTAATCATTCATTGTATCCCCATCCTCACTAGGTGTAAGTTTAGGAAAACAGTGCTAATTAGACAGTAAGAATGCAAATCTTTAATCTCAGAATGACTGCTTTAAACAGACTTTTGGACTCTGTGGGAGAAGGCGAGGGTGGGATATTTCGAGAGAACAGCATCGAAACATGTATATTATCTATGGTGAAACAGATCACCAGCCCGGGTTGGATGCATGAGACAAGTGCTCGGGGCTGGTGCACTGGGAAGACCCAGAGGGATCGGGTGGAGAGGGAGGTGGGAGGGGGGATCGGGATGGGGAATACATGTAAATCCATGGCTGATTCATGTCAATGTATGACAAAAACCACTACAGTATTATAAAGTAATTAGCTTCCAACTAATAAATGAAAAAAAATTAAAAAAAATAAAATAAAGCATTTTTAATGGTTAAAGTAGGACTTCCCAGGTGGCAGAGGTGTCAAGAATATGCCTGCCAATACAGGAGATGCAAAAGATGCGGGTTTGATCCCTGGGTCAGTAACATTCCCTGGAGCAAGAAATAGCAACCCACTCCAGCATTCTTGCCTGAAAACTTCCATGGACAGAGGAGCCTGGTGGGCTACAGTCCATGGGTTCGCAGAGTCGGACATGACTGAGCACAGCACAGATACACCACTACTGATTCTCTCTTCTCTAGAGAAAAAAAGATGTGGGCAGTCTTCACTTTGCATGGCTCCAGTGTGAAGGAATTTCACTCACTATGGTTTTGTTAAATGACACCAGTACCCCAAGGACACAGTTCCAATGTCAGTCACCATAGTAGATTAAGTGTGAATAATTGCATGAAGAACAAACTTTGCTATTAGCTCTTCAGTCCACCGATCGCTTGGTAAAAGAGATACGACCATCACAGTTAACAGCCCATCTAGTCACTTCTTTCAAAGTCTGTCAGGATTGATCACTGAGCATCTGTTCATTCAGTTCATGTACAGACAAAAGAGCTTGGTGCCTTTCTTTCTCTGGGTTATATCACGTGGCATCTTATAATAAAACTGAATAGTTGAAAGAGGAAACTGGCCAACAAAGGTGAAAATACAGCAAAGAAATGAAAAGTGATAACACTGGAAGAGAAATTAAAATCAAATGTAAATAGCACGACAGAAAAAAAAAATCAATGACTTTGGGAATGGGATGCTGATAACACTGTTCAGCAAAAAAACTTCCCATTCACAACTTCACATCTCTCGGATATTTCCTGACATTGAAAGCACAAAGGATCATGTCAAAAAACTGACCCAAACTTAGAAAGAAGAGTAGCAATTCAACAAGGCTTAGGAAAGACGCTCACTAAGTATCATAAGGTTTCTGACCAGGAGAAAGCAAGCACAGCTCAAATTACTGATAAGTTTTTTACGAAGAAATAAAATACATTAATTTTCAATATTTTTGTTTTAATTTAATGTTAGCTAAATAAATATTAGTTCATTTTTTTCATTTCCCTATTCATTTAAGACCAACAGGGAGTTTTTAATCACCTGATATTTTTTAAAGATCACAGAATAATTGTAAATTTTTCCATTGATTACTACAATACTTCACATGGTTTCAGCTTTTATGGTCACTTTTGTGATCCTTCATTACAATGCAAAGCAAGCACTGCCTGTATACACGTACACGGAGATCTGTGATCGCCTGTCAAAGTTTATTAACTTCTGTGTCTTCCCTGAAGTGAAAGTGTTAGTCGTTCAGTCATGTATGACTTTTTTCAACTCCATGGACTGTAACCGGTCAGGCTCTTCTGTCCGTGGAATTCTCCAGACATGAATACTGGAATGGCTAGCCATTCTCTTTTCCAGGGAGTATTCCTGACCCAGGGACCCGTGTCTCCTGCATTGCAGGCAGATTCTTTACCATTTAAGCCACTAGGGAAGCCCTTGTCTTCCCTACTGACAACTAAATGATATTAAATTCAAAAGCAGCAATTAGTGGCAAGCTGTTTCAGGTAAATTAAAGTCAAGAGAGGCCCTGTCTCAGAACCCAATATCCTGTGGTTCTCTCTGCCTTACCTGATTCATTTCAACCAGTTGAACAGAAAGAGTCTTTCTGTTTCCTCCTTCACTAGCTAGACTAAACACAAAAGCCTTTTATTTCCTACTTTCAACAAAAAAAAAAAATAGTTAAGGCAGATATATAGTCTTAAGATTAGTTCAACGTTAAGACAAAACCACGCTGAACATCTGCTCAAGCTTTGATTACTGAAACTTCAATTCCCAAAAAATTAATGAAAGGAGAGGAAGAGTTGACATGAAAGAGAAACATGAACATCTTACCCATTTCCATTCCATCTGAGGGTCAGTTCACTAAACAAACTCCTACTTTTTCCCCCTTGGATTCAGAGAAATTATTCATAAGTTACCTGGCTTGAATTTCCAGAGCATGTTTCACGAATATCACAATCATTTACTGCTTCACGGCACACGGTTCCCATAGGCTGAAACTAAAATGAACAAAACTCAATGTGCAAAACTGTCAAAGGAAAAAAAAAACAACAAACCTCTTACAGTATCATCTTAAAAACGCAAAAGGAAATTTTTTGGATAGGAATACCTTAAACTAGTTTAAGATGAAAATCTGTGAAAACCACAGCTACTGCATGAAAATGTTAATTTAATAGTTCTCAGGGCGAGTTTCTCACATATGAAATAATTTGCATAGTTATCACACATAGCCTTACAAGATCTAGCTAAAATAGGATGTGCTTGATGGTACATCTGTACCAGAAGGACAAGCCAGTCCAAGTTCCAGCACTTCTTTCTTCCAACTAGCTTATGGGTTTATATTTTATCCTTCATTCTTACTAGCACTTTTATCACATTATTCTTTTTTACCTCATCAGCTAAGAATTTGAAAGTTACATTTTGGACTGAATTGTAAAAGTTAGAGGAAATGGCAAAGCTATTTCCTCTCATGATTTCCTTTACCATCTTATCTTCTCTTCTCATCATTTTTTTTTTTTACAGATCTATAGCTTGGTCTTTTATTCCCTTTTAATGTTTCTATTATTTGTACCTGTCTGTAAGAGTCTTCTTTGGTCTGTTTTCAACTCAAATATTTTTTTTAAGTGTAGGAGTCATATAAATTTGTATGCTTGTTGGATTCAGCAGTTGCAGAAATATTCATTAAAACAAAACAAAAAGAGATATATATATAAAGCTACCATCTTTCTCTTTTCCTCTTCAATCCCACTCTCCTTCTTGCTCTAAAAGGTTACTATTTGGGGCTGGGTCCTTCCATGTTTTTAACTCTGCTCACACAAACATATACAGTATTCTAGACCCCTTCTCTCCCCGACCACACACACACATACAACTTTCCTTGTTCACCACCCCCCAGGCAGTTGAGTCTCCTGTTGCTCATAGAACATGAGCAGCACACTTAACTCCAGTCAGGAATTCAACAGATACTTTCCAGAAGAGCTGAACAAAATTTTGTGTTTGTTCATTCATTCATCAAGCATTTACTAGGCACATGTGCTAGGCACAGCCTGTGGAGATTCAACAGAAAACAAACACAAGAATCTTGTTGGCAAGGAACTTAGATTTCAGTGGGGATGAAATCACTCTAATGACAGAAAGTGAAGTGGAACTAAGGAGCCTCTTAATGAGGGTGAAAGGGGAGAGTGAAAAAGTTGGCTTGAAACTCAACATTCAAAAAACGAAGAACATGGTATCTGGTCCCATCACTTCATGGCAAACATAAGGGGGGAAAAGTGGAAGCAGTGGCAGTTTTTATTTTCTGGGGCTCCAAAATCACTGTGGACAGTGACTGCAGCAATGAAATTAAAAGACTCTTGCTCCTTGGAAGGAAAGCTACGACAAACCTAGACAGCATATTAAATATGTGATGTCGGCAGAGACATTATTCTGCCAACAAAGGTCTGTATAGTCAGAGCTATGATTTTTACGGTAGTCATGCATAGATGTGAGAATTAGGCCATAAAGAAGTCTGAATGCCAAAGAATTGATGCTTTCAAATTGTGGTGCTGGAAAGGACTCTTGAGAATACCTGGGACAGCAACAAGATCTCAGTCAATCCTAAACGAAATCAATCCTGAATATTCACTGGAAGGACTGATGCTGAACCTGAAGTTCCAATACTTTGGCCACCTGATACTAAGAGCCAACTTATTGGAAAACACCCTGATGCTGGAAAAGACTGAAGGCAAAACAAGAAGGGGAAGGTAGAGGATGAGATGGTCAGAAACGTCACCAACTCAATGGACATGAATTTCAGCAAATTCTGGGAGATAGTGAAGGACAGAGGAGAGGGTGTGCTGCAGTGTATGGGATCACAAAGAGTCAGACACAACTTAGCAACTGAACAACAACAACAAATAGGCCATAAAAATAAGGAAACAAGCAAGGTAAGTTAATTTCATATACTCTGGTTCTTTTCCTCCTTGGAATTAGTATGAGGTACAATTCTAGAACTTCTGAGGTAGAAGTATGAGCAGGTTTAAGGTACAGTTCATAAAAGAGTGTAAATGTTCACAAATTGTCAGTAAACTTCCAAAAATAAGCACGGTAAAGGAGGACTTGAACTAAGGGCTGGGGTGAAGCAGTAAATCAACCCAAATCACTGCCCTCTTGGAATTTTCATATAAAGAAAAGAGAAAATGAGTGAAGAAATAAATAAGCAATATTTTACAGGAGTTCCCAAATCATGCCTCAAGGACAATTTTGGTTGCCTGTTTGCTTTGTATAAGAAGTTTTATTAGAATACTGCCACATATGTTTGCTTCTGTATTTTTGATGGGCTGCTTTCAAAGAAAGAGTTAAGCAACTGACATAAAGACCTTATAACCCACAAATTTGTCCCTTTACAGAAAGTGTCTGATAACTCTGATTTATAGATAAATTATTATAAACACATATAGAAGAAAACAAAAATACACAAGCTTTCTCATTTTGCTCCTCTTTTCCATTCACTCTTCTACTTCTGACTCCTCTAGGAGCCCAGGGTGGGGTGAGATGGGAGTATGGGGTAGAGAAAGTGGCAGAAAATATCTTACTTGACTGGTAAAGTTATGACTCATATTCTAAGATAGTTAACCATACCATTTTATTTTATGTATTTTAATTCTATTATTTTGTACTTGCTCCTTTCAATGATTATATCACAAAGAGCTTAATTCTATAAATCCAAGAAAAAAAATGGCATAACTGACTGCATTTGATGGACCAGTCAGTTCAGTCGCTCAGTCGTGTTTGACTCTTTGTGATCCCATGGACCGCAGCACGCCAGGCCTCCCTGTCCATTACCAACTCCCGGAGTTTACTCAAACTCATGTCCATTGAGTCAGTGATGCCATCCAACCACCTCACCCTCTGTCATCCCCTTCTCCTCCCACCTTCAATCTCGCCCAGCATCGGGGTCTTTTCAAATGAGTCAGTTCTTTGCATCAGATGGCCCAAGTGTTGGAGTTTCAGCTTCAATTTGATGGATGGGCAGACTTAAAACATTGAGGATTAAAGTATATGATTGGGAATTCCTAGATGGCAATTGGAGAAACTGACAGAATAAACAGTTGAGGTAGACAAAATGAAAAAAATATCTCTTTCACATTTAGTTTGGTCTTCGTTTTTTAGAGAGTGCTTTCAGAGATCTCTGCCAGTGCCTTGCTTCTCTTAAAACTCTGCCAGAGACACAGTGGTAAAGTGAGGATGACAGAAACTGCTGCCAGTGTATCTGGGGTGTAACTGCAGTTATTCTTTACTAGCTGACTGAGACTATGCAGGTTATTTCACTTCCCTGAGATTGGCAATGCTCAGAGGGAAAACATCTGGATAATAATATCATTCCCCAAAGTGTAGCTATGAGCACCATCTAAGACAGCAATCTCAACCAGGGGATATCTGGCGATGTTTAAGACATCGCGGTGTCATGACTTGGAGGGATGCTGTTGATAACTGGGAGGCAGAAGTCAGAGGTGCTGCTAAATAGCCTACAAGACGTAAAATAACCCTCACAATAAAGAACAATCTGGTCAAAAGTATCAACAATGCCACAGTCAGGAAACCTGGATACAGGATGATATAATTTGCAAGTACTTAGTACTGTTTCTGGCACACAGTAGGGCATTTAATATGATAGGTTCATATTTTGCCCTCTCTTAACTCATTAGAGCCAATCAATCAGCAAAGAATCAGTAAGAGAATGCTGTGCATGTTTATTCATTCATTCACCAATTATTTACTGAAGTCTTGTTCCAATTACAGTGTAAGTGCCTGGCTCTGCCTCTGCAAAATGTACAGACTGAAGGGAAAGAAAGATATTATACCTTAGAAATAATATAAAATTATACCCGATTTTATATGAGAAAAGAAAAAATAGATTTCTGTGAGCAAGGTAAGCCCCGAATTACCATAGTCTTGATGTAAAGGCTTAAATATTTGGAGACAGGCATGACGATGTTTTTGTGAGAAGGAAAATAGACAAGGTGTATAAAGATGCTTGAACAGTAATGCACAACACATGAAAGGTGTTTCAATGTCTACAAAGATTTCCTCTGTTGCCTCAACAGCTAGTACACAAGATAGTCCAGGTTGAGCACCATGAAAAGGAGATGACACCACCTTTATGGCAGAAAGTGAAGAACTAAAGAGCCTCTTGATGAAAGTGAAGTGAAGAGGAGAGTGAAAAAATTGGCTTAAAACTCAACCTTCAGAAAACTAAGATCATGGCATCTGGTCCCATCGCTTCATGGCAAATAGATGGGGAAACAATGGAAACAGTGACAGACTTTATTTTNTGCTGAAGCTGAAACTCCAATCCTTTGGCCACCTGATGTGAAGAACTGACTCATCTGAAAAGACCCTGATGCTGGGAAAGATTGAAGACAGGAGGAGAAGGGGATGACAGAGGATGAGGTGGTTGGATGGCATCACGGACTCAATGGACATGAGTCTGAGCAAGCTTTGGAGTTGGTGATGGACAGGGAAGCCTGGTGTGCTGCAGTCCACGGGGTCGCAAAGAGTCAGATATGACTGAGCAACTGAACTGGACTGAACTGAATTGAATATCTACTTGGCTTTACAATAAAGGAAAAGCATCATTCAAAGAATAGTTTCATTTAAATTCTATTATATTGTTATTATTATTAATATTATTACATATATATTATAGCACATTAAATGGTTTCATTTAAAGTCCACGCTCTTCAGGGAGGCAGTAGAAAGAAGACAAACTCCAGGGATTACAAACACGTAGGCCCTAGCTCCTTATTTACTTGGTATTTTTAATCACTACAAGCCTCGGTTTTGTCATCTGTTAGATGGGAATAAAAACAGTATCTACTCCTCACAAGACTTGTGAGACTCCTATAAAGCCTCTGCCACTTGTCACTCAACATATATCAGGTCTTACTATTGTCTATTATTATTTGCTTATATTTACCTTAAATATTAACTATTTAAGTTATTGCCTTATTAACTTATCAAATATGTCCTCTTTTCTTTCAGTTGGTTATCAATCAACATTTATTTACCTTGCACTTTTTACAACAAAGACCATCACTGCATTGGGAGTCTTGAGTCAAGGTACATTTCTTACAACACTCTGCTCCTTCAAGGACACATTCCTAAGGAATATAAACATTTGGAAAATGTCAGAAAGTGGTGTCATTTTCCTGAAAGCAACAGGATATTTTCCAAAATAAATTGTACAGCCTCAAAATTATCATCTTCATTCCAGAAATCTTATGAAATTTCTAGGCACAACACTTGCTCTGTATGGTTCAGTGTGGATCTAGAATAACCCCAAATAACCTAAAGAAATCATCCAAACACAAAGACTTACTGCCGGGGTCCCACAGTCACACTCCTCGCCAGTTTCAATGAAGCCATTGCCACACTCAGGAGGATCAAGAAGCTGTGGAATGAAAACCAGGAAGGGCACTAAAATGTAGAAAAATCAGCACCAAATATAATATGAGAGATCACAAGTGTCACACCTACACTTCTGGCCTGTCAGTCATTTCAAACTATATTTTTATTTCCCTAAGCTATAAAGTATGACTGTAGAATTTTAGAACTGGAAACTTTAGAAGTGTCTAGTACTGATTCCATTTCAGACTTAATCATATTTTCATATATAACATACACACCAAATAGGGTCTGATAAGTGCCATCAAAGCAAAAGATGATCTAGGCATTGGCTAAAACAAAGCCAGAAGGACTCCTAAAATTTCATTTCAAACAGAAGCAAGAGATTTGGAGTCAGGATGTCTGTATTCAAATCTTGGCTTAGCCAAGATACACTTGGGCAAATGGCTTGCCATCTCAGAGCCCAAGTGTTTTAATATTTAAAACAATAATAACAATAATATTAGCTTCCATCTACATAATGAATTGTTTTGAGGATCAAATACAATTACCTGTGAAAAGCTCTTTTTCAACTGTATTAACTTGTGAAACAAAGTTATTTTGTGGGCAATGAGGAAAACATCACAAAAATTAATAAATTCACTGATTTATTTAATATAAAATTCAGCTCTACCTATTAACATAGCTCTGCAGAGAACAGTAGTAATAATTTGCCCCAGAGATGGGGATTAATGAGAGGAGAAAGACCTCCTTTTCCATCAGTACGATTTATGATTTGCTATCCAAAGGGGAAAAAAAAATGCATCAAGAGAATGAGAAAGAAATGCAAAGTAAAACCATTTTTGTAAGCAAACCCTGAATCCTCATTTGGCTTTATGAAAAGAAAATGAACGTTTTCCAGAAAGCAAAACTCTAATTTATACCTGCTTTTTATTCCCATCAGAATAGCCCATGATTAATTCAATTCAGAAATGCAGACATTTAGCATATCAAGAATACGTACACATCAGCCAAGCTGAAAAGTTTCATTCCATAAAACACAATGAATGAAAATTTGTGTTTATATACTTGAGAAAGATTAATAACTTAACAACTCTGATTACACTTATTACCTTAGAAGGTTTGTTGAAAAGGCAAGCACCACCTCCACTATTTAGGAAGTCATGATACTCTTCAATATTACACTGGGTAAACTTTTTAGGAAGATAATATCTATAAGAGAGAAGAAAAGCGTTAGCTGGGTATAATTTCTGTCTCCCTTGTTTGTAAACTAGTTTTAAAATTTAACACTGTTAACACTGTACATTATTCCTAAAAATTAAATAAATAAATAATAAATTCCACTTATGTATAACATCTGCTTTGAGAAGGGAATGGCAACCCACCCCAGTATTCCTGCCTGGGAAATCCCATGGACAGAGGAGACTGGCGGGCTACAGTCCATGTGGTCACAAAAGAGTCGGACACAACTTAGTGACTAAACAACAACAATACATTCTTCTATCGTGTTGAATAGTGACTAGTGGTAACTATGTGCTCAGTCAAATCCGACTCTTAGCAACCCCATGGACTGTAGTCACCGGGCTCTTCTGTCCATGGGATTTTCAAGGCAAGAATACTGGAGCGGGTTGCCATTTCCTCCTCCAGGGGATCTTCCTGACCCAGGGATCAAACCCATGTCTCTTGTATCTTCTACACTGGCAGGCAGATTCTTTACCACTGTGCCATCTGGGAAGTCCAGTGGTGACTATGATTTGCTCTGCATTATCTCCATACCCATTCAAAGGAAACACACACCTACATAGCTGTTAATTTCCATCAGAGAGAGTTAGAAATAATTTATTTCACAATGTCTTTCCTAAATATTAAACCTGGGCTGGAACCCAAACGGCAGAGCATTCTGCAAAATAACTGACCTGTAATCTACAAATGTGTCAAAGTTGTGACAATCAAAATAGACAGGAATTATCCCCGACTGAAGAGACCAAAACCTGACTGTGATAAAAAAAAATCCTGATTCTGAAGTTTTTGCTAAAATGACACTGTAGAAACACAGGGCCAATCCTGAATGAGGGCTAAGAATTAGATGATTTTCTTGGTTGAATTGTGGTCCTATAGGAAGATGCCTTTGTTTATAGAAATGTATATTTTTTGTTGTTGCTGTTGTTGTTGTTGCTTAGTCACCAAGTTGTGTCCAGTGTCCAACTCTTCATGATTCCATGGACTGCAGCACACCCGGCCTCTGTCCCTCACCATCTCCCTGAGTTTGCCCAAGTTTATGTCCACAGAAATGTCCACTGTTTAGCATTTTGAAGTGACAGACACCATGGTAGAACTTATGATTCAGAAACAAAAGGTCCTTTGTAACTATTCGTCCAATTCTTCAAGTCTCAGATTACTTCAAAATACTATATATATGTCCCAAAATAATATATACTTTTATTATATATATTTATAAAATATATATATACACAAACACACCCCATAATAATCAAGGGTCAATAGAAAAAGAAACCTGGCAATAGAGCAAGTTGGTAATATGCATTAAGAATTTTCAGAATGTGAAATAGCCTTAAATCTAGTAATTTTACTTTTAGAAATTTTTCTTGAGGAATTAATTTGCTATGTGTGCAAAGATGTCTGAATGTAGATATTTATGGTGGCACAATTTTTAGCAGCAAACAAGATGAAAATAACCTAAGTGTTCAACAGAAAACTGTTAACTAAACCATGATGTATTAATAAAACTAAAATACCATGTGGTGGTTTAGTTGCTAAGTTGTATCCAACTCTTGCGACCCCATGGACTGTAGCCCGCCAGGCTCCTCTGTCCATGGGATTCTCCAGGCAAGAATACTGGAGTGGATTGCCATTTCCTTCTCCAGGGGATGGTCCCAACCCAGGAATTGAACCCAGGTCTCCTGCATTCACGGCAGATTCTTTACTGACTGAGCTACTAATAATCATAGTGTTAATGAAGAGTTAGAAAAATGATGACTATATAATGTTAAGTAAAAAATGAATAAACAGCTATAACCAATATAATCCAAATTTTATAAAACAATAAAAATGGAAAGAGAAAAAATACAAAACTACTGGATTTATTTTGTTTTTTTGGCTGCACCTCATGGCATGCAGGATCTTATTTTCCGATCGGGGATCGACACTTTGCCTTCTGGCAGTGGAAGCACAGATGGCCAGGGAATTTCCAAAACTACTAGGTTTAAACAAAAGTATTTTAATGTTCTGTTAACATGGTCTTCCTTGGTAGCGCAGTTGGTAAAGAATCCACCTGCAAAGCAGGAAAACCCAGTTCAATTCCTGGGTCGGGGTGATCCCCTGGAGAAGGGATAGGCTACCCACTCCAGTATTCCTGCCTGGAGAATTCCACAGACAGGAGTCTGGTGGGCTACAGTCCATGGGGTCGCAAAGTGTAGGCCAGGACTGAGCGACTAAGCACAGCACAGCACATTTTAATATTAACCACAGTACATTTTAATATTAACCACAGTTATCGCCTGATGGCAAGAAAAGAGGTGATACAAATTTTATTTTCTGTATTTTTCAAAACTTGTTTTACATTGAGCTTTTTATAAAAGTGAAAACACATTAAGATAAGAATGAATAGGTTTTTATAAAAATATCTCCCCCTAGCCTATGCATTTATATTCCCACTTCTTAGCATAATGGTTAATGTTTAAGTGAATTAACTAATGGAATTCACAATTAATTACTGTAAACTCATTTATCAAGTGTTTCATGTCAAACCCTCCAAATAAAGCTGTAATGAGTTTAAATCGTCTGAACAACTTCATTCCTTCCTTATTCTGAAATAATGCCATTTCTAACAACATGGATGGAACTAGAGATTATCATAGCAAGTGAAGTAAATCAGAACCAGACAAATACCACATGATATCACTTATATGTGGAATCTAAAATATGACACAAATGAGAGAAACAGACCCACAGACACAGAGGTCGCCAGGGGGAGAGGGGATGGAGAAAGGATGGACTGGGAGTTTGGGATTAACTGATGTGAATGCGCGTATGCTTATTCACTTCAGCTGTATCCAACACTTTGCGACCCTATTCTCTAGGTAATTTCTCTAGATAAGAATTCTGGAGTGGGTTGCCATGCCCTCCCCCAGGGATTGAACTCACATCTCTTATGTCTCCTGCATTGGCAGGCAGGTTCTTTACCACTAGCACCACCTGGGAAGCCCTGGGATTAGCAGATGAAAACTATTATATAAGGAGTGAATAAACAGCAAGGCCCTACTATATAACACAGCAAACTATATTCAATATCCTATGATAAACCATAACAGAAAAGAATATGAAAAAGAATGTAAGACAGCAATTGTTTTCATAAACAAAAGACTGTTTTGTGAAACTATGTTTCCTACAGAGCCATTGAGAAAATCAACTGCCAATTTTGTCTTAAATCCCTATGGGTAGGGTTCCAGGCAGTAACTTATTGACTGCCATCCTCCTAAGAAGACAACAGCACAGTAGAGAAAGGAACAGTAAGTTATTTTTAAATAGAAGTGGCTCACCCAGTGTCTCCCATTATGCATCCAGACCACGTGTCCTCACATTTACACTCACCTAAGAGAAAATGAATACATATACCTTGTTACAAAGTGAAAAATGTGCATTAGAGTAGTTACTATTTTTAAAAGTATATGTTCACTTTATTCCTTATGTACATTTACAAGTCAGTAAAGGATCAGTCCTCTAATTTTCCTCACATCTGAAGTGTTTTATGCAATGAATAACAACAAAAATCTACTTTGACTCTATTGAGATTATATAATTTCTACTAAAATAAAGTCTTTTGAAAAATGTTAACAAGTGGCCATATTTTTAAAGCACTCAGTTAAAATGGCTTAACAATCAAATAGCAATGAAATAGTGACACATGACCACAGGATTCTGGTTTCATAGGTTTTTATGGAAATTCCTATAATTTCTCATCCATTTTTAAAACCTCTGCACTCAAGGTTGCTGGTAGGAGGTAGTATAGTATATTGGTTAAGCAGAAGACTCTCAGAATCAGATACACCTGGGTTCAAAATCTGGGTATACCACTTAATATGTGTGTAATCTTGGAGACACTACCCTTTTAAGATCCAGACACTTTATGGATCTTCATTATCAGCTGATAATGAATATCTTGCAGGATCATCTTGAGGATTAAATGAGCATCTAGATGTAGATAATTCTTGCATTCAACTATCTTTTACAGAGTGGGCACTTCATAAATGGTAATTTTTGATGTTGTTGTTTAGTTGCAAGTTGTGTCTGACTCTTTTGTGACCCCATGTACTGCAGCCCACCAGGCTCCTCTGTCCATGGGATTTCCCAGGCAAGAATACTGGAGTGGGTTGCCATTTCCTTCTCCAGGGGATCTTCCAGACCCAGGGATCAAACCCATGTCTCCTGTATTGGCAGGCAGATTTTTTTTAGCACTGAGCCACAAGGGAAGCCCATAAATGGTAACAGTTGTAATTAATATAAACAATCATATTTATGGCATTTTTTGCTAAAATAATAAATATGATTATAGTCAACTTTTTCCAAATATATAGTGCTCGATCATTCCTGGTAAAGTAACTTTACCTACTGGGAATATATATTCATCATAGATGCTAAACCTAGCATATTTAATTAGGCCCATATTTTACTGAGCCCTTTATCAGATCTGATTCTGCAGGCAAATTCTACCTCTGTAGCAATACTAAGAGATGTTTTAAATAAAAGATNCCAGTGGTCATGTATGGATGTGAGAGTTGGACTGTGAAGAAAGCTGAGTGCCAAAAAATTGATGCTTTTGAACTGTGGTGTTGGAGAAGACTCTAGAGAGTCCCTTGGACTGCAAGGAGATCTAACCAGTCCATCCTAAAGGAGATCAGTCCTGGGTGTTCACTGGAAGGACTGATGCTGAAGCTGAAAGTCCAATACTTTGGCCACCTCATGAGAAGAGTTGACTCATTGGAAAAGACCCTGATGCTGGGATGGATTGGGGGGAGGGGGAGAAGGGGATGACAGAGGATGAGATGGCTGGATGGCATCACCGACTCGATGGACATGTGTTTGGATAAACTCTGGGAGTTGGTGATGGACAGGGAGGCCTGGTGTGTTGCGATTCATGGGGTCGCAAAGAGTCGGACACTCTCAAAGAGTCGGACACGACTGAGCAACTGAACTGAACTGATACATGGAGGAAATTTCTTGTGTGATGCAAATATTAACATTTGTATTACTTTGGGGAAAAAAACATTTTGTGCCCAGGCTATCTTTATACTATCACTAAAAATCTTTTGATTAAGCAACTAAGTTAAAGAATTTCATTCTGCAAAATATTTTACAGATAGTCTCTTTTAAATATAACTAAACCACACATGTACTTAAACTTACCACTTGCTAACTTTCTTTTGTCTGAGATAATACCAATATTATGGGCTAATGACTGGGCAAGTGTAACTGCCATTAAGTCCGTTTTCCCAAACTGAAAAACAAAAATAAAATACTTATAAGTGCAAATTATTTTTTATTTAAGATGAAGCAGGGAACATGTCACAATATAACTGAAAAAAACTTCTAAGCATTTTATTTAGCAGAGGTTAAACCTAATAGCTAGTGCTGAACTATGGAGCATTAAGGAAGAGGTAGTAAGAAATAATTCCATGTTTGCCTAAGTCTTATAGAGAAGAAACCAGAGAATCATCAACTTTCAGATTTGGAAACTTAAATCTAATTTTTGAGTCCAAATTTCACCAGTGACATTTCTGAAAAGCTTTATACTTGTATACAATTAAGCTAGTCATCCAGTTAATAGAAAATAAAAATAATTTATTTTGAACTTGCTCATCTTTATTTGTCCACTAGCACTTCTAAATTCCCCAAATTAAACAGAACTTGGCTTCAGAAAACAAACAATATGACTTAGAGGTGGTGGTGATGATGTTCAGTCAAAACAAACTTGAAAATATCTAGACATATTCCTTTTCAATGTGTAGCCTCTCAAAGACTCAGGTATTTTTCTGTTAGATCACTTCCATCAGGTTTAGTGCCCGAGGGACAGAAGTAACCCTTTGGAAAACCTCATCTATTTTTTTCCTCCAAAAATTTGCCAAGTATTGAGGAAGAAAATTTTCAACTGAGTTGTTAACTAGTAATCCAATGTTTCAGGGAATTTCTCAATTCTCCGGAAAACCAGTCAAAGTGATAAATAGGGTCTTATTTTTCAAGAAAGGCAAAGATTTTCTCTATATAGTCAGCATATTGCTAAGCCTGGAAATTATTCTGAGTAGAATATGAGCAGAATTATCCAATATTATCTTCCATTATTTTCCTATTCTGTCCTTGGGTCATTTGCAGTAACCAGGTTGGCTGTTAATAACATAACAATATCTGGAGTATATAGAATACTGAGAAACTGTCCCTTAAATATCAGGAAAACATCGTCAGCCATCATACCACTTTGCATTGCACAGATGTTCACACCTACTTCATTCACGCCTCCTCCTTTCAGCAACGAGCAAATCCCACCAATATAAGCTGCCCCGCTCCGGCTACTCTCAAATTGACTTCCCCTTTTAGAAAAGGAAATGAAAAAGGCTTACTGCTTACAGCTCAAATGTCATAGCACCTCTCATTATTAATTTAACAACAAAGTGATAAATAGGGTCTTATTTTTCAAGAAAGGCAAAGATTTTCTCTATATAGTCAGCATATTGCTAAGCCTGGAAATTATTCTGAGTAGAATACGAACAGAATTATCCAATATTATCTTCCATTATTTTCCTATTCTGTCCTTGGGTCATTTGCAGTAACAAGGTTGGCTGTTAATAAAATAACAATATCTGGAGTATATAGAATACTGAGAAACTGTCCCTTAAATATCAGGAAAACATCGTCAGCCATCATACCACTTTGCATTGCACAGATGTTCACACCTACTTCATTCACGCCTCCTCCTTTCAGCAACGAGCAAATCCCACCAATATAAGCTGCCCCGCTCCGGCTACTCTCAAATTGACTTCCCCTTTTAGAAAAGGAAATGAAAAAGGCTTACTGCTTACAGCTCAAATGTCATAGCACCTCTCATTATTAATTTAACACGTTTATTTTCTCAATACACATACATTTCTATAGTATATATTCTGGAGGTAAGGGAAGACTATGAAAATTGTTCACACACATAACCAAAAGAAAAAGTTTCTGAGGAATGTTTCCCATTGTGATTAACAAATATCTTAAATAGAACTATACTTCTTGAAAAAGAATCTCTAACATGAGTTTTATGTATGTTGCATTTCTGTCAAAAAATGCATATAACTTGAATCTCACAATGAGAAAACATCAAGCATTCTCACAATGAAGAACATTCTATAAAATAACTTGTCTAAACTCTTCAAAAATGTTAACTTCAAAAGAGACAAAGAAAGGCTGAGGAAATATTACAGATTAAAGGAAACCAAAGAGACATAATGATTACATGTAATGTGTGATCCTGGACTGGATCTTAGATTTGGACAAGGGGAAGGAGTAGCAAGCTATAAAATAGAATTGAAACAATTGGTGAAATTTGAATTCAGACAGTGGGTTAGATAAAAACATTGTACTGAGGTTAAAGTTTCTGGTTTTGAGAGTTTACTGTGGTTATATAAGAGAATGGCTTTATTCTTAGGGAATATACACAAGTATTTAGTTGTAAAGGCCCAATAAGTAAATGTCTCCAACTTACTCTCAAATGGTTCAGGGGAAAACACACACACACACACTGATAGAGAGATGGATAGATGGAAGGAAGAAAGAAGGATAAAAAGAAGAAAATTATAAAACAAATGGAGTAAACTATGAACAATTGATGAATCTGGGTAAGGGGCATATGGAATTTCCTTGTAGTGTAGTATTCTTGCAACTTTTCCGTAAATTTGGAATTGTGTAAAATAAAAAGCTACCTCAAAACCACACTTTTGCTTCCATTTATAACTTTCTTCAACAGCTCTGGCTTTAGATGATTTTATATTAAATATACATGTTACCCCCCAGGAACAAACCATAAGAGTAAGAAAAAGTAAAATATAAAAAATACCCTAGAGATCCTAAGCTCTCCCTTAGACCAAAAACAAAGAGAAAATCAGCATTTAAAAGACAGCAATTTAAAGAATATAATTATTCTGTTGTTAAGAATATGAGAACTCCTTATGAGAATTAATGGTACTTTCACTCAGTAAATGCTCTGATTAGATCTCTTGAAAAATGAAATATACATGCAATAATGAAATAACTCAAAATTAAACCTATTGAATATTCGTGACAATTTCAAACAATCTGTGCTTTAAAACTTCTTGCAAATATATCTGCTACATCAAATCCTAATTGCATTATGCAGTACAAACAGTACATCTCATCACAAGTAATAAGAGTACTCAACGTGGAACAAAGAAAAGTAATAAATCATTATAAAAGTTACGTACGAAAAAAGGTGAACTGCATCACTTTTCTCTTTGATAAAATCCCTCCGGTATTTCATAAACTCACGTAGGGTGATGAGTGGATTTTCAGATATGGCAAACTTGTTGTCAGCCGCCCAGGTTTCCATGGCAACCAATACTATCCTTGTCTTAAGTTGGTCTTTATATATCTAGTATATTAACAAAATGAACACACCAGATATACACATGGAAAAAAAATCAAATGATTTATGAACAGGTCCACAAAGCTCCTTTTATGGAAAATCCTGTAGTTTTAGTGGAATGTGAGAAACCAGTATTTTTAAGGGAGTTAACTGTTTTTCTAACTTATACATGTTTCCCGTGAGTAATAAGAATCCAACTGTTTACCAAGTAACACCCAAAGAAAAGAGTACTAACTAATTAGACATAAAATATCCCTTTCTGACAAATATTTGCACCATTTGTGTCCATTTTCTGGCACCCTGTAAGATTCAGGGTTTCTTGAGTTTCCCTAGTGAAAAAGGGAACACTCTCCGAGGAGATGATTTCTGTACACTCTGACTGGCCCTAATTAAACTCATGGGGAACGTACTGGCATAGACTTCTCAGGGAAATTTGAAAAGTAGGTACAGTAGAATTACTTATTTGCATCATTCCCACAGCACCAGGCACTCTTTTGAAAAGGCACAGCTGTTTTTTCATTGCTAGAAATACACTGTGAATATCTTTGTTAAGGGCTAGGACTCAACCTTTTCTTTTCCAGTGTGAAAAGTACAGGAAAAAAAAAAATTCAGCCATAAAGGTGTGTCTCTGACCTCTTCCTTTTATCATCTTCCCAGTCAGAGATCAAATTCAAATAAAGTTCATGACAAAGTTACCACGGATTTACAGGACATCTTGGCTAAAGTGCAATTTAGGGCAGTGAAAATATAAGAGTATTATCCAATTTATTAGCAATCAGGAGATAAAATTCCTCTGCGGCAATTCTGATTCGGGTTCATACTTACTAAATCTGCCATGTTCACCACAGATTTCGCGTACGTATTGGTAAGTACCACTGAAAGTCGATGCTTTTTAAACTGAAAGCAAAAGAAAACAAATGAAGGACTTCAAGGTCATCAACAAATGCTCATCTCAGCAGAGGAAACATGGTGTAACTAAAAGGCCTTTAAAGTTTTCTGTAAAAAAATTCAAGAGTTGACACCTAATTCTTTAGATGCTGCAAAATCTGTGGCAAGGTTCCTAAAGTTTGAGGCCCCACAGATCTTTGAGATAAAATTAAAAATGCCCACTGCATCCATTTCAAAAGTTTATTTTTTTGTCACAAGATTATTATTCAAAATGAGAACATATATGAAAGTTATCAATGAATTGCAAGACATACAAATAAAAGTAGGGTGAAAGCCAGAAGAAGTGAATGTGAATAATGCTGAAAATAAGAAAAGTTCCACAGATTTACTCAGTAAAGAGAAGAAAGCTCTAATGGTCACAAGGAGGTGACTTACGGCTTGATGTGAACTACATATATCTTTGGTTTGACCTCAAGGCTGTTTTAAAACTCAAGATATATCGTGTAAAATCTGGCTTCTGGCTTCATTTAAAATCAGTATCCACACATGGTAATAACTGGCAAGGGCTGAGAAGCAGTCACTCCTATTAGACAGACAGACCATGAGACTTCTCTTTTGCCTTAGACCTGACCCTTCCCTATTGTTTTATATCTGGCTCATTTCGAACTATCTGCCTATAGATACTTACAGACATTTGAATTTATGATACCCTAAAATGTTCAAAATATGTGTTTTTACAGCTTATTCTGTAAAAATCTCAGGAAAAATAGCATTCACAAAATTAAATTGGTAGAAATACAAAACTCAGTCCTACCATAAACAAATGAGAAGCACTCAATAATAATAATTATTATTAATTAATTAAAATCTCTATTACCTTAATCATATTTAAATAAATGACACATTTTCTCCCAAATAAATAATTCAAAGTAAATCAAAATGTATATGTACCTGAAATTAAGTAAAATTCAACAAAATGCATCACTGAATATATTTAGTTTAAAACTCTGGTTACATGAAACAATTATAATTCACTGATGTGCAATGAATCTAACCAGGCTGATTATAATATGCCCATGAATTGAGTATAAAACATGCCCATAAACTGGGCATTAAAAAAAAAACTGACTCAATAAAAAGTTTGGCTAGGTTTTTATCCTAAAAATCTTCAAAGCTTGGCTATATAAGCTTTACTTTTTTAATTTTATATTGGAGAATATTTTGATTAACAATGTTGTGTTAGTTTCAGGTATACAACAAAGTGATTCAATTATACATATACATGTATATATTATTTTTCAAATTCTTTTCTAATTTAGGTTATTATAAAATATTGAGTTCCCTGTGCTGTACAGTAGGTCCTTGTTGGTTATATATTTTAAATACAGCAGTGTGCACAGGTCAATCCCAAACTCCCAGTCTATCCCTCTTTCCATCTTTATCCTCTGGTAACCATGAACTTTTTCTCTAAGTCTGTAAGTCTGTTTCTGCTTTGTAAATAAGTCTATAAGCCTTTCCAAATGGTTTATGGCACAGGAAAAGAAAAGCAGAAAAAAATGCTTTTCTTTTATTAGAATAAAGCTAAACATTGCAAATTAAAGTGTCATTATTGCTGCTTCACTTTTTCAATTATAAAACGGAAGTTCCCCTTTTTTTTTAACCTTACCATTTTAGTAAGAGAAGATATTAGCCCCTACATTAACTAAGCAAATCCAAGGAGTTAACATTATGAATCACAGAAATATTTTTGGAACTTCACAAAATACTGTGAATTGGTTTACCTAAGAGTGTTTTACAGGTTGTTGCTGGGTTACAGAAATGTTTGATTATACAAATACCTTCTCCAGGTTACAACTTTATAGGCTTCTTTCTTCTAAACATATTTTTGCACCCACCAGTTTTATGCTAGGCATGGGCAAGTTCAAACAACACAAAATTCAGCAAACCCTACCATGAGATGATCGTTCACAATCATCAGTTCAATATATTTGGTTTCCTCCTCTACATTACGAGGATATCGACGAAGCTGCAATATAATAAAGGAAACAGCACATAAACAAGCCCTGGTAACCTGGCTGTGGGAAACTTAAGTTACACATTAGGTCCTCAGATATGACCCATCGTAGAACTGAAAGTCTGTACCCTTTTACCAATCTCTCCCTTTTCCCCCACTGCCTAGCCCCTGGCAAACATGTTTCTACTCTGTTTCCATGTGTTTTTATTTGTTTGTTTGTTTTGTGTTTAGATTCCACATGTAAGTGATACCATGCCATATTTGTCTATCTCTGCCTGGCTTATTTCACTGAGCTTAATGCCCTCCAGGTCCATCCACATTGTTGCAAATGGCCATATTTCCTTCTTTATTAAGGCCAAGTAATATTCAACTGTGTGTCTCAGGGACAAGAAAGACTTCTAAGTCAGAATCCTAGCTCCACTGCTAGGTAACCCAGTGTAACCATGGGCTCATTTCGTAAGTCTCTTATGTTTCAATGTCTTTAAAATAGGGATAATGATAATGCCTTCCTCAAAAAATTGTTATGAGGATTAAATAAGTTAATACAATTGCCCATGGTGAGTACTCAAAATATTATTATTCATGTTAGAAATCGGTCTGTAAACACATTTTACTTCATACTTATTAAACATATATTAAAAAGAAAATACCTGGTCCCTTCAACTGCTTTGTCTTACTAAACACCTATTTCTCTCATCCTGTTTTTACATCACACACAAACCTACACCAACGACCACCACAACTGTGATGATATCTTAATTCTGATGACCCGAGTTTTTATTTTGTATAAACCATTTACCAGATCTATGATTCTGGGCAAGTCATTTGCACATTTCCGAGACATCTATATTTTTCCTGTGAAAGGATAATAATAGTACCCACTTCATGTGGCTTAAAGCATTGTACAGTAAACAATAAACTGCTATTATTATTATTATTGCTAAGTTCCATATGCATTGAACATGCATAAAGCAGACACTCTGATTTTATAGCCTAGACTCCAAAGTAGTTCAAGTGTGACAATAGCATTTTGCAGCTTTAAAACTTGATGGAGTCATTCTTCAGGGGGTATTCTTAAGAGGATAAACATAAGGACTTGTACCATCCAAGCAGACTTTACGATGTGGTTGGCACATACTCAGGCAAGGAAAGAGGCCTATGGTAGAAACAACTTGAGATGCCGCAGCAGGGGACCCAGAACCCATCTGTATGATGGAATGTCCATGTTATCGCCACTATCTTGAGTGTTTTTTGAGTCTATGAAATAATATGGCCCTAACTCCACTGCTTCTATGAATGTATCACCCTTGCTGTTTACCACACTGTGGCAAATGCCTGAACTAATTCCTACCTCTTACAGACTTAATGTAGATTAAATTGACTGGCAGTTGCCAAATGTTTTTAAAATATTGTGACATATACCTGTGAATACATACCTGCCGTTTACTCCTTTTTGGTCTTGGCTTCAAAATAAATTTTGGTGGAGTGATATTTACTTGTTGGAATTCTAAAAGGAAACAAATTTAACTTAGTGCATTTGCCAGGTTTCTTTCATGAAGGGCAATCAAACTTCTACCAACCCTAATTGGTATAAATCATATAACTTTACTTTAATCAACAATGATTATTATAATTATAACCTATAAATTATATAATTATACATAATTATTATTAATTTTATAATATAAATATCACACTTAATGAAAATATAGAACATTAATTTAGGTAATTGCATTTATATTAATATAAATAAACATACCACAAAGGAACAAAATTCAAAAAAATCTCAAGCATTATTCCAGTTCTAATTTATCTCAAAATTTTTCTCATATTTCTGTTATAAATACCATCATATTTTTAATGGTAAATCATCTAAAAAGCCACTTGACCTTCCCTTCCACCACTAATCTTCACTAAAGAATGACACACCAAAGGTTGGTGAAGATGTGGAACAATTAGAACTCTCATGTAATGCTGAGAGTATACAGTGCTATCACCACTTCAGGAAAAGGTTCAGAGATTTTTCATTCAACAGTAGTTCTTAAATGGTGTTCCTTGGACTAGGGACATTAGCATTACCTGAGAACTTGGAAAAGTAAATTCTCATAACCCACCCAAGACGTTCTTAATCAAAAGCTCTAGAAATTTGTGCAGCCACTATGAAAAGCATTATGAATATTTCTCAAAATATATAAATAGAAATACCATATGATTGTAATAATCCTACTTCTAGGCATATAGCCTAACGAATTTAAATCAGGGTCTCAAAGAAGTGTCTGCACTCCCATGTTCATTGCAACATTATTGACAGCAGTCAAGATACAGAAGCAACCTAAATGTCCATCAGTGGATGAATGGATAAACAATATATGGTATATACACACAATGGAATATTAATCAGTCTTATAAAAGAAAATCCTGCCATTTGCAAAAACACAGGTGAACCTAGAGGACATTCTGTTAAGTGAAATAAGCCAGACAAAGAAGGACAAATACTACATTATACCATTTACATGACGAATCTAAAATAGTCAAACTCAGAGATACAGTGATTAGACTGGTGGCTGTCAGGGGCTGGGAGGAGGGAATATGAGGAGTCACTAGTCAAAGGGGACAAAGATTTAGTTACACAAGATGAATAAGTCTTAGAGAGCTACTGTAGAGTTTAGTGCCTACAGTTAACGATACTGTATCGTATACCTAAAAATTTGCTAACAGGTTAGATTTTATGTTAATAGTTTTTATCACCATCACCATAAATAGTATAGGAGGAAATTTTTGGAGTGGATGAATATGTTTATGGCATAGGTTGTGGTGATTTCATGGATATATATTTACCTCCAAACTCATCAAGTTTTATACACTAAATATATACAGCCTTTTGTATTTCAATTATACCTCAATAAAGTGGCTGAAAAAAATAGCCTGAAGATGAGCCACCAATCTGTGTTTACCAAGCCCTCCAGGTGATTCTGGTACATGCTGAAGCTTGAGAGCAATATTATGCAGTTAAAGATATACTACCTTGTGACCCAATTATTAAACTCCCAGGTATTTGATAGAGAAATGTAAATGTGTGTCCCCAAAAAAGATTTTTATAAGAATATTCGTAGTTGTTATATTCATAATAGCCCCAAACTAGAAGCAATCCAAATGTCCATCAACAGAAGAGATGAAAAATTGTGCTATCTGCAAACAGTAAGAACACACTCAATAATTAAAGTAGAGAACTATCTCTGCCTTTGACAACATGGATCTCAGGCATGTGCTAATAAGCAAAAGAAGCCAAATATGATGAATGAGTCCATTTGTATGAACAGGTGAAACTAATCTACAGTGAAAAAAGTCAGAATAGGGACTGCAGAAGTGGGAGAAACTGACAGAAAAGGGACACAAAGGAAATTACTGGGGTAATGGAAATACTCTACTTTTCATCAGGGGAGGACAAGAGTGTCAGAACTCAGCAAATAGTACACAAAATTGGTATATTTCATCATAGTAATTTTATATTGCAGTATAACTAACATACAATATCATACTATTTTCAGGTGTACAAAATAGTGATTAAATATTTATATACATTTTAAAATGGTTACCACTGTAAGCCTAGTTATCATCTGTATCTGTACAAGCTCTACATTACATTCCCATGATTTCTTTACTTTATAACTGGAAGTTTGTATCTCTAAACCTCCTTTTCCTCTTTTGGCTGGCCCCCATATGCTCTGGCCACCACCCCCTTGTTCTCTATGTTTATGAGTCTATTTCTGTTTTGTTTGCTTTTGTTGGTTGGTTGGTTGGTTTTTCATCATATTAATTTTTAAACAGTGAGTGCTAAGTGGTCATATTTAAACAAAAAAGCTTTTCTTAAAATGTGTTCTTAGGAAAAGAAAACTAGTCTTGAGAGATGTGTCATGTAAAATAAAACATTCCATAATCAAACAAGATTGGGGAACACCTGATCATATTCTATCTCTGGGATATACATAATGCATAGCAAAAGAGACATAACATAACCCACAACCCAGTGACACTTTATTAAACCTAAACTTTAAAAAAGCTTAGTTTTCAGCTTATATAACAAAAAACTGCAGCTTTGACACTTGGTTATTTTTTGTTTCCTTCCAATTTGTCATAGTAAGTCTAAAGAGCTTGAGGCAAATAATACTCTTAAAATGAATACTGTCAACTTCTGATACTAAAAGATAACCAGGAATAAACTGGGGTTTTTCAAAGAAAATGGTCAAAACTCATTTTTCATAGCAGAAAAACTACTGAGTCAACTCCAAAGTTTCTGTTGTAAAGAAATTCTGAATGAAGTTTCTTAAAAACTATTATAAGATTGTATCATGGCAAGCCTATAATAAAGTCCTTAATGGGGAACCTTTCTTGATTACTTTAAATATTAAATAATGTTTACTGCTTTCAGTAATGCCTATTGGATTGCAACTTTGTTCTCAAGCAGCTAATCATGATTTATTTTCTTACCATAATAGGGATTGTAAAAAGTTTCATATGATAACGAAAGAACAGTATAGAGCATCTATGTGAAGTAAAAGTATCTATTGTGCATTTGCAGATTTTTCCAAATAGCAAATTCTATAAAGTAGGAACTTTGATCCCTTTGGCAGCAGGAGAGAAGGGGTGAGTTCTGTTTCTATTTAGGGTAACTGCAAAAGGTCCAGGAGTTACAAATTTATTTCAGAGGAAGGAACATTTGAAAACACTTATTTCATTTTCTAATGAGGAGACAATGCAGCCTTTAAGTCATTTTCCTAAGCAGGAGTTTAGACTTTGCTTTAGTAAGTTTTCCATTTGCCCTGGTGCCTGTCTCCCAAGGCACATTCTCATAGTGCCATAATCCAAACACCCACTCAGCCTCTTACTAGCTGTGGAACTCTAGAAAAGACAAACTAGCTGAGCTTCTGTTTGTTCATCTATAAAATGGGAATAATAATATTGACCTCACGGAGTTGTTTCAAAAACTAAAAAATGTTTAAAAATTAGACTATACTATGGCCATAATCAGGGCTGGCTAAGTAGGGGAGGAAGCATCTCCACATCAGCTATACCCTATCTTTAGAAGGAGAACACGAAAATGAGTCCAGTGTAGACAGAGACAAATGCACTCTGCATAATCATTGCTCCTCTAACAAGGTCAAAGCATGAATACCCTGCCCTTCTCACCAAAAGACATGGATGCAACTTTCAAATCAAACCTATAAATAGATGGACCCATAAACATACATTGGAAGGAAAAATCAATTTCACAAATAGCACATCATCATAATAATAAATATTAATCTACAATGGTTCTTTCTTAAAATGCTTTTCTTCATAAAGAAATGAGGAAATAAATTATAAATGGGAAAATATTTACAAGTTCATCTCCATGTGTACAGAGTATTTCATCAAGAGTGAATTTTATATATTCTACCTATGCAGACCAATTTTTGCTTTAACAAAGTAAAGGAATATTTTACTTTGAGCCTTATAATTTTAATAAGCTCTTCTCTGTTGAGTTCAAGCAATATCTTTCCAAACTCACCCACTATAAACATGAGGTCAGTTTGCATTTTTTTCTCTCTCTTGATGTCACTTGACTTTCTAAAACTGTTATGAGCAGTCGTAGGCTGATGATATTCCACATATAATAAGTTCTAAAGAATTAAAATGAATTATTAAATCTGTCTTTTTTTAAAAAATCACTATATGAAAATCATACCAGATGGAAGATCATCCAAGGGAAATTCAAACAGTCTGGATTTGTAAACCGAATGAAAATGGAAATCCTCCTGAAATAACACAAACGAGAGATGAGGCACGTACAACCAGAAATCTCCAGGCTCAGGCGATCATAGCTGGGGAAGGTGAAACCTTAAAAGAACCATTGCTTGACCACATTCTCTCAAGTTTGGGAAGGCGATGAGCCCTTGCACATCCCTCCATTCACTCCTATATTATCCCAGCACCGCAGTGATAGCCCATTAGAAGCAAAATGCCTTCACGGATGGAGGAGCCAAAGCCTGTGGTAATGGAAAAGAAATGAATGCACCTGTTCCCCCAAGGAGAAGTAAGACATCTGGGGAAAGGGGTTAATGTTTTCTATGACTGGTTCCTTTCCATGAAGCCCTGCTTCCTGTTAGAGCCTGACAGCTTTGCCAGGCAGACAAAAGAGCTAACAGTCTTCCTGTTGGGAAGCAGAGTAACTGGCACAATCAGAATGCCCACAGCAGGCCCTGCCTCAAAATTCAAGTGTCATACAAACATCTGTAAAAATCCAACAGACAAAAAACCATGTTTCATCTAAGAAAAATTAATGAACATTCAAATAACTTCATCTGGCTTCCTTCAATTACTAAAAAAGGAAGGTTATAAATAGTCAAGTTTCATGATATCACTTTTTAAAAAAATCACACTGTCAAGCAGAGGGACAGGACAGCTTTCAGTGGGTACTTGGAAAGTAACACAAAACAGACAGTTTCCCATACAAGAGTGTTTATGAGCGGCAGAACAATCAGCGTTTCTTGACATTATTTGCCTCTTCAAGTGCTTGATTGGTGTTCCATGATATGTGGAAGAATATTTGTGTGTACAGAGCTAGGATGGAATGCATCATGTTTCTCTGTAGTCAGTAAGAGCAACCATATTCTAATTTGTGAGAAAGTGAATGTTTAAACTAAACTGAGGAAGAGAACTGAGAGAACCTGGATTTCTCTAAATTTCATCAGCATGGGGCCTTAAAGAAAATAGGCAATAGAGAAAACTCTGGAATCTAGAAAAGAAAAAGAGTGGGAAATCACATTATCTGTGGATTTGATCCATCATGAAATGTCTATGTCCCTTCCAAACTCATGTTTTAAGTCCTAAATTCCTAATGTGATTGTATTTGGAGATAGGGTCAGAGGGATGCGATAAAGGTTAACAGAGATCACAAGAGTGAGGTCCTAGTCTGATAAGGCTGCTGCCCTGACGAGAAGAGGAGGAGACCCCACACCTCACAGAACACTGTCTGCACCCCAAGGAGAGAGCCCTCAACGGACACTGACCCCACTGGCACCATGAAATTGGATTTTCAGCCCCGAGACTGTGAGAAAACAAATTCATGTTGTTTAAGCCCTCTAGACTGACAGACCACAGCACNTTGACCCTAAAATATAAAAAGAAAGCAAAATAGAAAAAAGGAAAGAAAAAGAGGGGGAAAGAAATCCCACAGCATTGTTAACATTTGCCATGGCAAAGAGAAGGAGCACTTACTTGGGAGGTATCATTTCCTTCCGGCTCAATGAGATAGGTGTGGTTCCCATCATAGAACATCCCACTGCCAAGGATAAGAAAACAGTTAGGCCTGGCAATTGACTCTTGCCTCAGAACCAGATCATTTTAAAGTTAGCAGCAGCCAGAGGACCAGTTTATTTCTCAAACCCTACTTTTCAGTCCTACCTATCACAGGCAGTGCCCACCACATACCACACACACATGCACCCCACATAACACACACACACACACACCACCCATACATATACACCCCCACATCATACACACAGAGCACCACATACCACACACACACAAGACACACACACCACCCACCCATACATATACACCCCCACATCACACTCACACAGCACCACATACCACACACACACAAGACACACACACCACCCACCCATACACATACACCCCCACATCACACACACACAGCACCACATACCACACACACACAAGACACACACACCACCCACCCATACATATACACCCCCACATCACACTCACACAGCACCACATACCACACACACACAAGACACACACACCACCCACCCAGACATATACACCCCCACATCACACACTCACACCACCACATACCACACACACACACCCCTATATACCATACATCCCACACTACATCTCCACATATATAAACACCACATACCACACTCACATATGCCACACAACACACATATCCCAATCCATATATCTTACACATACACATACCATACATTACACACACACCCGCACACACTGCTGAGGACAGGCCCCGCCCCTGACTCCCCGTAAGCAGCAGGGTCCCCCTCATCCTTGACCCTTCCCCAGGCTCAGGACTGCTGCTGCTCCTGCTGCTGTTTAGTTGCTTCAGTCGTGTCTGACTCTGGGGCTCAGGATTACCATCCTCAAACTGTGGCCCATTATTCCTTCCTCCAACATATAAATCTAAAACTTTAATATGCAAAATACCCCCTGGAAAGCATATAAAAATTCAAAACTCTCAGGATCCTCTCGGACTTCCAGGCTAGAACCCAGGAAACTGCATTTTAAACAAACCCCCAGTGATTCTGAGGCAGTTGGCCAGGGGTTATAGAGAGACTGGCCTAAGCTGTATACTCAGAAGATGCTCTAGCAGGAAGAGCTGACATATCTTAACAACTCACCATGAACTAAATCCTTTACATTCATTTCATCTTTTCCACAAATTTATGCTGGAGGTACAATGACTACCCACATTTCACAAGTTACAGAAACTGAAGAGACAAGAAACCAAGAGACAAGTGGCTGACAAGTAGCTGACCCAAGCAAGGCAACTGGCCACACACCTTCATTCATACAACAGGGTGGTAATGGTGAGGGTGGTGAGAACCAGTCAAATTCTGAATATTTTTCCAAAGTAGAATCAGCAGGACCAGTTAATGGATTTAAAATGGAGTTTGCAAGGAAGAGAAGAGTCAGTGAAGACGCAAAGGTTTTGACATGAGCAACTGGAAAAATGGTGTTTCATAAGATCCGTTTAATAAGATGGAAAAGGCTGCAGGAAGAGCAAAATAGGATGGGCACAAGGAAGCAAGATGCAGGATGCAGGGAGCAAATCCAGAGTTCAATTTTGGACCTCCTTGGCTAGAGATGACTAACAGCCAATTGAGAAATTCTCTGGGGGCATCCTAAGCTACATATGGTCTCAACTCCCACTCAGAGAGATCCTGATAGCCCCTCCTTTTAGAGGAATGTGGTCTCTCTATTAACATCAGTTTCCTCCTGATACTGAAGGAACTTGTCTTTACCACTCAGGCATCTGAGAAGAGTAAAGTTGTGATCTTCCGCAGTCATTTATCAGTGTTAGGTGGAAGTGACTGCATAAAGCCCAAGTTGCTAACCACAGAACAGTATGTGTCTTTCACTGATCACTTAGTGAAATCTGCTGGTTTTCCTGAGCTATAATTACAACAGCCTCCAGCTCTATCTCTATCCAAATCCTTTTGTTCTGCAGTAACATCTTCCACATGTCCTTCAACTTTCATATAGAACTTAGAACAGCCCTATACACATCTGTAATGTTTTCAACCCAAAGTGCGCTTTCTGAATTTGAGTGACACTGCATTTGAAATTTAAAGATAAACAGATGCAGTTTGTAGGATATTACTGACAATATATACCTAAGGAATCAGTGAGGGAAAACTTTTCAAAACAGTAGACAAATATGGTAGTGAACATTCTGCTGATAACTGGTCAGATCCATCCAGAAAACTGTACAAAACGATCACCCTTTGCCAAAGTTCACACGACTACACTGATTAAATAGCAAGCAGATGGCTTTGTTTAAACAGTATCAGGGGCTGTTTCCTCTTGAGTTAGTTTAGTATCCAATGCAAAAATCAGTCACTTTTTATTGAACTCAAACATCTTGATACACAGTATAAACAAAGCAGATTCTAACACCATACATATATAGAAGATTCTGGTTCCATAAATGAAAATATGCCATGTTTAATTAAAAATATGTTCAAATCTTTAACAATTAAAAAGCAGGTATGTCTCATTTGCTTTCTTTGAGGATTGAAACCTTTCTGGTAGATTTTTTATAAATTCCAGGAAGTATATTAAGTCCATCACACAGTTTATAACTTGCAAAAATCTATAGCTAGGACTAAGTCATTACCGGCCAGTTGAGAAAGGTAAAATTTTTTAAAGTTGCCATCAAAACAAGACTGTGAAAGGAAATAGTCATTCTTACAAACTGCCACAAGTGGGCAATAAATTTACAGTTGATTCCATTCCTTAATGTTCCCATAGTTACAGGATTTTGTCAAAACATCAAACATAGCAGGACCAAAATACTGACTATTAGGTCTTCAAATTTGAAAATAATATGTACCTGCAGGTTCTTTATGGAAAAGATATGAGTTTGGTTATTTTACCCATTATGTTCTTTAATGGAATTCTGTAAATCAAGAAAATGAAAACTCACAACATGCATTTTGCAATTTATAGAAGATGAGTCATGGATGAAATAATATCTCATATTGAATCACTACAAAATGAGACAACATAAATTATTTACTATTTAGAAATAGCTCCCCTAAACATTTCTGTCAGCAATGTTTGTTCACAAGGTAAAATCAAGATGAGAAGTAATAAAGGAACAAACAGTGAATTTATTTAACATGCTTATAAAAGTCTACATACACCAAAACACACTTATGCACAAACCTGACAATGTTCCTACACACAGTGGGCTTTCTGTTTGTTTTTGTTTAGTCTTAAGTGAAAAATGTTCTAAAGGGAGAAGTAAATTTTACTTAGATAAAACACCTCAGTTAGTCACTAAAATGTCCTTCAAGTTTCCTTTCCATCTTCTTTCAAAGGACTGCATAGGATTAGTAGCTGTTGGTCTGAGGGTCTCAGGTCTATTAGGGTTTCTAGAAGGCGGTAATACATTTTCTCTGCTCTTATGATGTTATATCCACTTGGAAAATGGTGGGGGGGTACTGGAACATGTACTGGGCAAGATGCTTAAACTGTGACTTCGGACTGAGATGTTAAGAGGAAGAGAGAGGAAGGGAAAAGCCTACAATAGACACTTGCTGTCACAAGAGTCGGCAGACGCAGTGTACTATTTCTGGCTGACAGCTGTGCTTGCCTTGAAATCAGAGATAACAATATTATTGCTAGAGGATACATCAATGTTTGTTTCCAGATTAAGAAACCGAGGCTCTCACATGTTAGGTACGGGTTCCATGTTTGTAAAAATGTCTCCTTATTCAGAGGATTTATTTAAAACTAGTAAAATAGCCTTTTTGAACAAATAGTAAGAGAACTTACTGTCTTGCTCTCAGGCATGTGAGCTCCTTTCTCTGGTTATTTGTCTGATCCCTGTGTTATCTTCTTCCTGTGTCTCAAGTACCTAGTGCCAGAGACTAAGCAGAAGCACAACTTGGGCAGACTGGCCAGATTCCCCAACCATTCCCATTAGGTCTCTTTTCTCAATTTCTTGGAAGCCACGACAGTGGAACCCTCTCCTGGAAGATCCCTTGAAAGCCTGTTCCAGGGCCCATTCCATCTTCTTCAGGTAATGACTCTCTGGAACCCTTATGGACGATCTCACTTTTCAGTGACCACTCTCAGCTTGCATTTTTCTCAGTTTTTTCTTTTTTTTCTCTCATTGAAAACAAATGCACCTACCACATTCCATAGCACGAAGCTGGGCTAGGTTTAGCTTTCCCATTAGACTGGGAGCTCTTGGGGACAGCGCTCACGTTCTGATCTCCTTAATATTCCAAGCAGCTGGCACACAGCAGATGCTCCATAACTGTTTGTTAGATGAAAACACCCATGTTTCTAACTTGGTAACAGACAGGAAGTCTTTTCATGATTTCAAACAAGAATTTCACAAAACTGAAGTGTGATTGGTTCCTGCCCCAAAAAAAGTAGCAAAAAAGAGCTGAGATGATTTAGACTAACTAGAATGCTGAACTTAGATCATGAGCTCCTTATTGCAAAATTCAGGCTTACAATGAAGGAAGTAGGAGAAACCACTAGGCAACTCATGTATGACCTAAATCAAATCCTTTATGATTATACAGCAGAAGTGACAAAGAGATCAAGGGATTATATCTGGGTGGCAGAGTCCCTGAAGAACTATGGACAAAAGTTTGAAACATTGTACAGGAGGCTGAAACCAAAACCATTCCAAAGAAAAAAGAATGAAAGAAGGCAAAGTGGCTGTCTAAGAAGGCTTTAGAAATAGCTGACAAAAAAAGTGAAAGAGAAGGTAGAAAGGGAAAGACATACCCATCTGAGTGCAGAGTTTCAGAGAATAGCAAAGAGAGATACGAAGGCCTTCTTAAATAAAAAGTGCAAAGAAATAGAGGAAAACAATACAATGGGAAAGACTAGAGGTATCTTCAAGAAAATTGGAGATATGAAGGGAATATTTCATGCAAGGATGGGCATGATAAAAGGCAGAAACAGTAAGGACTTAACAGAAGTAGAAGATATTAATAAGAGGTGGGAACAATACACAGAACTGTACAAAACAGGTGTCAGTGAGCTGGATAACCATGATCGTGTGATCACTTACCTAGAGCCAGACATCCTGGAGTGTGAAGTCAAGTGGGCGTTAGGAAGCATTACTATGAACAAAGTGAGCAGAGGGACAGAATTCCAGATGAGCTCTTTCAAATCCTCAAAGATCATGCTGTTAAAGTGCTAGACTCAGTATGCCAGCAAATTTGGGAAATTCTGCACTGGAAAAGGTCAGTTTTCATTTCAATCCCCAAGAAGGACAATGCCAAGGAATGCCCAAACTACCATACAGTTGTGCTCATTTCACATACTGCCAAGGTTATGCTCAAAATCCCTCAAGCTAAACTTCAGCAGTGCGTGAATCAAGACCTACCAGATGTACAAGATGGGTTTCAAAGAAGCAGAGGAATCAGAGATCAAATTGTCAACACTGGTTCGATCACAGAAAAAGCAAGAGAATTCCAGAAATACATCTACTTCTGCATCATTGACTATACTAAAGCCTTTGACTGTGTGGATCACAACAATCTGGGGAAATTTTTTAAAAAGATGAGAGTACCAGACCACCTTGCCTGTCTCCTGAGAAATCTGTATGTGGGTTGAGAAGCAACAGTTAGAACCTGACATGGAACAACAGACTGGTTCAAAACTGGGAAAGAAGTATGTTAAGGCTGTGAGCTTCCCAATCGACCCAGTGGGTAAAGAATCCGCTTGCAGTGCAGGAGATGGAGGCAGACATGAGTTCATTCCTGGGTTGGGGAGATCCCCTGGAGGAGGGTGTGGCAATCCACTCCAGTATTCTTGCCTGGAGAGTCCTATGGAGAGAGAAGCCTGGTGGGCTACAGTCCATAGCATCGCAAAGAGCAAGACACGAGTACAGAAATGGAACACGAACACATGCATGCACACACGATAAGGCTGTATACTGCCATTCTGCTTATTTAACTTACATGAGGGTTAGTACAGTTCAGTCACTCAGTTATGTCCAACTCTTTGTGAACTCATGGACTGCAGCACCAGGCTTCCCTGTCCATCACCAACTTCTGGAGCTTGCTCAAACTCATGTCCATCGAGTCAGGGATGTCATCCAACCATCTCATCCTCTGTAATCCCCTTATTCTCCTGCCTTCAATCTGTCCCAGCATCAGGGTCTTTTCCAATGAGTCAGCTCTTCACATCAGGTGGCCAAAGTATTGGAGTTTCAGCTTCAACATCAGTCCTTCCAATGAACACCCAGGACTGATCTCCTTTAGGATGGACTGNGGTGGTCCGGTATTCCCAGACACCTGGGAGAATTTTCCAGTTTGTTGTGATCAAGATTTCCAGGAGAAATATCAACACCTCAGATACGCAAGTGATACCACTCTAATGTTATCATTAAGAAAGTGAAGGGGACCTAAAGAACCTCTTGATGAGAGTAAAAAGGAGAGAGAAGAAGCTGGCTTAAAACTCAATATTCAAAGAACAAAGATCATGGCATCTGATCCCATCACTTCATGGCAAATAGAGGAGTAAAAAGTATAAACAGTGACAGATTTTATTTTCTTGGGCTTCAAAATTACTATGGACAATCACCGTGCTTGCTTCTTGGAAGGAAAGTTATGACAAATCTAGACAGAGGATTAAAAAGCAGAGTCATCACTTTGCCAACAAAAGTCTGTATAATCAAAGCTATGGTTTTTCCAGCAAGATGTATGGATATGAGATTTGGACCATGAAGAACTGAAGAATTTATGCTTTCAATTTGTAGTGCTGGAGAAGACTCTTCAGAGTCCCTTGGACAGCAAGGAGATCAAACCAGTCAATCCTAAAAGAAATATACCCTGAATACTCATTGGAAGGACTGATGCTGAAGCTGAAGCTCCAATATTTTGGCTGCCAAATGCAAAAAGTGGACTCACTGGAGAAGACTGTGATGCCAGGAAAGACTGAAGGCAAAAGGAGTAGGGAGAGACTGAAGATGAGATGGTTAGATAGCATCACTGACTCAGTGGATGTGGATTGGAGCAAACTCAGGAGATAATGGAGGACAGAGGAGCCTGGTGTGATGTGGTCCATGGAATCGCAAAGAGTCAGACATGATTTAATGAAAGAACAACAACAAAATGCTGAGTGATGACAAAGTAGCTTTATAAGGGGTCACAAGACAAGAAAGAGATAGACAGGCACCTGGTATCACCATCATGGACAGGATGGAGGAAGCTGATATATTCCCATGTTAAACACCAGCAAACGCACTTTGATAGTGAAAGTTATGAGAAAGGAAGTAAGACCCTGAGGAAGGATGAAGTCCATTCCATAGAAATTGCTGAGAACAAATGGACCCTCCCATGAGTTAGCTGTAGGTTAGGTGGGATTCTGGCTGAATAAAGGGCTAAAATACATGAGTTCCTGTGCTCACCCTTTGTTTTTGTACAAGGAGTCAGGAGTTCCCTGTCTTGAAATTTCTATTATTCCATACATATATAAAAATGAACATCAAGGAAGAGGAAGGACAGAATTGGTAACAAGGGGCTAAACACCCACAGAAACAGAAACCAAAGTTAAGCAAACTACTCCTATTTCCATCTGGATGAAACTAGAAAAATATTTCAAACATCACTAAGGAAGCATATTATAATCATTAGCGCCTCTGGCTTCTGCAACTCTAACTTAACAATCTGCTTGGTTTACAAACCACAGAGGAAAAAAAGCCCTGATCCATCACTGTTTTAAAACTATTAATAGCTCTTGACATAAAATAGAGATTTCAACCACAGTGCATTAAAAATAAAGTAAATCACTGGGAGAAAATGGATGATGCAAAAACTTTGGGGACACTTACTGAAGTCCATGGCATGTCGACAATGCCACAAATGAGGCAGGATTTCCTCGGATGTGGCCCTGGTAGTAACAGTGTTCTCCCCCCTGAAAGCAGAAAGAGAGAACATAAACCTTTGCCATCACAAAGAGAATCAGCCATGACATTTCACAGTCTTCTGCCCACACCGCACCTTCATGTACACAGCTCTGTACAAAGTTTCATTATCCAGATTAGTATCATGAGACCATTTCTAACAGAATTATTCATAAGCACTCCCAGTGAGCTGACTCCAAATCAAAAGATAAGGAAATAAAAGTTGACTTAAGTTTCCTTTTATGTAGGTGATGATAGATGGAACAAAGAAACACATATTGAAATGCATATGTGACCCCCAGCACCAGGAAAAGTTCAGTGAGCTATTTCCCTAGTTGAGTTCCCCTGAGGAACTCAACCTTGCATGCATGCATGTTAAGTCACTTCAATCATGTACTCCGACTCTTTGCAACATTATGGATTTGTAGCCCGCCAGCCTCCTCTGTCCATGGGATTCTCCAGGCAAGAACACTGGAGTGGGTTGCCATGCCCTCCTCCAGGGGATCTTCCAGACCCAGGGATTGAACCCATGTCTCTTATGTTTCTTGCATCGAGAGGCAGGTTCCTTACTGCTGGCGCCACCTGGAAAGCTCACTCAACATTAAGTAACAGAAAATGACGATTTTCTCAAAATTAAGCAAAATGAATACAAATCATCTGAGAGTTACTAAATTAAATTAATGGAGGAAAATGCCTTCTTTCATAGTGTTTACATCAAAACTTGACAACTTTATGATATTCTTTTCTCCAACCAGGAATGGCTTTACTGGTAGGCAGTCCAGAGCAGGGTCTAAAATTGAGAATTTTCTTCTACCAGCAAGTCACATTAACTAAATTTCACCAAGAGACTCATTTCTTTGGATTAAATATTCCTGGAAATGTTAGCAGGGTGGAGCCTCTGACATCTCAAGGTGGCACCCTAGTCTTTAGATGCTGGCTACTCAAGAGTGTGGTCTAGAAAACAGCAGCAGCACTAGCATCAACAGAAGCATGTCGGAAATGCAGAATCCCAGGCCCCATCCCAATGGGTCAGAATCGGCATTTTTAACAAAGTGCACAATAGTAAAGAATCCACCTCCCAATGCAGGAGATGCAAGAGACGTGGGTTCAATCCCCGGATCAGGAAGATCCCCTGGAGAAGGAAATGGCAGCCCACTCCAGTGTTCTTGCCTGGAGAATCCCATGGACAGAGGAGCCTGGCGGGCTACAGTCCATGGGGTCGCAAAGAGTCGGACACGGCGAGCGACTGAGGACACAGTGAAGCACGAGGTGATTCACACGCACAGTAAAGTTTGAGAAGCACAGGTCTAAACGATCTTTCTCATTGCCCCACTAATTTCTCATTTCCTCAGAAGCTGAAAGCTTCTAGTCCAACTGGCTCACTGAGGTGTGAAATAGTGACATAAGGACTAAAGGAATGGGTGCTTTAAAGGGGCAAATGTTATCTATTTCACAATCTGTCTTAAGGACTAACCCTACTTAAAATACACAATGCTTTACAAGTGCAGAGGTGAGAACAGGAAGACATAGTAATGGAACAAAGGTGAAGATAATATCTTCACTGGAATTCTGGGGAAGGTGGCCTGTTTCTCCTCATGAGATAATCCCAAGAACAGGGTGAAGTTCAGCTTTGCTGAGGGACAAAGAGCAGGCAGGAAGGCACACAGTGTGAGCCCTGACACCTCCAAATTCCCATGGAGTCACTGAACATCATGAACTGAAGACTGGGGTTGGACTGGATGGAGGATAAGATAGGGAAGTACTTCAGGTGTGGTTCTGACAGCAGATGGAACCCAGGAGGCCATAGGCTTATGGGCAGAAACAAAGTCAGGCCATGACTTCCAGGAAAGGAGATGTTAACAGCTCGAGCTATCAACTCCTTCACTTACTAGTCATATAATCTCATGCAAATCACAGAGCCTCCCTGTGTAATAATCACATAAGGGTGTTCACAGGAATAAAGAGCTAACATGCATTAAGGGCTTAGGATAATGCCTGGCACTTGGTACACACTCAATAAATGTTTTCCACTATTATAATTACTGTGTGTCACTTATTGTCCTACTCATTTTACACACACAATCTCCCTATGCTCACATCACTTCTACAAAGAAATATTGTCATCTCTATTTCACATAGGAGGTTACAGTCTCTGAGAGTCAAGGTTGTCTGCGTGGGAAGTTGCCAAGTCGGGGTGCAAACTTTGTGTGAATGTGTGAATGCAACATCTATGTCCTTTCCCATACACTACTTATAAGCTGGACCTAGAACCTCTGAGCTATGCAGTGCAAATCTAAGCTTTTCCTAGGCTGTTTTTGTTTTGTTTGTTTGCCTTGTGTGTCTTTTTTTTTTTTTTTTTAATTTTTGGAGTAGCAGTGGGGGACTAAATTTAACAGAATTTTAAAGTCACTCTGTTGGGCTTTTGGACTGGTGAACTATCCACAAGATTAGTGGAGGAGAAGCATTAGTGGAAGCATTTCATTATGCTTCAAATGACCTTGATTTCCTGGACACATCTGATTGGGCTAGAAATCGAAACTTTAGCATTTGATTGTATGTGTGTGCTCAGTCATGTCCTACTCTTTGCAACTCTTTGTAGCCTGCCAGGCTCCTCTGTCCATGGAATTTTCCAGGCAAGAATACTGGAGTGGGTTGCCATTTCCTCCTCCAGGGGAATCTTCCTGACCCAGGGATTGAACCTGCATCTCCTGCATTGGCAGGGTATTCTTTACCACTGCATCACCTGGGAAGCCAAGCATTTGATTGGCCAGACACAAAGACCAACAGTCAATGGGGTGACCTGGAAAGAGAATTCTATCTAAAAGTATTTCTTTAAATTAGATACTGACTAAACAAACCCATGAGATCTGTCACAGAAGTCTAACACTCACAGTGAAAAATAGAAAGACAGTAGAAACAAAGATAAATGGTAATCACAAAATTACAGTATCAGATGAGGGAAGAATGGAAGTTGACAAGTCATAGTATGCGGGGAAAATAAATCAGTGTTAAAGACACATAAAACATGTTTTATAAATTACTAGTTTTCTTTAAAATGCCAACTTTGGAAACATGTTACATTAAATCATAAAAAAGGGCAAAGAATTTATGTTTTGATACAATCCTTCATTATACTGGGGCTAAACAGATGAGTAGATAATAGAAAAAAAAATCTTTCACTAATTTTCTGGTTCTGAAAAATAGGAGTCAATCCAAAAACAGCATATGATCATGATCCATCTGCACAAAAACCTAACAAATGAAGTGAAGAGCTCAATATGGTTGAATCATTATCAAATATTTCCATGACACTTCAAGAAAAGCATAAACACCAGGGGGGCTCTCCTCCATTTAGACTATTATCATTCAAATCTTGAGGCTCTCAACTAGCATTATCTGTAATTTTCCAAATAACAGTGGAAATTAATTTTTGTGTTGCAATTTTTTTCAGGAATTATTTGCCATAAATCACTAATTTTTCAACTTAGAACAAAAATAGATTTCTTTTTCCTTTGATATGCCTGGAAATATTTCTTAGTCCAGAACAGAGGCCTTAATATTTAAAGGCTCCTGTAATTTATATAAATCTATTGTTAAATTATTAACATAAATAAATAAATCTAATAGATTTTTGCTTTTAAATAAGTATTTTTATACATTGTTTTTAAAATAATAAATACTAACGGCAGAAATCCTACGAATTCAGGAATATATGACAAAGAGTAAAAATATCCCGTTCCTACACACTGTCCAGGCTGCAACTGTCACCTAAAAGGTAAATACTTTTACCTTTTTTGTGTACCACAGATTTTGTGTACCACATCAGGAATCACCTATGCATATTTAAGGAATTGTACATATACATAAATAAACATATATTCTTTCAGTGCACATATAGTTTACACTACCCACACTGTTCTGCCACTTGATTTTTTTTTCTTAAGGTAAACTTGACATCAACCTCATTCTTTCAATGATGGCAGAATATTCCATCACAGGCATGAACCATAATTCATTTAAACAAACCTGCACAACTGTATCATTAGGCTACTGCAACAGACATCCTTTCATATATTTTTTGGTGCACTTCTGTCAGTATGCACGTAGGCTAGACTACCAGGTGTGGCCTGGAAGGTCAAAGAATATGTGCATTTAAAATTTTAGTGGATATTTTAAAGGAGAAATATAATTGTATTCCTTTATACATATCTGTTTTAAAAGATGCTTTGCATTTTAAGATAATAAAATGCAGTTTATTAAAAATTACATATTTCAATAGAGACTAACACTTAAGCCAACTTACTCAAATCTTACCAATAATAAAGGGTCTCCATATATTCATATGACTTTCTTGAGGAAACAGATGCTTTATGGAAGTAGGTCTTATATAAATAATAACCTAAGACAGATGTTGTAAGAAAAGAAAAAAGCTGGCACATCCCAATAGACTTCAGCCCTTTATTCAACTGCCAGTCATGGTTTTATTCCCTACTATCTCTTTTGTTCCAGAAATCCATTGTCCTCGAAACTTTCCTCATACTACTTGATTTAATAACACAGTCATAACAGTACAAAAGTTTATTTTTAGATAATTAGATAGTTGTAGGTAAAAAATTATCTAACTCTATAGAAATGAGGTACATATTAATTCACATGTCATATTGGTTTTTATTTCCTTTGGGGAAAAAAAGCTTATTGCAAATTTAATTCTAGGGAAGTCAAAATAATCATTTATTTGAAAAATTCAAAGAGTTTATTTTTAGATAATTAGATAGTTGTAGGTAAAAAATTATCTAACTCTATAGAAATGAGGTACATATTAATTCACATGTCATATTGGTTTTTATTTCCTTTGGGGAAAAAAAGCTTATTGCAAATTTAATTCTAGGGAAGTCAAAATAACCATTTATTTGAAAAATTCAAAGACAAACCACATTTTTATTAAGCAGACAGAAAGATCTCAAAGGAAAAGTAGAATTTACTATAAATAGGATGAGATGATAATGCAAAG